ATGACAATCATTTGGACTCTGAAGCCTATTTTTCCATTGATTACTAAGATATGTTTTGATGTAGAAAGTATCTTCATCAGCCATGGGTTTATAGATGACAATGAGGTTTGCACTTCAAAACTTATTTGAAAATTAAAACAATAGCGTTTTTTCAAATACTAGATTTATTTGCCATGTTTGCTACACTCAATAGGAGACATTGGCGTTATTATCTTGAAATCCATTGAGGGACTCCCCTGGTTCTTACGCATGCTCTTCCGGACCTTTCGCTGGTATAGACGGAGATGTTTCCCTCGTGAATCGCTGTCTGTACATCGTGAAGGTACGTTTGTTCACCACAAACGAAAAGCAAATGAATACACCTGTTAGAGAGGAAAAATAAACATGACGAATAATTATATAAATTAAAACCAATGTTATCGCACTGGTCAATTTATCTAAAGGTATGACCTGTCTTGGGTGGAGGGGTTATATCAGGTCCCATGGATCCTACGTGTATGGGGGTGGGGTTATATCAGGTCCCATGGATCTCCTGTCCGCTTTAGTGGGGTTATATCAGTTACTATGGATCTCATGTGTACGGTGGTGGGGTTATACCGGGTCCCATAGTTCTCCTGTGCACGGTGGTGGGGCTATGCCAGGTACCATGGAGCCTATGTGTAGGGGGGTGGAGTTATAGAAGATACCTTGTGTTAGGGGGGAAGGAGAGGGGGATATATAGGAGAGAGAACATGGGCTCAAAGTCTGAAAATGGTCCCTAGCATGTTTAATACTCTTGACAATTTCCCTTAGTGTCACGTGGAGCCTATAGCACCGCAAAGGAAACAACTTACTGCACAGGAATGCGCGAACCACCGAGGCAAGATAGTTGAAGATTCGCATCTAGTTTGGTTGAGAGACAATTCCGAACTAGCCATGACACTCAGAGGGGGAAACCGAAACTTTAACGTGCATCTCACAAAGGTGGCGCAGGCAAAATCAAACCGGTGTGGAGTGGGTTTGTTTCATGTTGTTCAGGTTTTATTTTTGTTTTATTTCTTTCTTCTATTGAAGAAACCGTATTAATTGTTATGAAGGACAATTCACATATTGAGAGTAAATTCTGTAAAGAGTAGAGAAACTAAATAATATAATGTCACGTCTGTCGATAATCTTACCTTGAAAGCTGTTGACTATGACGAATGGATATTCGATGTAAGGTGTTGGATGGAATACCATGACAAATCCTAGAATCCAGGAGATGCCCATAACAGCTGTCAATTTCAGCACGATCAGGGGAAGGTTTCTTTGGCGAGAGGCCGCTACGTTGCCCTAACACAAAGAAATTAAACATATACGGTCAAAACGTGGAATGCTTCTACAGCCACGCGTTACAACAGAGAATATTTCATCCACTATTGATAACGAACTTCAGAAATTCTTAATTTTCTGGTTAGTTCTCTATTTCGATTTTGTGTCGTGTTTGAGGTTGTTATCGTTGTTGTGTTTTGTTTGTTTTGCTGTTTTCATTTAAACTAATAAATAAGTACCTGCCCTAGTTGCTTGATGAAGACAACTGTACGGATCAAAGACACGATGTTGAGAAAAATCATTCCTGAGACAGGAAATGCAACAGCGTAGGTGCGGGCAGGAAGTGAAAGCTGACATCCTTCTTCAGTAGCTGCAAGGAACAAAAATATAGGAGAAAACTAATAAATACAATTAGGAAAATGCCACAAGTTTATTTTTCACGCCCCATAAAGCAATTGCATTCATTCTCCAGAACCACCATGCTAAACAAGGATTCAGAAAAATTGCATGACAGTGAGATAGATTTTCACGTCATTACGCCCTTTAAAGCCAATTTCTACCAAATAATCTGAAAACGTGACTTGCGCGCTAATAAATAGCAGAAAAGAAACCCCGGTTACGAGGTTGCGTTTTTCCAGTATTGTGCGAAAGCTTTCCATGCGATGAGTTGCAGGAGTGGTAGCTGCCTCTGAGGGATAAACTTACCATAACGGATATTTCCAGTGTTGGTCAACTGTAGAGCTACACAAATTCCCACGATAGCCAAAGGAACTCCCCAACAGATTATGCAGTATCGAATGTGGGTTTTCCTGTGTCTGGCAATGGCTCCAGGGTTTGAAAGGCTCACATCTGCGACAATAAACCAATACTGTTTACTCTGCTTCTAATAATGTGGTAGAAAATATTATGGCACTTCTGGGCTGATTAAAATCATCTCACTTGTAACCATTTGACTTAGTCCCTTTCTACACAGACTATCTCAATAGCAAAATGGATTCATGGCGCTCTAACTCATTTTTCACAAGGCATACGGAAGGTCTGTCTGTTACAAAAGACCAAATTATCAGAATGTTTACTTCGTTGTATTCTGGATGGAAAGGTCACGGGGGTTCGAGCCCTGGTCTGGACAAAATAGTGATAAAATTGATTCCCTCACTGCTCCTTTTTACCAAGTAATGTAAATGAGTACCAGTGAATTGGAAAATTGTTACGAGGGGTTGGGGACGAGGGTTACCTGTCATTTTTAGGCATGATATCAATGTTAGTAATGGTACTTCTTTCCCTTTCAAGCTGGAGAATATAGGTTTTTTTGCACTTAATTTGTGGTCAAGACACGTACTTATGTCACCTACAGCTTATCACTGGTAGGAGCAGCACAATGTCACCTACTTGGGTTGGAAAAAGTTCGTTGCGTACTATAGGCGATTGTGCTCATCCACAAGAAAACAGTCAGGATCAAGTAATGCAACAAGGCTCCCATCGCGACACAGACTGCTGACAAAACAACATCCGGATCTGTAACAAAGTACACTGACTGCATGGCTATCATTGCAGACGACAAATGCATCACTCTTTGACCAGGATAGGTTCTCAGCTCAGAAAACAGAAAATACGTTATCATCAGGAAAAGGAGAGCAATAATTGACAAGGAGAAACCAACATAAGTAAGAACAAGCAGTGTTAGAGATCGCAATTCTGGCTTTCCCTCATTTCCGCAAGGCTTTCCAGTACTTCGGGTGTAATTAATAAGCGAAGTGTTAACGCACAAAATGACTGTTTGGTTAACTAAGATGTAACTACCATTTGGATAAATCTTTTGGAGAAGGTGAAGTGACACAGAACCGTTTCTTAGGATCTGAAACTCGCTTTGTGAGAAGTTGGGACCCTGACAATTCGCAGTCGAGTGTGTGTGATTTCTCCTGGGTGTTTGAGGGACAGTCGGAAGTGGCATGCATTTTTCTCTGAAAGGATCGTAATACTCAGAAAGCGAACAATTGACATCAGTTTGCAGCGCCTGAACCGACATTGATTTTGTTCTACTTTGCTTAGAATGCAAAGAGAATGTAAAGAGAACTTCACTTAACTTCAATGTAAATCGATTTCTTAGAAATTTTTTTCCGCAACTGACTTCTAAGGATGACAAATTGTAGCCCGCCATAAGAGCGCAGTGAGGATTTTTGAACAAAGACTTAACACGACCAATCTTGAAAAAAATAGCGTTTGCATAAGACCGACAAAGATCTTTAAGCTTTGTGTTGGGTTCGGTGTGACTCTTAATAGGCGTCACGACACATTTGCGAGGAGACTGCGCCCTAAACGGAATGACTTTCCAAAATGTACCAAGCGGGGGAGACCGAATGTCATCAAGACGAGGATGACGGTTCCGTAACAGGGTAAATTTAATACTCCATAGATGAAGATCTTTTGATTTGCCATGACAGATTGCGCAGTACATGTTAGCAAAGGTGATGTTATGGGCTATGTCCTGTACAGGTACGGCAGTCAGAGGGTCAGCAGTGTAGTTGATGGAGCTACAGGAGTGCGCAGTCTCTGTACCCTTCCAAAGTGGCGGACATTTAGCGATCATCATGTACCCTATTTCTAATTGTCTGTCATCTGACGGAGCTCTTCTGCAGGTTTCATAGGTCAGCTTCTTGGACTGACTTCTCACATCAGATGTATGCCTGAGGAAAAACAAATGCCTGATGACATGCGACACGAAATACTTGTTACATCGGCTCGATACGCCATTATTCCGAAACTTACATGTATCAAGTTAAAAAGCTATTCCATCTAGAAAAAGGACCTCTTTATATACATATCCTACCACATGTCATAGTCAACGCAGCAATCTCCAATCTCTTCACATAGTTCATCGCAATAACACTCTCCCCATCTGTCAGGGCTCTTGCGTCTAACAGGGGGAACGCTTTGATGAATATTCGTATTACAGGATGCTTCTACTTTGCAATATTTATTATTTCTTATTTGGAGTTCATGTTCTTCTGCCTGTAGGGTTTGGGGTTCTTTATCAAAAAAAGTTCCCCAGAAATATCTGATCTGCCTGGAAAGGAATAAAACTGGTTTCGGTTACAATTTTGGGGTTCTTAAAACTCTAACTAAATCATTTACCGAGATAAAAAAGCTTATAACAAAAAATATTGCCATATTTCTGATAAAAATATCACTTGATTGTTTAAGTTTGGTTGCCCAATTAAACTTCAAACAGGAAAAAACAGAAATATCTGTCTTGATTTTTTCATTTAGAGGAGGACTTGTGTTTCCTTGTCCAAAATATGGGCCACAAACAGCAAGAATAAAAATAAAACAAAGAGACAGGAAAAAAGAAACATATTTATCATATAAACTGCGGTGTTTTACAAGGATTTCTAGCCTTGAGAAAAGCTGTAACAGCACACATGAGTTTAATATCGCCAATTAGCTGACGACACTTCACTCGCCTTTCGGGTTCTTGTGTTTTAATCAAGGTTTTTTGTCGAAACTCTTTACTAAATATTTTCATTTCCGATTGTATTTTCTAAAAGAAAAAACAAAACACCAAAAGAAAAACCGAAAGTTGTTTGGCTTGGCAATGGCATTAATTTCGACAACCGGCCAATTTGCCATATTTCTGATTTCTTATGGTCGATAAAAAGAACTTTAAATTCACTTGATTGTTTTGTAAATGATTTGGTTGTCCATGCACAACGAAGAAATTCATAATTGTCTAAAAAAAATAACTAAAAGATTTGTAACATGTTATCAATCCAAATAAAAAATTTCATGGGGCTTGACATTAACAGGAAATAATTAGAAACTATTCCTTTTTTAGGACTTTCAAGATATATGGTTTGCTTATCTCTGTTTTCAAGCTCACATATTGCATATGAAACCTGCAGTGGACTACCACTCTGTCGTTTCATATCTTGGAAACTGGGATAAACACCGGGCAGAGGAGTCGCTGGGCTAGAAAGTTGACCTAGTCTTTCCATTGTGGATTTCATTTTCTCTGCTCTATATGCCAATGCCTTCAACTTTTTTTTCTATGTAAAGCGAAATAATCGTCATTTGAAACAAAGATTATCTCTCAGTTTAAAGGCTTACATGTTCTTGTTTCTTCTAAGTTCTCCTTTGAAGATCCTGGGCCATTTCAGATGCTATCGGTAACAGTAAGGTGAAGATGGTTCAAACCAGCTTGCACGGTTGGACAGGTAGATTTCAACTGATTGAGTGAAGCAATCTGAATCTCGTTTATACAGATAAACACCTACACGTACCTTCCGGGGCAGTTGCATCCGCACTGTACCGTTCCAACAAACTGTATTGTTTAAAAGTTCGTTAAAGTCGGATATGAACAACAAATACGTGTGTACGGTAAAAACGGTTCGAAATAAGCCTCGTGGGAAGGTGATTTTTTTTTTAATGCAAAAAATTATAAGCAAACACGAAATGTTTCCTGCTTTGATTTGGGCGTCTCATGTGGTTTAATTGGCTAAGGGTATATTTCCTCAAGAGCCCGAAAAAATTCCCAAATAAACAGACCATATACTAAATATACTAGATGATAAATCAATGCAGACTTTATTGTGTCCTGAGCGACAGAAAAATTAATCATAATTTACCTATTTATAAATATTTTTGAGTTTTTTTTTGTTTATTTACTTCTCTGGGTTCGCATGTGCTGCCAGAGAGTAGGCAGCAATGTTTTTTCTCTCGTCCAGAATAAAAGATTTAAAGCTAATGGTTTGTTGTTCTCATTAAGCAACTGAATAATTGTTTAAACAACAGCCGTTGCATAGAACCATACTAGCGGTTTTTCTGTCTTTTTTTTTTCTAGTGATTAATAATATAAAGATTTAGCCGAGCCTAAAAGCGGAACTCGCATTTTTTTTCCCGCACGTCTCCAGGTACAGTTGACCACGCATGTTAAAAGTAGCACCTTGTACGGTCGGTCGTACGGTCGCGCGTCCAAATTTTTTCGGCTTGATGGATTACTACTATTTTGTATAATCATGAGGCAACGCTCTGCGAGCTCCGCTATCGTTGTAAATGATTATACACGTCATAAAACGATGTTCGCAATGAGCTCAACCGTTAGCCGTTAAATGGCAAAAAAAATTAGCCGTTAGGTATAAAAATTGACATGAACTACTAGTCGTGAAAAAACAGGCAACTGTAAAATGGTTTCTTTCAATTTAAACGGAAAGAAGTTGACCGTTAGCCGTAAAATGGCCGTAAAAGCCACGACCCCATTAAGACCCTCCAAAACATTATTTTGCAGTCGAGATTTTTGAACATGATTGTAAATCTTCTTCGAATTCACTGCCTAATCTAATTTTGTTTGACACAATTAATTTAAATTTATATTGGAGAAACGCCTGGCTCGACATGGAGAATTCCCAGGAGATTTGTCCCAGGAGAATATATTTGGACCTGAAAACCGTTTACATAACGTTAGTTTCTTAGCCTGTAGGTTACCGTTTCCCTTCTAGAGAGAAATTAGCTTTCAATATTAGCTAGAGAGAAATTAGCTTTCATAAAAAAAAAAAAGAAAAAAAGAAAAGAAAAAAAGGAAAGAAAAAATCCTTTTACTGCAATTATTTCTAAGATTTCTGGCAGATAAGAAAAGCCATCATTTTCCATGAATATAACTTGGTTCTAACTATTTCAATTTCATATTGTCTCCTATTTATTATTTGAAGTTGGGAGTTCCGATTGCATTTACCCAAAACTTTCATCCATTGACCCTAAAATCAAAATCAATTGTTGGTCTGGTATCCGGTAACCTTAATTAAAAGAAATGAAATTCATGCCCTACCAATGCTCACATTTACGCGATCATTTTTCCTCGAAAAAGTGCTAAGAAAACAGGATACAGTCTCCACCGACTGCTTTTCACTCAAAATTGAGAAAGACGACCCAGGTTTTTGCATTGGAATAGGTCCGGCGAATTCCGTTTGAAATTAACCCATGCATAAAAAAATAATGAGTTTCAATTCTTTCGCAAAAGTAAATGAAGGCTATTGATTGCTTGGGTGTTGCTAAACCGTAGATCAGCTGACCTCGGATCCGGAACCTCCGGAACCTGCGGAACCTGCAGAACCATTACTTTTGTGGAAAAAAAGTAATTAAATAAATAACATTGAAAAAACCTTAACACTGTTCGAAATTTCATTTTCGGGTATAAATAAGGTTGCATTGATGGAGATGTGTTTAAATAATTGACTTAATTGTGGTGACATTTACCCTACAAGGGTATGTACTATCGTAATTGTAAGATCTTAGCGTGCGGAATGTTGTCAATTATTAATTAGGGTGTCTCTAGAGTGTTGCTGCTGTTTCGCGTCGTCTAAATTAGTGTTTTTTCCACCGGCTAGTCAGCTTCTTTTGTTTTCCATATCGCATGCTTTCGTTCATTATTGTTTCATTCGTAATTATTGGCGTCAGTTTCACTTTCGTTTCGCATGCATTGATTTTCAGTTTTTCCTGCGTATGTCAGTAACCTGACCTTGCGAGTCAAATTGTATTATGACGCAATATAAGGAAGCTATTACCTTCTAAGACGACCAGGAAGAGATTTTAACGATTAGAGGACCCAAAGCAATGATTCATGGCCTCAAAAAATTAATAGGTCGTAACCATGCTTCGCGAGTGTCTGCATGCATGCAAACGGTTAATATCCTATCAGTTAACCCTTTAACTCCCGTGAGTGACAGAGATAGAATCTCTTCTTACTATATCTTAACAATATCATGCAGACAAGTGATGAGAATAAAGACAAATATCAATTATGGGATTACTAATTGCTCCGATACCAAATTTTCCAGACTAACATAATGAAAATCATTTGACTGACAGTAATGAGAATTACTAATGAGATCTTGGGATTTCAAGGGTTAACAAACCAATTCATATGCACGGGCCGGTCATTTTGGCAATCAGTAACAAATATATCTCAGCATAATAAAACGTATAGGAAAGACCAGCATGAAAATTAAGGGAGACCTACGATCTAAGGGGTTTCCTAAAAACGAAGAGCACAAATATTACCAGTGAAGATGTTCTTCATGCCTCTGTATTCTACAACTCAACACATGTACATACGTGTCTTTTTTTTTAATATATGTTACGAGTGTCGATGTAGAGCAGGGTTGTTCCTAGACAAAACTCAGGATCGTCGGTATCAGCAACAAACTGTTTTATTTCCACGTAGTTGACTTCTTGTTTTTATAGCACTAAGCTTCTTCACAATTCTCTCTCTGTGTTTGATGAAACTGTCACTCTTATATACATAAAGTATATGGATCTAGTAACTTCTCTAAAGAACTAAATTTAGTAGATTAACACGGTTTCTAAATTTGAATAATTACGTAAGAAATAGAACGTTCCAGAATGTTCTTTTTACCAGAAGGTCACGTCTAGATGACTTCGGGTTCTAGAATGTTCTATTAGAATGTTCTGGGACTTTACTTAGACAATTTTTCGTAACAATATATCATGGCGGCGGATCTTAATTGGCGTGACTGATATGTTTCGTTGCCTCTCTCATACTTGATTTGCCGTTGCTCTATTATTTCAATAAAGAGTTAAGATTAAAAACTGTTTTAAAACACAATTATTTATCATACATCAGAGAACTTTAAAACGTCTATTTGGAGTTAAGGATGAAAGATTAGAATTTGCAAGACATTACATAATCTCTTAGAGTCTTTCAAAACCAATTAATTACTATTATTTTAATATTCTGCATCAAAAAGTGTGTATGGATCTATGATATTGAACCCGTTTTGAGATTTGTCAGAGTAATATAATCCCCTCAAATCATTATAAGTTTTATTTAAAATTCGACTATAAACGCCGCCATTTTGGATCTTCTTTATTAACCACGCCTAAACAAAACAAAATCTCGCTCCTTTTTTGTAACATCACTTGGCGATCTATCTAAGCAGCTGCTAGGAGTAGAGCAACATGAAAGGATATTTTTCTCGCATTGTAGCTTTGTTTTGGCTCTTATTTTCTTTTGAATAATGGGGGCATGGGTGTCGACTTCTTTAACATTTATGAGGATAATTTCGAATAGTTAAATCTCCTTAATGTTTGATTGAGCAGTGTTGCCTACAGATAAATTAGATCCCAGTCACTCTTAAGGATTTAAAAGTTAAAAAAAAAATTATTTTGGAAAATGTACAGACGGATTTAGTGAACGCTCGGAGGAGGTAGCCTGATGATAAATGCTATCTGCTCTTTTGATGTTGTGTTATGATTCAGCTCCTTTTTAGTTTCTTCAGGGTCTATTTGCCTCTTCCGCTTGCCACCGTACTGCGCATACACCTCTACCTGACTACGACCGGAAGAGCTGCTGTGAAATATGTTGAATCTCCATTTCAGCACTTTGTGATGGAAAGCTGCACGAACTTCACTATTTCTCAGCACGTGCAAGAGAAATATGAGCATACCCTACAAAAGTAAAAGGAAATCTTGTGTTTGACAAGGTTCCTTTATTGAACTATAATTCCTCGTATAAACTCAATTTTATCAAAATCCGATAAAATAAACAGACTATTTTCTTAACCGAAGGCCTCGTGATCCAAATCGATAAATGAAGTGTGGGATTAAAATGGTTTTCCCATAGCCCTTTTACACTCAGACCCAGACCCATTTGACCAAAGCGGCCAACTTACAGACATGCGTATAAGTAATTGGTACAGACCTGTGAAGAGTTAAGAATGGTAAAAACATACTGGAACACCAATCCTGCGTCTGTTACAGCCAAGAGACCAAATACCCACGTTAAACCCAGCAGAGGACTTAAAATAAGAAATGACTTCAGAGTTTTTCTAAAAGGGAATAAAACACAAAACTGCTTTCACGTTACAATTTTCTTCTGGAGATATACCATGCTATATACATTTCGCATGGAGAATTATTTAACTGGAATAAAGAGAAATCGTTCGAACTATCTATTTAATCATGAGTGAATAATGGAAAAGATTCTCTTTTGCGAATAATCCATGAAGGTCTAAGGAAAAAAGGCAAAACGATTTCATGTCAAACTACTTCATCTAAAACTTCATGAAAAAAACAACAACAACAACAACAACAAACAGATCCCCTGGCTGATTAACCTTTGATTTAGATAAATTTAAGAGCTGTACGAGCACAAGTTAATAATTCTGCTAGTAAGTTAGTATTTCATTTATGTTGGTATAAGAGAAGGCATATTTTGAGGAAAGATGATCATTAGGTGGCATTTTGCCTCTGAAACTCTAAAGAATTTAAGAAGTTTTTATTGTCGTCTACCTTAGTTACCATGCCACCGCAGACGGGTCTTCCTAACAAAAACATACCTGACGGTCTTCATTTTTGAAGGATTAGGCTCATGGAGATTTCTGACTTCTCGCAACACCGCCATGAGTATTACGAAGTTGATCTTAACAAACGAGAAAAGTAAAATAAAGGCTTTAACCACATGTCTAGATGTCATTCATAGTAGATGTGTCACCAAGTCAGTCAGCAAGTCAGTTAGTCAGTCAGTCAGAATATGATTAACGCATTCATCAATTTTTTCATTTATTGATCCTTCTTTCATTTATTCATTTACTGTTCATTCTTCGTTTTTGTCATTTCTGGCTTTCAGGTAAGATAACAGTGAAAGCAAAGACGGTGGACTTACAATTGTCACAAATAACACAGGGACAATAAAGGCCCAGCTCAAACGCTTCTGGAAGGACAACCAGCAGCTGAAAGTTAATTCAGACGACAGAACTGTCTAAAAACGCAGCTTATGTGACAGTATCTAATGGAAATAAAAAGTTATAATGAAGAATAAAACGCCGCGTACTTACTAGTTTTCATTTGTGTAACTCTCAAGTCCTTTTTCACCGCCTGAGCCAATTATTAGAGAAATAACTATTGGTAAGATAGGGAAACCTATAGGATAAGAATGGAAGCTGCTCAATAACTCAAGAACACATAGGCCTACAAGAGTTTAAAATGAAAAAAATCAGTTCAACAGGATGAGGGAGTACTACAAAAACAATAACAAATCAATAACAGCAAAAAAATAACAACAACAAAAATAATTACAACAACAAAAATAACAACAACAACAAAAGAAAAAACAACAACAACAGACAAGATACGGTCAACCAGAATACAAGAAGGTCCGTTCCTATCATGCGTTGCAGTGGTTGTACTGGCCTCAGTATTCTCTTTCACATGAAACATGCATCGCTATACCAAGGAATATTCCTCTTTTCACTTGTGGCTAATAGCGACTCGTGCGATATTTTGTGGTATACAAGTAGATATCACCGTCATTATTTTCATCACCGTAGCAATGACATTGTTACATTTCTTACCCCAGCCAAAGAAATAGAGGTGTCGCATGTCCACTGTGTTGAATACTTCAACAATCATTACGTACAGGAAAACTCCCTCCAGAAGCATCCACCCAAACGCTGCCAGATAGAAGTAGTGGAGTAAAACAGCCACTAAGATGCACACGGACTGAAATGTGAGACCCAGAATTAGGCTGATAATTAGAAGCTCCGATGAAATATCAGGCCAAGAGACTAAGTACTTCATGGAGATCTTAGACCAAAATTGGTTCCGGACAAGGGAACTCGTCTTCTAGAAATACGCAATAGTGTAGACTGAAGTAGCGAGAGCCAAATATCCAGCGAAAACATGTCTTGAAATTTCTAGTAGAAATTCTCTCTTAGTGTTGTACATATAACGCCTTACGAGATGCTCAGTTCATCCTGGAGAGATTCGAGAGGATTGGTTTTCGAAACGGGAATAACGTGATGCTATCTCAGAAGAGATCACCTTAGGCAGTAGGTGTTCGTCGCTTACGAAGAACGAAGAAATATGTGATTTCAAACGTTTGTTAGCTCACCTTATTACTCGTGGCCTCGATTCCGGACAAAAATACTAGTTGAGCAAGAAACAGAGCAGTGCAAAGATTCAGCCTGACTTGGATTCCTTCTGCTTTGATCTTCCTGTTCAAATGTATTTAATGAACGAAATGGGCATGACATTTTTCCTCGCATCCACCTAGTAGTCTAGAGCAAACGCTACTGGGGAGGAATGGAAGAAAGGTGCCTATATGGTTTGTAATATATTATTGGGTTGTTCTCTGCTTGTATTCCATTACTATGAAAGATGTTTAAAAGTTTATATTAATAGGTATTTCTGTGTCAAAATACCTCAACTTCAGTCGAAAAAAAACGAGATATTTTAGTGCAATGGTTCCTTAATTACTAATATCGTCTTAAAACAATTTTTTTAGGAACAAAACAAAACCAGACAACTAGCGCGTTCTGCAAAATAATATTTCTCGCACTTTGATAGTAATTTACGAATCTAGAGATTTACCTTGCTCTTATGTATACGTAAGACATTTTTTCTTCTTTTTTTTTGCTTTTGTTTTTTGTTTTTTAGTAGCACTCACATAAATGTCACGTAGACGAAGATAACCATTACTTCCCCAACGAGGGACATGGAGCAACCAATATAGGTGATGATGAGCAATGCCCTTCTGTGCTCGGATGGAATGTTATCCTCCTGAGAATCACGGAAATGAGATAAAAATTGGAAACTGGTTTGGAAATTATGACTAACAAGTTTTGACTTCGTTAAACATGGAACTTTCTCCATGATTAGTCCGTCCATAAACGAATAAAGGGGGAGAATGCAATAAGCTTAGAAAATGCCAAAAAAAAAATTCGAGACGCAATCACGAGAACGACAAATAACTTTAGGAGGATGTGCATAAGCGACACACGTGTTTTTTTTTTCTTAGTTCCCGACAAAGCTAATTAAGACAATTGAAAAGAACGTTTATAACATCACACCTCAATGTCCTTGTATTGCATTAGAACTGCGAAATTCGTGAGGTGGTTACAACTGCAAACGGTCGATAGCATCGAAGAGTCATTCAGTACCGTGCAACCAGCAGTTGACCATGAACCGTTCGACGAGCTAAAAATCAGTTGATCATAAAATTTGAATAAGAAAGAGAGAAAGAGGCAAAGAAAAAAGTAAAGAACTTTCACGAGCACCAAATGCAAACAAGTATATAAATATATATACCAACAGATTGATGGAATAATTAAAATGACCTACCTGAAATCGTCCGTCCAGAAGACACATTTCCTTTCAACAGCTTTTGGATCAATGCTCGGCTACCGGCGAAAGAAGCGTAATGACGTTATGATATGAAATGGTCCACGTGATGAATTATACTACTTTTTCCATCTAAGCCCAATTACAATCCTAATTCTCTAGCCGATAATTGCATCAAAAAACAATACAGTTTATTTTACCTCGTTGTGACTAAAATGAATGATGATTTTATTTTGAATAGTTTCATTCTGGGGAGGGTCAAGAACAACTCCCACGACATCAGAGATCAGTCTGTAGCTACAAAGACAACATAACAAAATTGTGTGATTATTAGAGAAGTTGAGTGTCAAATATCCAATCCGGGATTGTATATTTTTGCTTCGCTCTGCATTGTGATTTTTCTGGAAAACTTGCACCACCCTCTCAACCAATCGCATGCAAAACTAATAACAATAATTATTTTGTCCTCTGCGTTTTCCCTTAAGATGAATTGGGCAGTTTTCTTGGTTTTAGTTTGAGTTCTCATTGGTTACTAAAGGGTATTTTTGGTTTTAGTTTGAGTTCTTATTGGTTACTAAAGGGTATTTTTGGTTTTAGTTTGAGTTCTTATTGGTTACTAAAGGGTATTTTTGTTTTTTGTTTTACGACACTCAATCAAAAAATGCTCGATCTCATTAGTAACTAATCTTACATGAATATAGATCCTGAAATTGCCTGACCATTTCCTGCCATTTTCCCCTCAAGAATCTGACAACGTTAATTTGAAAACTGAAAACCTAAAGTTCAAAGGAGTTTTCTAAATATAAAGTGCTGTTTACCGGTACCGGTAAAGTTTTAGCATTTGAAAATCTCCTCCTATTTACGCCCTCCCTTGAGTCGCTATTGAAGAACAAACAATTCCAACAGTAATTTTCCACTCATCCAGAAAGGGCTCTCTTAACACACACCTAATGGGTTCATGTGAACTAACGAATTCGTACCTGCTTCTGTTATAAGTCCAAAGGCTGTCTTCATTACTTGCCTTCTGGTGCAACAATACTGCGATAACCCTTCCTGGAAGAATGGCCGAAAAAAAAAAAACTACGTGAGTAGAAGCTTGCCTACAGAACACAAATGATAACTTCGCTATTTTTTAAACACCAGATGATAATAAATGTGTGCGCTCAGAAGAAACTTCAATATTTACCTGCGTCTTTAAACACTTTGTGGGTGATAATAATTCTGACCAATCGGCTTTCATTACTGTTGTTATTTGTATCAAAACTTATTTCAATATCAGTGGAAATTCCTTTCGGCACTTTTCTCAACTTAGTATCTATGATATTTCAGAGAAAAAAAAATCAGAAAATTAATACATAGAGAACGACGAACTTTACCAAATAAGCCTTTTATCGTGGGCTATGACGCGACAGAATTCGTGATGTGATCCAAGATGGCGGCCATCATGACAGCCACATTTGGAACCCATTTCAAGACAAAAAGTAGGCTTTATTTTGGCAGCAATCGTCTCGGAATTTGATCTTAAGCGACCGAATGATTCAGAGGATTTTCCTAAATATTTCATTGAGTTGACTTAAAATCTGACGGGTTTATTGAAGAGGACTCCTATTTCTTTTGTCGTATGTCGTACGTTTTTACCATACCATATCATTTTTATCAATGATACAGAAATTAAGACCCATGTTGACACAATACGTACTTACCCAAACCTGATCCCATATCTATGAAATAAATATCATTCCCTTCTCTACAATAGTTTTGACAGCAGTTCAGGAGTGTGTCCTCGATTTGGCAGCTACCGACCAATGTACTATTATGCTCTTCACAAGACCAGGAATATTGTAACGCCTTTGATACAACAGGAGAAGCATGAACAGTTAAAGGGTTAATTTTGCTAAATGCAACCAGCTGAATTGGAATAGTTTGCTTAAATTGAAATCACAGATGATGCTCTATTTGGTTGGGAGTAAGAATACTTTTTTTTAAAAGTGTATGAATGTATTTTACCTGCAATTTTGAACGAGTTCCTTTACTTCGTGAGCACTTTGAAAGCTGCATGAAAAAGGAAACGTTTGATTGGAGTCAACTTATGAATTCAACGCATAATATTGGTAAATCTTAATTTGTTCGCGAATACACAAAGCCACTGAATAAACCATGATCTTTATTTACCAGATATTGGCGGCAATCATCTGTATAATTAGGCATAATACCATTCGGATCGGAATCATCTATAATTGTTAAAGAAAAATGAATGATTAGCAATGGGGTCAGTTTTGTTTGCTACACGTCGGTGAAACCCTTGAGCTCCCAGAAGTGAATAACACGTAGGGTTTTTTTCACAGTTTTCAATACGTTAGTTGATAAAAGAGTGGTAAAAACGAACGCAAAGTTGTCTTCGTAATTCATTTACAGATTAATAAAGACGTGTAGACCAGCTACTTTTTATGGTAATTTAGCGAGTCCAAATTGACAATAATGTTATGTCAAGGTTTCTTTTGGGGTTTTGGAATGAGCTGACTGTAATTCTTAACATTAATGATTAACTGGTACAGAAGAAAATCTTCGTAAGAAAGCTGCATTTAAAAGAAATTACATTACAGAAGTATGACATAATTGCTGAGCTACGAAGCTACACGTTGATATTTAGGCAAATGTTATCGAAGCCATGTAAATATTGATAAAGATTGGTAGACCTCACCGATATAGGAGACTACAACAGGAAGTCTAACGCTGCAATCCATCGACTTCAGCTTCATCGCAGAGTTACTTATGGCATAACAACGGTCCAATGATGTTGTGTTATCCAGGAGTTCTAAGGGTACCTGAGCTGAGATATAAGGTACACGCCCCCATTGAAACGAACCATTGCTATTGAGTTTTAGAGCAGTCCAGTAAGCAGAATCGAGGGATAAGTCGGGTTGCACGTCACAAAGCTGTTCTATACTGGAAATTCTTGCCGGGGGATAGTCAATTGCAATAACTGCTGCATTCCAAGTAACTTTAGGTATATCAAGTACTTCGTAGACCACATAAGAGGAGTGAGTTTCTAAAAAGTGATGAAAACTTTTTTTTTTTTTAAGCTTTGCCTTTACAAATGGTAATGTATTTTGAAGTCAGGGTTTTTATAATTGGGAAAATTTATAATTGATTCAATATATTTCACGATTTCACAATTTCACCATCTCATATGTCAAAAGTAAAAAAAAAACAACAACAATACAAAAACAGATTGACAAGATACCACAAATTGTATCAAAATATCTGACTGCGTTTATTACTCTGTCGTTGAAGAACTACAAAATCAGTTCAATCCCCCGACAATTAAATGAAATCTTAAATTTTTCATTAAACTGTGCAAAACAACCTTTACATTGTAGATTACATCTATTAACTACACTATACCCTGCTGGCATCCTCTTCTTAGAGTAAAATCAATGCAATTCATGTACGCACTCGTACATCAAAAGGCAGATTTCCTGTACAATTTATTAATCATCATCTATTTTAGATACCGTGCCTTTATGAATGCAGAAATCCGCTGTAAAACCAAATCCAAAATTATGCTTGGTTCATTTTAAATGAAATCAAATAACATGCAAATTACCCTTCCTATTTAAGACCAGTTCCACTCTTTCCGTCTACCCACTAAATAGAATATTTTTCTCCTAATGCAACAGAAAATTAGTGTTAATCATTTATTCATTGCTATCAAATGCGAGATTTATCGTAACAAAAGAGCCCGCAAATTTAAGATTTATTTCACATAATACATCTTCCCCGATTTAATGCCGCCTATGACATAATTATAGGAAGCATAATTGGCGTGATGTCTTATTGTGTAGACGTAGGCATGGCGGGTATCTTCTGCAAACACTGTATGCACTCCTAAATAGATAAATAGCATTTTTATCGAGCGTTTATTTCCGTTTTTTTGCGTTTTTTAGGAACCTATACTAAAACTACATGACAACAACTGTTTCTTACTTAGAATTTTACGCTAAAGGAACTGGCATATTATGGAAAAATAACATTAACTCTTGATCACAGACAGTCAATTTTAAGTTCCTTATGCAATAACGAGAAACATTGAATTGATATGCTTATTGTGATATTTACTGTTCAAAACAGACGAATCCAAGATAAACTAGGATTAGGTTTGGAGTAAGATTATAAAGTGAAGCGGGTCCTTAACTAATGGGATTTCGCTGAAGTTAAATAGCATATGATAAGATAACGAAAGTAGATCTGATTCAGAGCGGTGAAATAGCTTGAAGATGACAGTGATGCCGTAAACCTTCTGGAGTTTCGAGGAGAGCTTTGTTACTACGATCATTTCCAACGTCTATAATTTAAGATTTTTCTACGGATCAAGTTTTGAAGGCACTTGATATTTCCTGAATAACAAATACTAACGCTAAAGGACCATCCATGTCAAACAAACAGTTCACTAGAGGGTTATATTTAACAATCAAAAAATATTAACCAGTGACAGAGACTTGCTTTAAATAGCAGGAAAAGAAAAAGAAAATAAATGAAATTGGTCTAAAAATACGAAGTTTTTATATAAAAAATGTTCTTTTGCTGTATTTACACGTTGTCTAAAATTTCGTGTTCGTTGCAAGAAAAGCATGTCGCTTGATTGCCTTTCAGTGTTAAATTAATAATAACCGTATATCCTCTTCGTCTTCGATTAAAATAGAAAAGCATAGCACAATATCATTGAAAAGTAGCTCTTACCTTGAAAGAAGTGAACTAGCAAAGTCAGTAACATTTGAAAACGCAACCGAGTTGAATCCTGTCCCGCTTGATTCATCTTCCATCCGTCGGTTGAACTAACGAGGAAACTGGTCTTATTTAGACGCATACATAAATTAAACCATCTGTCAAAAATCCATTAACGTAACTGAGCTTCTAGACGTCGCGGTATATTTCAACTACGATCAATTCTGCTGAAATCCGCGGACCGATTTTCAGGAAGTTTAATATCTGTAACAGACTGTCGAGATGTCATGCATTACTTGTGATAATTGTTCTCACGAAAGAAATATTCTAAACCTAAGTTTAAAATATATTCACAGTTTTAATATTATCCTTACTTCTGTTGCTTTCCGGCTGGCAATTATAGGTTCTAATGTGCACTTTGAAATAAATGTATAGTCATACAAATGGAATGCAATTACTCCATCGAATCGATATTCTTTATGTCGAATTGAGTGAGCCTCTAAAACGGTGATTCAAGGTTTTTTAAGGATTCAACAATTCTTCCAGGTGTAAGCCAAATTCGTATATTTGTATTTGTATATATTTTCCTCGCCATGCAATCGAAATTAAATTTTCGAATCCGTGACTGAACATGGCTATTTCAACGTCAGTCAGGTTTCATAATGACTGTGTTTTGCATGCTCTTGCTAATTTACTATGATGATTAAAATGCGTTCCGTCATTTTATTTAAAAGGATAAAAAATTGTCGGAAGAATACAATATTTTAAGGACTCAAATTTCGAAAGCATTTCGAATTTTTCCGTTATCAACACAATTTTAAAATATACCTAAAAATACTACTGTAATGACGATATCTTACTCATAATCATAACTACTGTCGCATGTTAAACAGTTGACTTGATTAAATTTTTGAAAGGAAAAGCGACGGCAAATTGGCCAAAGTTTTGAACGGTCACGCTACTAGAAACATCTCCTTGAAATCCAATTGACTTATTTCGATCCAAACTCTGGTTTTCTTACACAATATTTATAGATGGGGTATTCTTTTTAAAAGAGTTTTATGAATGTGACTCATGGCAATTTGGCATGTTGGCAACATCGTGAACTGTACGATGGCGATACTAAAGAGAAGAAAAAAATTAAAGCTTTCCCAAATTGTCAGAATTTCTCCCCAAAGGTCCTTCACTGTTAATTAAGTCTTGGAGAATCGTATCGCACAGATAACAGGGTTCTTACGAAAATCTGCTTTACAGCTATTTGCAAAGCTGAATTAGACGAAACTTCATTTGCATTATGGTACACATGTATGACTCTGCAGTACACCTGCTTGCGTTTCCAGTTAAAGTTGTTATATAACTTAAAAAACTTTATTTACGACAGCAAGTTGTGCACAATGGCTCCTACATCAGCTATTATTGGCTGCATTATCATGCTAATAAACATATCCTGTACCTGAACCTTCTGGGCAGACTTGTTGTTTATATTTCGACAAGTAAGAACAAGGAAGCAGCATTCCGAGTTATATTTTTGCATGTTTGGTATATAGCACACGCTCAGAAAGCACGAACGTAGTGCACAGTGTTCTAAACCCTGAACGAAGTCATTTTAAGCTTCTCAACAGATTGCATGTTGAAAAATAATAAATTTGAAAACAATGCATAATAGAGAATAAGAAAGACAAAATAAAAAACGTTTGTGAACCAAGAGAATAGTTGGCCCATTATCATATTTATGATCGCATCCCGACGACTCAGTTATTAAAGTACAACGTCATTTCACAATCTAGCCAGTGTACATGTGATTCTTACTCCATGATGTAAACTGAAAAAAAATAGCGCACCCATTCATATGCTGGTTTCGTGACAACATTGTGGAGTCATGCTCAGAGCAACAGAAATCGGTTTAACTTGAGTATTACAATGCAGAACGATACCATTTTTTATTTAAATACGTATCCTTCTGGAGCTATGACTCGTTCAAAATACGAATACGTGAAACGACATAAATAATTAAATCCATTACACATATAATACAAAACAAAACTGTTTGAGTACAGTGGTTTCCTTAACACTTTTACGCAGAAAGAAATTATTAATGCTGGTGAAAAATGATATGAGTTAATGATTATATTGTGAAGAAAAGCTTTCGTAAGAAGAGCTTTCAAAAGAGTCATGCACGTAATAAACACTCGCAATTTCTGGAAACTTACAAACGCCGAGTTCCGCGTTTCATTCTCGTTCAGTTCTGATCATTAATTTAATCAAAAAGGGTTTTGTTCTTTCGGTGGATTCAAGAGATAAAGATTATTCTACTTTACTAAGTAAAATTCAACTGAACGACACCACATCTTGTTGGAAGGGAAATCCAGGCTCTAGTAGACTTTTACCCTAAATACAAGTTTAAAACGTGCTGTTTTAATCGATCGTTGACATTATCATTGATATTTTGTAGCATTTCCTGTGGGATGCAAGGTGGTTGATAAAGATAGTTTGATAATGTAACCCGAGCACTTGTTGACGCAGTTCGATGACTCTGCTTTTATGCTCATACGGCATAAAATTTCATGTTTTGCAGACACTGACAACGAGGAAAAAATATGGTTTAACGTATGTCTTGGCAGCTATTGCGTCACGTTTATAATTTTTTTTCTCCCCTAAAACATACTGCTGCAACAGAAGAAAGTTTGATTTTTCTTTACATAACGATTTAAGTCTCTGTCCTATTTCAGTTTGAAGGTAAATTTTTGTTACCTAATACAATCAGGTTATATCAGAAGAACTGGAGACGTAAACGTATATCCCTATGGACATCACTCAATGCAAAATAGATCAATATGACGACCCCTAAGGAAATGGGTTTTGAGTAACAAAGATGACTTATTATGATAAAAAACCGTGCACTACGGTATCAAATTAAAATCGACAATTTCAAGGAAGAGACTGACTAGTTTCCTTGCAGCAAACTATTTTAACCTCCGATTTAAGAACAATATAAACTGTCTGGCGACTTTCCCTCTGATAAAAAAGTTTTCTTGTCAAAAACCGACAGAGGTTAAAAAAATAATCTTGAAAGAGGATAAGGCTAACGCATGTGTACACGTACGCTAAGTTCTCAGGGGCATGCGTGTCCCTCGTTGCAGTCAAAGTACTGATCGTCTGCATATCGCTAATATATTAAAAACAATGGATAAGAAAATTTAGTAAATGCTCTTACAGCGAACTGTCCAAATATCATTTTTTAGTTCTATTTCTCAACATATACACTGCGCTCGTGATCGCGAGAGAAAACAGCGGAACAAACAACAAACAACGTCAGTTCCTTATTTACATTTTTACAATTTGTTTTATCTTCATTTCATGATATGACTTGCTTTAAAATGAACCATGCCGAGCGTCAATCCTACATTTACATTTTTGCGATAACTCACTTTCAATTATCAAACTGTTTTAAACCTGATCACTCCACGCAATGAAAAGTTTAACGAATGTTAAAAAGTCATTTCTTGATTGCCTTGATTTGGCGGTTTTGTTTGCTATCAGCCCTGATGATTGAGGTTCTTGGAGAGTTTAAGTTTAAAGATACTTTCTTTACAGATTGAAAACACATTGATCACTATCCCAGGATTTATCAAAAAGGAAATTCCCACGACGGTATAAATACATTTTCAAAGATGATGAGTAATAAGATAAATACCAGTTGGGGGATATTGTTTGATCAACACCAAAATTCTCAGAGCGAAAAGTTATAACAAATTATTGCAAACATTGCGGGGAAATTGTATATCGATGTTGCGCGTGAAAGTGTTAAGGAAACCACTGTACTTAAATCTTTATATTTCTTTTAAAGTATTCAAGATAATATAATATTAAAAATAAGGAGCTCGAGGTAAAATTAGAAAGGAGCGAGGATGGCAAGGTAGACTGGTGTGTGAACTGCAAGAAATCAATTTAAAAATTATGGGTGAAGTAGGGTAAGATCTAGATTTACAAACCTGTTAAGGACAAACAACTCTTTACTTTTTTGATCATACAAAACAAATATATTTTATGTTGGGGTGGGTCTGTAAAGTAACAGATTGTAAAAAAACTGTTGTACGAACACCAGTTACACACCCGGCTGCGCCTCGTGTGCCAATTTTTTTGTTCTTACCACTTTTAAACTTCATCTGTGATTTATGACTGAACAAGCACACGGCATCGTAGGATATATTTGTTAAGTCGGCAAGTCCAACACCGAAAGGTAACAAAGTAAATTTTAAAAAAAACAAGCCACATCTTATGAAACAAGTGCCTTAAAACGATTTTATTGTTTATTGATATCAAACAATAGATAGCACTGAAAACATACGATAAAAAGCTAAAAGCGAAAATGTAAATGTATATCGGCCAACACACACAAACAAACTGAAAAATTGAAAGGTTACACGGTGATACCACACAAAACTCTGCTAGAGCGAGTAGTACCTGCATGAATGAGTCTCTGAGACTCCAGATACGTCCTTTAGCCTCGTGATCTCCACTATGATCCGTATTAGGAGGACTAAGTTTATCTTTAAAAAACATTTCAAAGAGAGACAATGTCAGTTTTCCGTATATTACTGATTTCGATTTTTTTGTTTATCACTGGTTTCGAGTGTAAGGGCTAACGGTCAAACGTCAGCTTTAGATTCAATTGACGGTGGCCATACACTTTATAAACTAAGTTGATGAAATAAAATTCTTGCAATAACCCCCACGTCACTGACGCAGCACCATGTCAGTTTCTTTAGAAACTTACCTCTTTTACTCTATTGTAGTGGGTACATGGGCTTAGAGAGAAAAAAAAGGTGTGGATCAAACCTACATAGCACGCACCGGGTTCCTCTTTTGACTCTGCGGGGTTTTTAATCTGGTAAAACCCTAGTTTGTGGTCATTCAAATAAATCCATCATGACGTTCATCATTTGAATGCGAAGATCAGAAAAACGAGGTTCAACCTTTTACTGTTGATGAATGAAAGAACATCTATTTTGAGTTCTTCTCGTTTTCAATCAAACGGGCGGCAAGACGAGGGTGTGATATTTTTACTCACAAGTCTCACAATCGAGAAGTTGCGAATTTTGTTTTGTTTTGTTTTATATTCTCTTCCGGAGAAAAAACAGGTCTTAACTAACATAGTTTTACGACGGATTCTAACAGTCTTTATTAAAATTATAAAGCTATCACCATTTTTCCCAAATATTCCCTTTGCAGAATGCGGACGTTATGACTTTATGTTTGTTTTCAATATAGCGCGAGAGCAAATTATGGGAGGCGATTGCACCGCGCTTTATGCATACTAGGAAATAGGATAACTTTCGTACCGCGGAATTTGATTGCCCAATAATTTGGTGGAGGAATCTGACGGCGTCAGTGATGTGATTGAATACACGTAGCCTGTTGAGCAAAATAAAAAAAAAACAAACAAACAAACAAGTAGAACATGACTACGCGAAAAAAGTACCACATCCTGTTCTCACACAAAAGGATGAATAGGTATCTATTAGATGTCGGCTTATGTAAACGCAAAAAAAATTGTGGGAGGAGATTATTCACTTTTTCTTGCTTACGAAGCGCGAAATCTAGATATACTCGGATTGAACAGTCAAGTCAAATGGGAGAAATTGACGAGCGTATGCGACTATTTCCACTCGCCATTGTTTTTTTAACTCCTTTCGTTGAATTGAACTACGGAAAGAGAATGATACCCATGAAACTGAATGAATTAACGACGCGCGAGGCTTCAGACGTTATTACCAGGTTTAAATCACACACTAAAGGAAGGAGAATATGAGCCTTTCTGCGCACATCAGGAACAAAATCTTATTCACGCGGCGCGAAATTTAAATACACGCACATTAAGCAACGAGCAAATGACGATAGTTTTCTTCATGATTCAACGGCGCGGTAGGCTTCGGACGTTAATACCAGGTTACACATGCTCTCATTACCTTTGCATCGCACAGCAAGCCTCTAATTTAATATATCTTTCGCCAGTTTTAAGCAATATATAGGAAAAAACAACAGTCACTCTACGGATACGAAAGCTACAGTCGCCCCACCATCCACCCCACCGTGACTATTTGCAACCTAAAAATTTACCAGAATCACCCCCACGGGGAGGATTTGTCTTATCGTCAGTTTTGCCGATGGTTTAAATCTGCCGCTCGCTCGTATGATACTAGGGAATTTTGAAAAATCCCGCGTGTATTTTGAAGCTCTTTCCGCCATTGTTCCAAAGTAGCCGTATACGGTCATTTCCAATCGTTTAACAAAGCCTGCTGTTATCCAAGCTGATCCGCTTTTCTTGGTACGTTTTATCAAACATAGTGCATATTTTACTCACCATGCATGCAAGAAGTACCGATCCAACACCTACACGTACCTCTGGAGGCTGTTGTATCCGCACTGTACCGTTCTAACAAAGCATATTGTTTAAAAGTTCGTTAAAGTCGGATGTGGGAAACAAATACGTGTGTATGGTAAAAACGGTTCGAATTAGCCTCGTGAGAAAATGACTTTTTTATTGCAAAAAATTACAGGAAAACATAAGATGTTTTCTGCCATGATTTGGGTGTCTCGTGTGGTTTTTTCGGCTAAAGGTATATTCCCTCAAGAGCCCGGAAAAACCCCAGATAAACAGACCATATACTAGGTATACTTAATGATAAATCAATGCAGACTTTACTACGTCCTGAGCGACAGAGAATTTAATCATAATCTACCTCTTTATGAATATTTTTTAGTTTTTTTGTTTGTTTACCCCTTTGGGTTCGCATATGCTGCGGGAGAGTAGCATATTGTTTGTCTCTTCCATAGTAAAAGATTTAGGGCTAGTGGTTTGTTGTTCTCTTCAGGCAGCCAAACGTCGGCGACTGAATAATTGTTTAAACGACAGCCGTTTATTTTTATTTATTTATTTTATTTAGTGATTAATATCATTGTAATATGCTTATACACGTCATAAAACGATGTTCGCAATGAGGTCAACCGTTAGCCGTTAAATGGCAAAAAAAATTAGCCGTTAGGTATAAAAATTGACATGAGCTGTTAGTCGTGAAAAAACAGTCAACTGTAAAATGGTTTCTTTTAACTTAAACGGAAAGAAATTAGCCTTTAGCCGTAAAATGGCCGTAAAAGCCATGACCCATTAAAATCTCCAAAACGTTAGTTTGCAGTCGAGATTTTTGAACATGATTTTAAATCTTCTACGAATTCACTGTTTAATGTAATTTTGTTTGACACTATTAAATTAAATTAATATTGGAGAAATGCCTTGCTCGACACGGAGAATTTCCAGGAGGTAAAATATATTTGGAACTGAAAACCGTTTTGCAACGTTTACATAACATCAGTTTCTTAGCTTGTAGGTTTTCTGTTTCCCTTCTAGAGGGATATTAGCCTTCAAAATTAGCTAGAGAGAAATTAGCTTTCATAAGAAAAAACCAAAAAAGAGAAGAAAAAAAGAAAAGAAAAAAATCCGTGTACTGCAATTATTACTAAGATTTCTGGCAGAAAAGAAAAGCCATCGTTTTCCATGAATATAACTTGGTTCTAACTATTTCAATTTCATGTTGTCTCCTATTCATTTTTTGAAGTTGGGAGTTCCGTTTGCAGTTACCCTAAACTTTGATCTCTTGACCCTAAAATCAAAATTAATTGTTGGTCTGGTATCCGGTAACCTTGAATGAAAAGAAATGAAATTCATACCCCACCAATGCTCACGTTTACGCGATCATTTTTCCTCAAAAAAGTGCTAACAAAATAGGATACAGCCTCCACTGACTGCTTTTCACTCAAAATTGAGAAAGATGACTCAGGCTTTTACATTGGAATAGGACTAGCGAATTCGGTTTGAAATTGATCCAAGCATAAAGAAAAAATTAGTTTTATTTCTTTCGCAAAAGTAAATGAAGGCTATTGATTGCTTGGGTGTTGCTAAACTGTGGATCAGCTGGCCTCGGATCCGGAACCTCCGGAACCGGCGGAGTTTACAGGTGTTCAAAAGCTTTTTCTGTTATGGCGTGAGATTGGGGACAAAATCGATCATTACATTTAATTTCGTATCGTGTATTTTTTCTGTTTGAAGCAACATAAGGTGTCGGCGACTAACGAAATTACAGGTTAACCCGAAAATCAAATGACACCTAAACAAATAATTTTGGCTACCGATTTTCAGTGAATTTTTAAAGAACAATTTTCTTTTAAGTTTCAAGGCAATTTGAAGATTCAAAATAAATATTACGTACTAAAATGCAAAAGTTATACACCACAAAATTGATATATTGGCCTGAAATGAAATTTATCTTGTTCCTGATTAAATGTTGCCTAGCACGCGACCAAAATCTACCCAGGCGGAAATCCAAAATGACGGTGGCAGTTTGGGCTTAGTTATATCACTCAAAATTCGTTCCCGTTTCTCTCATTTGATAAAGAGGGAATCACTAATGTTTTCATGAAGACAGTATTGCCTTGATTTTCCAATATTTACAATGATAGACAGTAAATTTCACTTTTCACCCACATTTACTTCCAACCTTTTCTTTTGAACCAGAAACAAAAATGATATATGTTTAAAACGCATGACATCATCCACCCTTGTCAAATGTAATAGCATGATCATTTCAATTGTAATGCCTTCTTATCCCAACGTTACTTTGTTTCTTTGCTACATTAGCGAACACTGAACTACTGCTCGTACTCAAAATATGACAATCAACCTCAAAATTCCCTAAACCAGATAACATTAAACATAATCCAAAAAATCATGTAAGTAATCTGTCAATTCACGAGTTTGCTCACAGAGCACTTTGATTTGTAACATTTTGTAACACCACTTGGCGATCTATCTAAGCAGCTGCTAGGAGTAGAGCAACATGAAAGGACATTTCTTCTCCTATTGTGGCTTTGTTTTGGCTCTTATTTTCTTTTGAATAATGGCGGCCTGGGTGTGGACTTCTTTAACATTTATGGGAAGAATTTCGAATGGTTAAATCTCTTTAATGTTTGATTGAGCAGTGTTGCCTACAGAGAAATTAGATCCCAGTCACTCCTAAGGATTTAAGAGTTAAAAAAAGGTTGTTGGAAAATCTACAGACGGATTTAGTGAACGCTCGGAGGAGGTAGCCTTGTGATAAATGCTATCTGCTCTCCTGATGTTGTGTTATGACTCAGCTCCTTTTTAGTTTCTTCAGGGTCTATTTGCCGCTTCCGCTGGCCACCGTACTGTGCATACACCTCTGCCTGACTACGACCGGAAGAGCTCCTGTGAAATGTGTTGAATCTCCATTTCAGCATTTTGTGACGGAAAGCTGCACGAACTTCACTGTTTCTCAGCACGTGCAAGAGAAATATGAGCATACCCTACAAAAGTAAAAGGAAATCTTGCGTTTGACAAAGTTCCGTCATTGAACTATAATTCCTTGTATAAATTTAATTTTTAATCCGATGAAATAAACATACTGTTTTCTTAACAGAAGGCTTCGTGATCCAAATCGATAAATAAAGTGTGGGATTAAAATGGTTTTCCCCGGCCAGAGCCCTCTTATACTCAGACCCAGACCCATTTGACCAAAGAGACATGCGTATACGTAATTGGTACAGACCTGCGTAGAGTTAAGAATGGTAAAAACATACTGGAACACTAATCCTGCGTCTGTTACAGCCAAGAGACCAAATACCCACGTTAAACCCAGCAGAGGACTTAAAATAAGAAATGACTTCAGAGTTTTTCTAAAAGGGAATAAAACGAAAAACTGCTTTCACGTTACAATTTTCTTCTGAAGATATACCATGCCATATACATTTGGCATGGGAAATTATTCAGTTGGAAGAGAAATCGTTCGAACTATCTATTTAATCTTGAGTGAATAATGGAAAAGATTCTCTTTTGCGAATAATCCATGAAGGTCCAAGGAAAAAAGACAAAACGATTTCATGTCAAACTACTTCATCTAAGACTTCATAAAAAAAAACAACAACAACAACAACAAACAGATCTCCTAGCTGATTAACCTTTGATTTAGGTAAATTTAAGAGCTGTACGAGCACAAGTTCATAATTCTGCTAGAAAGTTAGTATTTCATTTCTATAAGTAAAAGAGAAGGCATATTTTGAAGAAAAATGATCATTGGGTGGCATTTTGCCTCTGGAACTCCAAGGAGAGATCTTCCTAACAAAAACATACCTGAAGGTCTTCATTTTAGAAGGATTAAGCTCATGAAGATTTCTGATTTCTCGCAACACCGCCATGAGTATTACAAAGTTGATCTTAACAAACGAGAATAGCAAAATAAAGACTTTTACCAATTGTCTAAAGGGCAATCATAATAGATGTGTCACTAAGTCGGTCAGCTAGCCAGTTAGTCAGTCAGTCAGAAAATGATGTAGCATTCATTAATTCTGTCATTTATTGATTTCCTCTTTCATTTATTCATTTATGCATTCTTCGTGTTTGTCATTTCCGGCTATCAGCTAAGATAACAGTGAAAGCAAAGAGACGGTGGACTTACAATTGTCACAAATAACACAGGGACAATAAAGGCCCAGCTCAAACGCTTCTGGAAGGACAACCAGCAGCTGAAAGTTAATTCAGACGACAGAGCTGTCTAAAAACGCAGCTTATGAGTCATTATCTAATGAAAATAAGGAGTTATAATGAAGAATAAAACGCTGAGTACTTACAAGTTTTCATTTGTGTAACTCTCAAGTCCTTTTTCACCGCTCGAGCCAATTATTAGAGAAATAACTATTGGTATGATAGGGAAACCTATAGGATAAGAATGAAAGCAGCTCAATAACTCAGTAACACATAGGCCTACAAGAGTCTAAAATATAAAAATCAGCTCAACAGGTTCAGGGAGCACTCCAAAAGCAATAACAACGAAAAAATAACAACAACAATAACAACAACAACAACAAAAGTAAAATAACAACAACAGACAAAATACGGTCAACCAGAATACAAGAAGGCCCGTTCCTATCATGCGTTGCAGTGGTTGCACTGGCCTCAGTATTCTCTTCCACGTGAAATATGCATCGCTTTCTAGAGCTATACCAAGTAATATCCCTCTTTTCAATTGTAGCTAATAATGACTGGTGCGATATTTTGTAGATAAGTTGATATCATTGTCAATATTTTCATCACCGTAGCAATGATATTGTTACATTTCTTACCCCAGCCAAAGAAATAGAGGTATCGCATGTCCACTGTGTTGAATACCTCAACAATCATTACGTACAGGAAAACTCCCTCCAGAAGCATCCACCCAAACGCTGCCAGATAGAAGTAATGGAGTAAAACAGCCACTAAGATGCACACGGACTGAAATGTGAGACCCAGAAGTAGGCTGATAATTAGAGGCTCCGAGTAAATATCAGGCCAAGAGACTGAGTACTTCATAGAAATCTTAGACCAAAATTGGTTCCGGACAAGGGAACTCGATCGTCTTTTAGAAATACGCAATAGTGTAGACTGAAGTAACGAGAGCCAACTATCTAGCGACAACATGTCTTGAAATTTCTAGTAGAAACTCTCTCTCAATGTTGTACATACACCGCCGTATGGGATGCTCAATTTATCCTGGAGAGATTCGAGAGGATTGGTTTTCGAAACGGGAATTACGTGATGCTATCTCAGTAGTGATCACCTTGGGCAGACGGCCATTTAGGGAACACCGTTGTTCCTCGCTTACGAAGAACGAGGAAACATGTGATTTCAAACGTTTGTTAGCTCACCTTATTACTCGTGGCATCGATTCCGGACAAAAATACTAGTTGAGCGAGAAACAGAGCTGTGCAAAGATTTAGCCTGACTTGGATTCCTTCGTCTTTGATCTTCCTGTTTAAATGCATTCAATAAACGAAATGGGCATGACATTTTTCCTCGCAATCACCTAGTAGTCTAGAGCAAACGCTACTGGGGGGGAATGGAAGAAAGGTGCCTATGTAGTTTGTAATATATTATTGGGTCGTTCTCTGCTTGTATTTCATTACTATGAAAGATGTTTAAAAGTTGATTTTAGTAGGTATTTTTGTGTCAAAATACCTCAACTTCAGCCGAAAAAAAAGAGAGATTTTGGTGCAATGGTTCCTCAATTACTAATCTCGTCTTAAAACAAATTTTTTTAGAAACAAAACAAAACCAGACAACTAGCGCGTTCTGCAAAATAATATTTCTCGCACTTTGATAGTAATTTACGAATCTTGAGATTTACCTTGCTCTCATGTATAGGTAAGACATTTTTTCCTCTTTTTTTGCTTTTGTTTTTTGTTTTTTAGTAGTACTCACATAAATGTCACGTAGACGAAGATAACCATTACTTCCCCAACGAGGGACAAGGAGCAACCAATATAAGTGATGGTAAGCAATGCCCTTCTGTGCTCTGGTGGTATGTTATCCTCCTGAGAATCACGAAAATGAGATAAAAATTGGAAACTGGTTTGGAAATTATGATTAACAAGTTATGACTTCGTTAAACATGGAACTTTCTATATGATTAGTCCTTCCATAAACGAATAAAGGGGGAGAATGCAATAAGCTTAGAAAATGCCAAAAAAAATTCGAGACGCAATCACGGGAACGACAAATAACCTTAGGAGGATGTGCATAAGCGACGCACATACTTTTTTTCTTAGTTCCCGACAAAGCTAATTAAGACAATTGAAAAGAACGTTTATAACATCACACCTTAATGTCCTTGTATTGCATTAGAACTGCGAAATTCGTAAGGTGGTTACAACTGCAAACGGTCGATAGCATCGAAGAATCATTCAGTACTGTGCAACCATCAGTTGACCATGAACCGTTCGACGAGCTAAAAATCAGTTGATCATAAAATTTGAATAAGAAAGAAAGAAAGAGGCAAAGAAAAAAATAAAGAACTTTCACGAGCACCTAATGTAAAAAAGTATATAGATATATATACAAACAGATTGATGGAATAATCAAAATGACCTACCTGAAATCCTCCATCCAGAAGACACATTTCCTTTCAACAGCTTTTGGATCAATGCTCGGCTATCGGCGAAAGAAGTGTAATGACGTTATGATGTGAAATGGTCCACGTGATGAATTATACTAGTTTTTCCATCTAAGCCCAGTTACAATCATAATTCCTTAGCTGATAATTGCTTCAAAAAACAATATAGTTTATTTTACCTCGTTGTGACTAAAATGAATGATGATTTTATTTTGAATAGTTTCATTCTGGGGAGGGTCAAGAACAACTCCCACGACATCAGAGATCAGTCTGTAGCTACAAAGACAACATAACAAAATTGTGTGATTATTAGAGAAGTTGAGTGTCAAATATCCAATCCGGGATTGTATATTTTTGCTTCGCTCTGCATTGTGATTTTTCTGGAAAACTTGCATCACTCTCTCAAACAATCGCACAGAAAACTAATAACAACAATTATTTTGTCCTCTGCGTTTTCCCTTAAGTTGAATTGGGCAGCTTTCTTGGTTTTTGTTCGAGTTCTTATTGGTTACTAAAGGGTATTTTTGGTTTTAGTTTTACGACACTCGATCAAAAAAACGCTCGATCACATCACTAGCTAATCTTATATGAGTATATATCCAGACATTGCCTGACCATTTCCTGACATTTTCCCCCCAAGAATCTGAAAACGTTAATTTGCAAACTGAAAACCTAAAGTTTAAAGGAGATTTCTAAATATAAAGTGCTGTTTACCGGTATCGGTAAGGTTTTAGCACATGAAAATCTCCTCCCATTTATGCCCTCCCTTGAGTCGCTATTGAAGAACAAACAATTCAAACAGTAATTTTCCACTCATCCAGAAAGGATTCTCTTAACATACACTTAATGGGTTCATCTGAACTAAAAAATTCGTACCTGCTTCTGTTATAAGTCCAAAGGCTGTCTTCATTACTTGCCTTCTGGTGCAACAATACTGCGATAACCCTTCCTTGAAGAATGGCAAAAAAAACAATAAATACTACGTAAGTAAAAGTTTGCTTACTGAACACAAACAATAACTTCGCTATTTTTTAAACACCAGCTGATCATAAATGTTAGCGCTCAGAAGAAACCCCAATATTTACCTGCGTCTTTAAACACTTTGTGGGTTATAATAATTCTGACCAATCGGCTTTCGCTGCTGTTGTTATTTGTATCAAAACTTATTTCAATATCAGTGGAAATTCCTTTGGGCACTTTTCTCAACTTAGTATCTATGATATTTCAGAGGAGAAAAATTAGAAAATTAGTACAAAGAGAGCGACTAACTTTACCAAATAAGCTTTTTATCGTGGGCTATGACGCTACAGAATTCATGACGTCCTCCAAGATGGGGGCCATCTTGACAGCCACCATTTTGGAACCCATTTCAAGACAAAAAAAATAGGTTTTATTTTGGCAGCAATCGTCTCGGAATTTGATCTTAAGCAACCGAATGATTAAGAAGATTTTCAGAAATATTTGACTTAAAATCTGACGGGTTTATTGAAGAGGACTTCCTATTTCTTTTCATGTCGTATGTTTTTACTAAACCATATCATTTTTATCAATGATACAGAAATTACGACCCATGTTGACACAATAGGTACTTACCAAAACCTGATCCCATATCTATGAAATAAATAGCATTCCCTTCTCTACAATAGGTTTGGCAGCAGTTCAGGAGTTTGACCTCGATTTGGCAGCTAAGAATCAATGCACCATGATGCTCTTCACAAGACCATGAATATTGTAACGCCTTTGATGCAACGGGGGAAGCATGAGCAGTTAAAGGATTAATTTTACTAAATACAACCAGCTGTCTTAAGACAGTTTGCTTAAATTGAAATTACAGATGATGCTCTATTTGGTTGGGGGCAAGTGTATGGATTTATTTTACCTGCAATTTTATACGAGTTTCTTTATTTCGTGAGCACTGTGAAAGCTGCATGAGAGAAAGAAAGAGAAAATGTTTCACTGGAGTGAACTTATGAATTAAACGCATATATTGGTAAATCTTCGTTCGCGAATACACAAAGCCACCGAATATACCATGATCTTTATTTACCAGATATTGGCGGCAATCATCTGAATAATCTGGCTTCTCGTTCTGACTTGAATTATCTATAATTATAAAACAAAAATGAATGATTAGTAATGGGGTGTGTTTTGCTTGCTACACCTCGCTGTAATCCTTTAGCTCCCAGAAGTGAATAACACGCAACGTTTTATTTTTTAAATTTCAATACATTAGCTGATAAAAGAGTGGTGAAAACGAACGCAAATTATGGTAATTTAACGGGTCCCAAATTTACAAAAATGTCAGGTCAAGGTTTCTTTTGGGATATTGGAATGAGCAGATAGGAATTCTTAACGGAATTGATACCGGTACAGAAAAACATCTTCGTAGGAAAGCCGCACTTAGAAAAATTATCTAAATATTGATAAAGATTGGTACACCTCACCACTGTAAGAAGTTAAAACAGGGAGTACACAGCTGCAGTTCATAGACTTCAGCTTCATCGCAGATTTACTTATGGCATAACAACGATCCACGGGCTTTGTTCTGTCCAGAAGCTCTAGGGATACGTTGGCTGAGTTGTTCGGTAGAGGACCCCATTGAAGCGAATCCCAGATATTGAGTTTTAGAGCAGTCCAGAAATCTGAGTCAGGAGACAAATCTGCCTGAGCGTCGCATAATTGTTCTATATTTTCAATCCTTGCCAAGGGAAATTTAGATGTTAATGGATATTCGCTTAAGGCCGAGGTCCAATTAAAAGGATCATAAACTGCTTCGTAGTTGTCGTATGACGAGTGAGTTTCTGAAAAGTGATAGAATATTTTCCATAAGCTAGGCCTTAAGATATTAATACATTTTTAAATAAGTGTTAAGTAAAGGCTGATTTTCATATTTAAAAAAACCCTGACTGATCCGAAAAATTTCACGATTTCACCTTTTTTTTTTCCATTGTGGATCTAACCTAAGGTAACAAAAGATTGACGCAAGGCCACAGATTGTAGCGAATTATCAACCGCACTAATTACTCTTACACTTCGAAATCGGTACAATCCAAAGGACAATCAAATGGCAGATCGACAGTTCGAAGAAGTGTAGAAGTCGTCTTAAAATTTTTCTTAAAACTTTACGAGATAATCGATTTATTGTAGAATGCATTTAGAAATCTGATTTACCACCTCAATATCCTCTGTACTGCGCTTAGTATCAATCCATTGAACTGATCTATCAAAAGGCAGACCACCTGTACGATGCATTAGTCACCGCTCATTTTAGATACCTTTGTAAATGTTAAGGTCGGGCATTAAACCATATCTAAAATTATCCTTGGTTCATTTAAAAGTAAAATCAACTAAATACAAATTGCATTTTGAACTCAATACTAATTTCCTTCTCTCCGTCTACTCATTAAATAGAATATTTTTCTCCCAATGAGACATAAAAGAAGTTTTTATCATTTATTTATTGCTATCAAACGCGAGATTTTTCTTTACAGATGAGCCTACAAATTTAAGATTCACTTCGCATCATATATCTTCCCCGATCTAATGCAGCCCAAAACATAATTCTAGGAAACATAATTGGCGTGATGTCATACTGTGTAGACATTGGCATGGCGGTTATCTTTGGCAGACACTGTATGCACTCCTAAATAGATAAATAGCATTTTTGTCGAGCGTTTATTTCCGTTTTTTTACGTTTTTTAGGAACCTATACTAAAACTACATGACAATAACTGTCTCTTACTTAGAATTTTACGCTGAAGGAACTGGAATATTATGGATAAATAACTTTAACTCTTGACCACAGACAGTCCATTTAAAGTTCCATATGCAGTAACGAGGAGCATCGAAGTGGTGTGCTTATTGTGATTTTTGCTGTTCAAAACAGACGAATCCGAGACAAACTACGATTGGGTTTGGATTAAAGATTATAAAGTGAAGCGGGTCCTTAACTAATGGGATTTCGCTGAAGTTAAATAGCATATGATAAGATAACGAAAGTAGATTTGATTCAGAGCGGTGAAACAGCTTGAAGATGTTAGTGATGCCGTAAAACTGGTGGAGTTTCGAGGAGAACTTTGTCACTACGATCATTTCCAACGTCTATGATTTAAGATTTTTCTACGGATCAAGTTTTGAAGGCACTTGATATTTCCTGAATAACAAATATTAACGCTAAATAACCATCCATGTCAAAACAAACAGTTCACTAGAGGGTTATATTTAACAATCAAAAAATATTAACCAGTGACAGAGACTTGCTTTAACTAGCAGGAGAAGCAAAAGAAAATAAATGAAAATAATCTTAAAATACGAAATTTTTATTATAAAAATGTTCTTTTGTTGTATTTACACGTTGTCTAAAATTTCGTGTTCGTTGCAAGAAAAGCATGTCGCTTGATTGCCTTTCAGTGTTGAATTAATAATAACCGTATATCCTCTTCGTCTTCAATTAAAATAGAAAAGCATAGCACAATATCACTGAAAAGTAGCTCTTACCTTGAGAGAAGTGAACTAGCAAAGTCAGTAACATTTGAAAACGCAACCGAGTTGAATCCTGTCCCGCTTGATTCATCTTCCATCCGTCGGTTGAACTAACGAGGAAACTGGTCTTATTTAGATGCATACATAAATTAAACCATCTGTCAAAAATCCATTAACGTAACTGAGCTTCTAGACGTCGCGGTATATTTCAACTACGATCAATTCTGCTGAAATCCGCGGATCGATTTTCAGGCAGTTTTATATCTGTAACAGACTGTCGAGATGTCATGCATTACTAGTGATAATTGTTATTACGAAAGAAATATTCTAAACCTAAGTTTAAAATATATTCACAGTTTTAATATTATCCTTACTTCTGTTGCTTTCCGGCTGGCAATTATAGGTTCTAATGTGCACTTTGAAATAAATGTATAGTCATACAAATGAATGCTATTACTCCATCGAGTCGATATTCTTTATGTCGAATTGAGTGAGCCTGTAAAACGGTGATTCAAGTTTTTTTACGGATTCAGCAATTCTTCCGGTGTAAGCCAAATTCGTATATTTGTATTTGTATATATTTTCCTCGCCGTGCAATCGAAATTGAATTTTCGAATCCGTGACTGAACATGGCTATTTCAACGTCAGTCAGGTTTCATAATGACTGTGTTTTGCATGCTCTTGCTAATTCACTATGATGATGAAAATGCGTTCTGTCATTTTATTTAAAAGGGTAAAAAATTGTTGGAAGAATACAATATTGTTAGGACTCAAATTTCGAAAGCATTTAGAATTTTTCCGTTATCGACACGATTTTAGAATATACCTAAAAATGCTACTGTAATGACTATATCTTACTCATAATAATAACTACTGTCGCATGTTAAACAGTTGACTTGATTAAATTTTTCAAGGAAAAGCGACGGCATATTGGCCAAAGTTTTGAACGGTCGCGATACTAGAAAGCTTCTCAACAGATTGCATGTTGAAAAATAATAAATTTGAAAACAATGCATAATAGAGAATAAGAAAGACAAAATAAAAAACGTTTGTGAACCAAGAGAATAGTTGGCTCATTATCATATTTATGATCGCATCCCGACGACTCAGTTATTAAACTACAGCGTCATTTCACAATCTAGCCAGTGTACATGTGATTCTTACTCCATGATGTAAAAAAAAAATAGTGCACTCATTCATATGCTGGTTTCGCGACAACATTGTGGAGTCATGCTTAGAGCAACAGAAATCGGTTTAACTTGAGTATTACAATGCAGAACGATACCATTTTTTATTTGAAAACGTATCCTTCTGGAGCTATGACTCAATCAAAATACGAATGCGTGTAAACGACATAAATAATTGAATCCATCACACAATTAATACAAAACAAAACTGTTTGAGTACAGTGGTTTCCTTAACACTTTCACGCAGAAAGAAATTATTAATGGTGGTGAAAAATGATATGAGTTAATGATTGTGAGGAAAAGCTTTCGTAAGAAGAGCTTTCAAAAGAGTCATGCACGTAATAAACACTCGCAATTTCTGGAAACTTACAAACGCTGAGTTCCGCGTTTCATTCTCGTTCAGTTCTGATCATGAATTAAAAAGGGTTTTGTTCTTTCGGTGGATTCAAGAGATAGAGATTATTCTACTTTACTAAGTAAAATTCAACTGAACGACACCACATCTTGTTGGAAGGGAAATCCAGGCTCTAGTAGACTTTTACCCTAAACACAAGTTTAAAACGTGCTGTTTTAATCGATCGTTGACATCATCATTGATATTTTGTAGCATTTCCTGTGGGAGGCAAGGTGGTTGATAAAGATAGTTTGATAATGTCACCCGAGCACTTGTTGACGCAGTTCGATGACTCTGCTTTTATGCTCATACGGCATAGAATTTCATGCTTTGCAGACACTGCCAACGAGGAAAAAATTATGGTCTAACGTATGTCTTGGCAGCTATTGCGTCACGTTTATAAATTTTTTCTCCCCTAAAACATACTGCCGCAACAGAAGAAAGTTTGATTTTTCTTTACATAACGATTTAAGTCTCTTACCTACATCAGTTTGAAGGTAAATTTTTATTACCTAATACAATCAGGTTATATCAGAAGAACTGGAGACGTGAACGTATTTCCCTATGGACATCATTCAATGCAAAATATATCAATATGCCGACCCCTAAGGAAATGGGTTTTGAGTAACAAAGATGACTTATTATGATAAAAAACCATGCACTACGGTATCAAATTAAAATCGACAATTTCAAGGAAGAGACTGACTAGTTTCCTTACAACAAACTATTTTAACCTCCGATTTAAGAACAATATAAACTGTCTGGTGACTTTCCCTCTGATAAAAAAGTTTTCTTGTCAAAAACCGACAGAGGTTAAAAAAATAATCTTGAAAGAGGATAAGGCTAACGCATGTGTACACGTACGCTAAGTTCTCAGGGGCATGCGTGTCCCTCGTTGCAGTCAAAGTACTGATCGTCTGCATATCGCTAATATATTAAAAACAATGTATTAGAAAATTTAGTAAATGCTTTTACAGCGAACTGTCCAAATATCATTTTTTAGTTCTATTTCTCAACATATACACTGCGCTCGTAATCGCGAGAGAAAACAGCGGAACAAACAACAAACAACGTCAGTTCCATATTTACATTTTACAATTTGTTTTATCTTCATTTCATGATATGACTTGCTTTAAAATGAACCATGCCGAGTGTCAATCCTACATTTACATTTTTGCGATAACTCACTTTCAATTTTCAAACTGTTTTAAACCTGATCACTTCACGCAATGAAAAGTTTAACGAATGTTAAAAAGTCATTTCTTGATTGCCTTGATTCGGCGGTTTTGTTTGCTATCAGCCCTGATGATTGAGGTTGTCGGAGAGTTTAAGTTTAAAGATACTTTCTTTACAGATTGAAAACACATTGAACACTATCCCAGGATTTATCAAAAAGAATTCTCCCGACGGTATAAATACATTTTCAAACAGATATATGATTAGTAATAAGATAAATACCAGTTGGGGATATTGTTTGATCAACATCAAAATTCTCAGGGCTAAAAGTTATAACAAATTATTGCAAACATTGCGGGGAAATTGTATATCGATGTTGCACGTGAAAGTGTTAAGGAAACCACTGTACTTAAATCTTTATATTTCTTTTAAAGTATTCAAGATAATATAATATTAAAAATAAGGAGCTCGAGGTAAAATTAGAAAGGAACGAGGATGACTAAGCAGATGTGTGTGAACTGCAAGAAATCATTTAAAAAATTATGGGTGAAGTAGGGTAAGATCTAGATTTACAAACCTGTTAAGGACAAACAACTCTTTCCTTTTTTGATCATACAAAACAAATATATTTTATGTTGGGGTGGGTCTGTAAAGTAACAGATTGTTAAAAAAACTGTTGTACGAACACCAGTTACACACCCGGCTGCGCCTCGTGTGCCAATTTTTTTGTTATTACCACTTTTAAACTTCATCTGTGATTTATAACTGAACAAGCACACGGCATCGTAGGATATATTTGTTAAGTCGGCAAGTCCAACACCGAAAGGTAACAAAGTAAATTTCAAAAAAACAAGCCACTTCTTATGAAACAAGTGCCTTAAAACGATTTTTTTGTTTTTTGATATCAAACAATAGACACCACTGAAAACATACGATAAAAAGCTAAAAGCGAAAATGTAAATGTATACTTCGGCCAACACACACAAACAAACTGAAAACTTGAAAGGTTACACGATCGATGATACCACACAAAACTCTGCTAGAGCGAGTAGTACCTGCATGAATGAGTCTCTGAGACTCCAGATACGTCCTTTAGCCTCGTGATCTCCACTATGATCCGTATTAGGAGGACTAAGTTTATCTTTAAAAAAACATTTCAAAGAGAGACAATGTCAGTTTTCTGTATATTACTGATTTCGATTTTTTTGTTTATCACTGGTTTCGATTTTTTTGTTTATCACTGGTTTCGATTTTTTTGTTTATCACTGGTTTCGAGTGTAAGGGCTAACGGTCAAACGTCAGCTTTAGATTCAATTGACGGTGGCCATACACTTTATAAACTAAGTTGATAAAATAAAATTCTTGCAATAACCCCCACGTCACTGACGCAGCACCATGTCAGTTTCTTTAGAAACTTACCTCTTTTACTCTATTGTAGTGGATACATGGGCTTAGAGAGAAAAAAAAAGTTGTGGATCAAACCTACATAGCACGCACCGGGTTCCTCTTTTGACTCTGCGGGGTTTTTTAATCTGGTAAAACCCTAGTTTGTGGTCATTCAAATAAATCCATCATGACGTTCATCATTTGAATGCGAAGATCAGAAAAACGAGGTTCAACCTTTTGCTGTTGATGAATGAAAGAACATCTATTTTGAGTTCTTCTCGTTTTCAATCAAACGTGCGGCAAGACGAGGGTGTGATATTTTTACTCACAAGTCTCACAATCGAGAAGTTGCGAATTTTGTTTTGTTTTATATTCTCTTCCGGAGAAAAAACAGGTCTTAACCAACATAGTTTTACGACGGATTCTAACAGTCTTCATTAAAATTATAAAGCTATCACCATTTTTCCCAAATATTCCCTTTGCAGAATGCGAAAGTTATGACTTTATGTTTGTTTCAATATAGCGCGAGAGCAAATTATGGGAGGCGATTGCGCCGCGCTTTATGCAAACTAGGAAATAGGATAACTTTCGTACCGCGGAATTTGATTGCTCAATAATTTGGTGGAGGAATCTGACGGCGTCAGTAAGGTGATTGAATACACGTAACCTGTTGAGCAAAATAAAAAAAACAAACAAACAAACTAGTAAAACATGACTACGCGAAAAAAATCTCACCTCCTGTTCTCACACAAAAGGATGAATAGATATCTATTAGATGTTGGCTTATGTAAACGCAAAATAAATTGTGGGAGGAGATTATTCAGTTTTTCTTGCTTACGAAGCGCGAAATCTAGATATACTCGGATTGAACAGTCAAGTCAAATGGGAGAAATTGACGAGCGTATGCGACTATTTCCACTCGCCATTGTTCTTTTAACTCCTTTCGTTGAATTGAAATACGGAAAGAGAATGATACCCATGAAACTGAATGAATTAACGACGCGCGAGGCTTCAGACGTTATTACCAGGTTTAAATCACACGCTAGAGGAAGGAGAATATGAGCCTATCTGCGCACCTCAGGAATAAAATCTTATTCACGCGGCGCGAAATTTAAATACACGCACATTAAGCAACGAGCAAATGACGATAGTTTTCTACATGATTCAACGGCGCGGTAGGCTTTGGACGTTAATACCAGGTTACACATGCTCTCATTACCTTTGCATCGCACAGCAAGCCTCTAATTTAATATATCTTTCGCCAGTTTTAAGCAATATATAGGAAAAAACAACAGTCACTCTACGGATACGAAAGCTACAGTCGCCCCACCATCCCCCCCACCGTGACTATTTGCAACCTAAAAATTTACCAGAATCACCCCCACGGGGAGGATTTGTCTTATCGTCAGTTTTGCCGATGGTTTAAATCTTCCGCTTGTATGACACTAGGAAATTTTGAAAAATCCCGCGTGTATTTTGAAGCTCTTTCCGCCATTGTTCCAAAGTAGCCGTATATGGTCATTTTTAATCGTTTAACAAAGCCTGCTGTAATCTAAGCTGATCCGCTTTTCTTGGTACGTTTTAACAAACATAGCGCATATTTTACTCACCATGCATGCAAGAAATACCGATCCAACACCTACACGTACCTCTGGAGGCTGTTGTATCCGCACTGTACCGTTCTAACATAGCATATTGTTTAAAAGTTCGTTAAAGTCGGATGTGGGAAACAAATACGTGTGTATGGTAAAAACGGTTCGAATTAGCCTCGTGAGAAAATGACTTTTTTTATTGCAAAAAATTACAGGAAAATATAAGATGTTTTCTGCCACGATTTGGGTGTCTCGTGTGGTTTTTCCGGCTAAAGGTATATTCCCTCAAGAGCCCCGAAAAACCCCAAATAAACAGACCATATACTAGGTATACTTAATGATAAATCAATGCAGACTTTACTACGTCCTGAGCAACAGAGAATTTAATCATAATTTACCTCTTTATGAATATTTTTTAGTTTTTTTGTTTGTTTACCCCTATGGGTTCGCATATGCTGCGGGAGAGTAGGTAGCAATGTTGTTTTTCTCTTCCATAGTAAAAGATTTAGGGCTAGTGGTTTGTTGTTCTCTTCAGGCAGCCAAACGTCGGCGACTGAATAACTGTTTAAACGACAGCCGTTTATTTTCATTTTTTTTTTTTATTTAGTGATTAATATCATTGTAATATTCTTATACACGTCATAAAACGATGTTCGCAATGAGGTCAACCGTTAGCCGTTAAATGGTATAAAAAATATAATATAGGTATAAAAATTGACATGAGCTGTTAGTCGTGAAAAAACAGTCAACTGTAAAATGGTTTCTCTTAACTTAAACGGAAAGAAATTAGCCTTAAGCCGTAAAATGGCCGTAAAAGCCATGACCCATTAAGTCTCTCCAAAACGTTAGTTTGCAGTCGAGATTTTTGAACATGATTTTAAATCTTCTACGAATTCACTGTTTAATGTCATTTTGTTTGACACTATTAAATTAAATTAATATTGGAGAAATGCATTGCTCGACATGGAGAATTTCCAGGAGATAAAATATATTTGGACCTGAAAACCGTTTTGCAACGTTTACATAACATCACTTTCTTAGCTTGTAGGTTACCGTTTCCCTTCTAGAGGGAAATTAGCCTTCAAAATTAGCTAGAGAGAAATTAGCTTTCATAAGAAAAAAATAAAAAAAGAGAAGAAAAAAAGAAAAGAAAAAAATCCGTGTACTGCAATTATTACTAAGATTTCTGGCAGAAAAGAAAAGCCATCGTTTTTCATGAATATAACTTGGTTCTAACTATTTCAATTTCATGTTGTCTCCTATTTATTGTTTGAAGTTGGGAGTTCCGAGTGCAGTTACCCTAAACTTTGATCTATTGACCCTAAAATCAAAATTAATTGTTGGTCTGGTATCCGGTAACCTTGAATTAAAAGAAATGAAATTCATACCCCACCAATACTCACATTTACGCGATCATTTTTCCTCGAAAATGTGCTAACAAGACAGGATACTACATTAGCGAACACTGAACTACTGCTCGTACTCAAAATATGACAATCAACCTCAAAATTCCCTAAACCAGATAACATTAAACATAATCCAAAAAATCATGTAAGTAATCTGTCAATTCACGAGTTTGCTCACAGAGCACTTTGATTTGTAACATTTTGTAACACCACTTGGCGATCTATCTAAGCAGCTGCTAGGAGTAGAGCAAGATGAAAGAACATTTTTTCTCCTATTGTGGCTTTGTTTTGGCTCTTATTTTCTTTTGAATAATGGCGGCCTGGGCGTGGACTTCTTTAACATTTATGGGGAGAATTTCGAATGGTTAAATCTCTTTAATGTTTGATTGAGCAGTGTTGACTACAAAGAAATTAGATCCCAATCACTCCTAAGGATTAAAGAGTTAAAAAAAATGATGTTGGAAAATGTACAGACGGATTTAGTGAACGCTCGGAGGAGGTAGCCCTGTGATAAATGCTATCTGCTCTCCTGATGTTGTGTTATGACTCAGCTCCTTTTTAGTTTCTTCAGGGTCTATTTGCCGTTTCCGCTAGCCACCTTACTGTGCATACACCTCTGCCTGACTACGACCGGAAGAGCTGCTGTGAAATGTGTTGAATCTCCATTTCAGCACTTTGTGACGGAAAGCTGCACGAACTTCACTGTTTCTCAGCACGAGCAAGAGAAATATGAGCATACCCTACAAAAGTAATAGGAAATCTTGTGTTTGACAAAGTTCCGTCATTGAACTATAATTCCTTGTATAAATTTAATTTTATCAAACTCCGATGAAATAAACAGACTGTTTTCTTAACAGAAAGCTTCGTGATCCAAATCGATAAATAAAGTGTGGGATTAAAATGGTTTTCCCAGAGCCCTCTTATACTCAGACCCAGACCCATCTGACCAAAGTGACGTGCGTATACGTAATTGGTACAGACCTGCGTAGAGTTAAGAATGGTAAAAACATACTGGAACACCAATCCTGCGTCTATTACAGCCAAGAGACCAAATACCCACGTTAAACCCAGCAGAGGACTTAAAATAAGAAATGACTTCAGAGTTTTTCTAAAAGGGAATAAAACGAAAAACTGCTTTCACGTTACAATTTTCTTCTGGAGATATATCATACTATATACATTTCGCATGGAAAATTATTTAATTGGAATCAAGAGAAATCGTTCGAACTATCTATTTAATCATGAGTGAATAATGGAAAAGATTCTCTTTTGCGAATAATCCATGAAGGTCCAAGGAAAAAAGGCAAAACGATTTCATGTCAAACTAATTCATCTAAGACTTCATGAAAAAACAACAACAGCAACAACAAACATATCTCCTAGCTGATTAACCTTTGATTTAGGTAAATTAAAGAGCTGTACGAGCATAAGTTCATAATTCTGCTAGAAAGTTAGTATTTCATTTCTGTAAGTAAAAGAGAAGACATATTTTGAGGAAAGATGATCATTGGGTGGCATTTTGCCTCTGAAACTCCAAGGAGAGATCTTCCTAACAAAAACATACCTGAAGGTCTTCATTTCAGAAGGATTAGGCTCATGAAGATTTCTGATTTCTCGCAACACCGCCATGAGTATTAAAAAGTTGATCTTAACAAATGAGAATAGCAAAATAAAGATTTTTACCAATTGTCTAGAGGGCAATCATAATAGATGTGTCACGAAGTCGGTCAGCCAGCCAGCTAGTCAGTCAGTCAGAAAATGATGCACGCATTCATTAATTCTGTCATTTATTGATTTCCTCTTTCATTTATTCATTTATCCATTCTTTGTGTTTGTCATTTCGGGCTATCAGCTAAGATAACAGTGACAGCAAAGAGACGGTGGACTTACAATTGTCACAAATAACACCGGGACAATAAAGGCCCAGCTCAAACGCTTCTGGAAGGACAACCAGCAGCTGAAAGTTAATTCAGACGACAGAGCTGTTTAAAAACGCAGCTTATGAGACAGTATCTAATGAAAATAAAAAGTTATAATGAAGAATAAAACGCTGTGTACTTACAAGTTTTCATTTGTGTAACTCTCAAGTCCTTTTTCACCGCTCGAGCCAATTATTAGAGAAATAACTATTGGTATGATAGGGAAACCTATAGGATAAGAATGGAAGCAGCTCAATAACTCAGTAACACAAAGGCGTACAAGAGTCTAAAATATAAAAATCAGGTCAACAGGTTCAGGGAGCACTACAAAAACAATAGCAACGAAAAAATAACAACAACAATAACAACAACAACAACAACAACAAAAGTAAAACAACAACAACAGCCAAGATACGGTCAACCAGAATACAAGAAGGCCCGTTCCCATCATGCGTTGCAGCGGTTGTACTGGTCTCAGTATTCTCTTCCACGTATAATATACATCGCTTTCTAGGGCTATACCAAGTAATATCCCTCTTTTCAATTGTAGCTAATAACGATTGGTACGATATTTTGTGGTATACAAGTAGATATCATCGTCAATATTTTCATCACGGTAGCAATGATATTGTTACATTTCTTACCCCAGCCAAAGAAATAGAGGTATCGCATGTCCACTGTGTTGAATACCTCAACAATCATTATGTACAGGAAAACTCCCTCCAGAAGCATCCACCCAAACGCTGCCAGATAGAAGTAATGGAGTAAAACAGCCACTAAGATGCACACGGACTGAAATGTGAGACCCAGAAGTAGGCTGATAATTAGAGGCTCCGAGTAAATACGCAATAGTGTAGACTGAAGTAGCGAGAGCCAAATATCTAGCGAAAACATGTCTTGAAATTTCGAGTAGAAATTCTCTCTCAGTGTTGTACATATACCGCCGTATGGTATGTTCAATTTATCCTGGAGAGATTCGAGAGGATTGGTTTTCGAAACTGGAACAACGGGATGCTATCTCAGTAGAGATCACCTTGAGCAGAAGGCCATTTTGGGAACACCGTTGTTCCTCGCTTACGAAGAACGAAGAAATATGTGATTTCAAACGTTTTTTAGCTCACCTTATTACTCGTGGCATCGATTCCGGATAAAAATACCAGTTGAGCAAGAAACAGAGCTGTGCAAAGATTTAGCCTGACTTGGATTCCTTCGGCTCTGATCTTCCTGTTTAAAAGTACTCAATAAACGAAATGGACATGACATTTTTCCACGCAACAACCCAGTGGTCTAGAGCAAACACTACTGGGGAGGAATGGAAGAAAGGTGCCTATATAGTTTGTAATATATTGTTGGGTTGTTCTCTGCTTGTGTTCCATTACTACGAAATATGTTTAAAGTTAATTTTAGTAGGTATTTCTGTGTAAAATACCTCAACTTCAGTCGAAAAAAAAGGAGACATTTTGGTTCTTCAATTACTAATCTCGTCTTAAAACAAATTTTTTTAGAAACAAAACAAAACCGCACAACTAGCGTGTTCTGCAAAATAATATTTCTCGCACTTTGATAGTAATTTACGAATCTAGAGATTTACCATGCTCTCATGTATAGGTAAGATTTTTTTTTCTTTTCTTTCTTGTCTTTTAGTAGTACTCACATAAATGTCACATAGAAGAAGATAACCATTACTTCCCCAAAGAGGGACAAGGAGCAACCGATATAGGTGATGATGAGCAAAGCCCTTCTGTGCTCTGGTGGAATGTTATCCTCCTGAGAATCACGAGAAAAGAAGGAAAGAGGTGGAAATGAGATAAAAAATTACAAACTGGTTTGGAAATTATGACTTACAAGTTTTGACTTTGTTAAACATGGAACTTGCTCCATAATTAGTCCGTCCATAAACGAATAAAGGGGGAGAATGCAATAAGCTTACAAAATGCCAAAAAATAATTCGAGACACAATCACGAGAACTGCAAACAACCTTAGGAGGTTGTGCATAAGCGACACACATGTTTTTTTTCCTGAGTTCCCGACAAAGCTAATTAATAGAATTGAAAAGAACGTTTATAACATCACACCTCAATGTCCTTGTATTGCATTAGAACTGCGAAATTCGTGAGGTGGTTACAACTGCAAACGGTCGACAGCATCGAAGAATCATTCAGTACCATGCAACCATCAGTTGACCATGAACCGTTCGACGAGCTAAAAATCAGTTGATCGTAAAATTTGAACAAGAAAGAAAGAAAGAGGCAAAGAAAAATTAAAACCGGAACTTTCACGAGCACCAAATATAAACAAGTATATAAATATACCAACAGATTGATGGAATAATCAAAATGACCCACCTGAAATCCTCCATCCAGAAGACACATTTCCTTTCAACAGCTTTTGGGTCAATGCCCGTCTACCGGCGAAAGAAGCGTAATGGCGTTATGATGTGAAATGGTCCACGAAATGAATATTACTTTTCCATCTAAGCCCAATTACAATCCTAATTATCTAGCCGATAATTGCATCAAAAAAACAATATAGTTTATTTTACCTCGTTGTGACTAAAATGAATGATGATTTTATTTTGAATAGTTTCATTCTGGGGAGGGTCAAGCTTAACTCCCACGACATCAGAGATCAATCTGTAGCTACAAAGATAAGATAACAAAATTGTGTGTTTATTAGAGCAGTTGAGTGTCAAATAGCCAATCAGGGATTGTATATTTTTGCTTCATTTTGTGTCGAGATTTTTCCGGAAAACTTGCACCCCTCTCTCAATCAATCGGATGCAAAACTAACAGGAATCATCATTTTGTCCTCTGCGTTTTGCCGCAGTTTGGGAAGTTTTCTTGGTTTTAGTTTGAGTTCTTATTGGTTACTAAAGGATATTTTTGGTTTTAGTTTTACGACACTCAATCAAAAAACGCTCGATCACATCAGTAGCTAATTTTACATAAATATATATCCTGACGTTGCAAACTGAAAAATTAAAGTTTAAAGGAGGTTTCTGAATACAAAGTACTGTTTACCGGTGCCGGTAAAGTTTTATCATATCAAAATCTTCTCTTCCCATTTACGCCCTCACTTGAGTCGCTAGTGAAGAACAAACAATTCAAACAGTAATTTTCCACTAATCCAGAAAGGGCTCTCTCAACATACACTTAATGGGTTCATCTGATTTCGTACCTGCTTCTGTTATAAGTCCAAAGGCTGTCTTCATTACTTGCCTTCCGGTGCAACAATACTGCGATGACCCTTCCTTGAAGAACGGCAAAAAAAAAAAAAATTAAAAACACTACGTGAGTAGAAGCTTGCCTACTGGAACACAAACGATAACTTCGCTATTTTTTAAACACCAGCTGATCATAAATGTTAGCGTTAAGAAGAAACTACAATATTTACCTGCGTCTTTAAACACTTTGTGGGTGATAACAATCCTGACCAATTGGCTTTCACTGCTGTTGTTATTTGTATCAAAACTCGTTTCAATATCAGTGGAAATTCTTTTGGGCACTTTTATCAACTTAGTATCTATGAAATTTTAGGGGAAAAAAATCAGAAAATCAGTACATAGAGAGCGACGAACTTTACCAAATAAGTTTTTGATCGTGGGCTATGACGCTACAGAATTCATGACGTCATCCAAGATGGCGGCCACCTTGACAGCCACCGTTTTGGAACCCATTTCAAGACAAAAATGGGTTTCATTTTGGCAGGAATCGTCTCGGAATTTGATCTTAAACGACCGAATGATTCAGAGGATTTTCAAAATATTTCATTGAGTTGACCTAAAATCTGACGTGTTTATTGAAGGAGACTCCCTATTTCTTTTCATGTCGTATGTTTTTACCATACCATATCATTTTTATCAATAATACAGAAATTAATACCCATGTTGACACAATAAGTACTTACCCAAACCTGATCCCATAACTATGAAATAAATATCATTCCCTTCTCTACAATAGCTTTGACAGCAGTTCAGGAGTGTGTCCTCGATTTGGCAGCTACCGACCAATGTACTATTATGCTCTTCACAAGACCAGGAATATTGTAACGCCTTTGATACAACAGGAGAAGCATGAACAGTTAAAGGGTTAATTTTGCTAAGTACAACCAGCTGAATAGGAATAGTTTGCTTAAATTGAAATCACAGATGATGCTTTATTTGGTTGGGAGTAAGAATACTTTTTTTTTTAAAGTGTATGAATGTATTTTACCTGCAATTTTGAACGAGTTCCTTTACTTCGTGAGCACTTTGAAAGCTGCATGAAAAAGAAAACGTTTGATTGGAGTCAACTTATGAATTTAACGCATAATATTGGTAAATCTTAATTTGTTCGCGAATACACAAAGCCACTGAATAAACCATGATCTTTATTTACCAGATGTTGGCGGCAATCATCTGTATAATTAGGCATAATACCATTCGGATCGAAATCACCTGGAACTGTTAAAGAAAAATGAATGATTAGCAATGGGTTCAGTTTTGTTTGCTACACCTCGGTGTAACCCTTGAGCTCCCAGAAGTGAATAACACGCAGGGTTTTTTTTCACAGTTTTCAATACGTTAGTTGATAAAAGAGTGGTGAAAACGAACGCAAAGTTGTCTTCGTAATTCATTTACAGATTAATAAAGACGTGTAGACCAGCTACTTTTTATGGTAATTTAGCGAGTCCAAATTGACAATAATGTTATGTCAAGGTTTCTTTTGGGGTTTTGGAATGAGCTGACTGTAATTCTTAACATTAATGATTAACTGGTACAGAAGAAAATCTTCGTAAGAAAGCTGCGTTTAAAAGAAATTACATTACGGAAGTATGACATAATTGCTGAGCTACGAAGCGACACGTTGATATTTAGGCAAATGTTATCGAAGCCATGTAAATATTGATAAAGATTGGTAGACCTCACCGATATAGGAGACTACAACAGGAAGTCTAACGCTGCAATCCATCGACTTCAGCTTCATCGCAGAGTTACTTATGGCATAACAGCGGTCCAATGATGTTGTGTTATCCAGGAGTTCTAAGGGTACCTGAGCTGAGATATAAGGTACACGCCCCCATTGAAACGAACCATTGCTATTGAGTTTTAGAGCAGTCCAGTAAGCAGAATCGAGAGATAAGTCGGGTTGCACGTCACAAAGCTGTTCTATACTGGAAATTCTTGCCAGGGTAGAGTCAATAACTGCTGCATTCCAAGTAACTTTAGGTATATCAACTGATTCGTAGACCACATAAGAGGAGTGAGTTTCTGAAAAGTGATGAAAATTTTTATTTTTTTTAAGCTTTGCCTTTACAAATGGTAATGTATTTTGAAGTCAGGGTTTTTATAATTGGGAAAATTTACAATTGATTCAATATATTTCACGATTTCACAATTTCACCATCTCAGATGTCAAAAGTAAAAAAACAAAACAAAACAACACAAACAGATTGACAAGATACCACAAATTGTATCAAAATATCTGACTGCGTTTATTACTCTGTCGTTGAAGAACTACAAAATCAGTTCAATCCCCCGACAATCAAATGAAAGATCGTTATTTCGCAGAAGCCTAAAAAACCTCTTAAATTTTGCATTAAACTGTGCAGAACAATCTTTACATTGTAGATTACATCTATTAACTACACTATACCCTGCTGGCATCCTCTTCTTAGAGTAAAATCAATGCAATTCATGTACGCACTCGTGCATCAAAAGGCAGATTTCCTGTACAATTTATTAATCATCATCTATTTTAGATACCGTGCCTTTATGAATGCAGAAATCCGCTGCAAAACCAAATCCAAAATTATGCTTGGTTCATTTTAAATGAAATCAAATAGCATGCAAATTACCCTTCCTATTCAAGACCAGTTCCACTCTTTCCGTCTACCCACTAAATAGAATATTTTTCTCCTAATGCAACAGAAAAATAGTGTTAATCATTTATTCATTGCTATCAAATGCGAGATTTATCGTAACAAAAGAGCCCGCAAATTTAAGATTTATTTCACATAATACATCTTCCCCGATTTAACGCCGCCTATGACATAATTATAGGAAGCATAATTTGCGTGATGTCTTATTGTGTAGACGTAGGCATGGCGGGTATCTTCTGCAAACACTGTATGCACTCCTAAATAGATAAATAGCATTTTTATCGAGCGTTTATTTCCGTTTTTTTTTTGCGTTTTTTAGGACCCTATACTAAAACTACATGACAACAACTGTTTCTTACTTAGAATTTTACGCTAAAGGAACTGGCATATTATGGAAAAATAACATTAACTCTTGATCACAGACAGTCAATTTTAAGTTCCTTATGCAATAACGAGAAACATTGAATTGATATGCTTATTGTGATATTTACTGTTCAAAACAGACGAATCCAAGATAAACTGCGATTAGGTTTGGAGTAAGATTATAAAGTGAAGCGGGTCCTTAACTAATGGGATTTCGCTAAAGTTAAATAGCATATGATAAGATAACGAAAGTAGATCTGATTTAGAGCGGTAAAATAGCTTGAAGATGATAGTGATGCTGTAAACCTTCTGGAGTTTCGAGGAGAGCTTTGTTACTACGATCATTTCCAACGTCTATAATTTAAGATTTTTCTACGGATCAAGTTTTGAAGGCACTTGATATTTCCTGAATAACAAATACTAGCGCTAAAGGACCATCCATGTCAAAACAAACAGTTCACTAGAGGGTTATATTTAACAATCAAAAAATATTAACCAGTGACAGAGACTTGCTTTAAATAGCAGGAAAAGAAAGAGAAAATAAATGAAATTGGTCTAAAAATACGAAGTTTTTATATAAAAAATGTTCTTTTGCTGTATTTACACGTTGTCTAAAATTTCGTGTTCGTTGTAAGAAAAGCATGTCGCTTGATTGCCTTTCAGTGTTGAATTAATAATAACCATATATCCTCTCCGTCTTCAATTAAAATAGAAAAGCATAGCACAATATCACTGAAAAGAAGCTCTTACCTTGAAAGAAATGAACTAGCAAAGTCAGTAACATTTGAAAACGCAACCGAGTTGAATCCTGTCCCGCTTGATTCATCTTCCATCCGTCGGTTGAACTAACGAGGAAACTGGTCTTATTTAAACGCATACATAAATTAACTCTTTGTAATAGACATAAAAAAAATGGCAAGTGATGACAACCTTTTTTCTTTTATTTATTTTTTTTGGTCAATAGTATTTAGACTAGTGAGTAGTACTATATCTCATTGGAAAGAGGACAAAATAAGCTTTGCAGAAAAATATATTTTGCCTTTAAAACTCCATGTATTTATTCCATAAAAGATTTTATTTGATTTAGTTCGGACGCACTCTGCGTCATTCGATCTGTCATCGGCTGATAATTTGAGCCGTTGCGTTCTAAAATTCCATTGAACATTATTTACTACGTCGCTTCAAATCGTGTTTGATCACAATATATATTACTTTACATTCAAAAATTTATATTAACAGGTTTGTCTCAAGGCAAGAAACAAGGATTTGTGCGCGAAAAGTAAAAGTAAATGTAATTTTACACTGTTTCAACACCACATGCGTCACGCATTTAAATATCGCAAGACTGTACAGTTTACTTACCTCGATTCTTCGCTAGGATTTTCCAGTTTTCTGTCTAATTCGGATTCCTCACCACCAGACATACCACCACGCTCACTTCCATCGTTTAAAATCGTCTTTAAAGCCTTAGCTACGCTGTATCTCTAGCGTTTCGGATCGGACGCCATTGTCGGAGATTGAAATCGTACGGAAATGATTTTCGGAAGTAAAGCAATATATATCATCGTCTTAAACCAGATGAGCCCATGACATATCAGCGGCATCTTGTATGAGTATCCGCAGGTTACAACGTGACTTCCGCTTATTCTCGTTGAACCGTATTCACAGTGCACTCGTGTATTAGGAAGTTCGCGTTGTGCGTTTGAGCAAGTTTCTGTCAGATTTGAACAGAAAAACAGGTCCTTTGTTGGACTGTAATGATACTTTGATCGATAGCACTGTTAACGAAATGTTTGGCCGGTTCGTAAGTTGTCGACCTGGTTTCGGTCGATCTCATTGATTAGCAGCATCTCTTGGAAATCCTACACACCATCGATCTAAACCTCAAAGCTGCCAAGTGAGCAGAAGAACAATGACATCAGTATTAATTTTAATTGCATTTGTGTGGGCCGACTTGTTGTTTATATTTCGACAAGTAAGAACAAGGAAACAGCATTCCGAGTTATAATTTTGCATGTTTGGTATATAACCCACGCTCAGAAAGCACCAACGCAGTGCACAGTGTTCTAAAGCCTGCAAAAGTCATTTTAAGCTTTTCAACAGATGGCTCGTTGAAAAATGATAAATATGGAAACAATGCATACTAGGAAATAAGAAAGACAAAATAAAAAGTGTTTGTGAACCAAGAGAATAATTAGCCCGTAATCATTTTTATGATCGCATCCCGACGACTCAGTTATTAAAGTACAGCGTCATTTCACAATCTAGCTACTGTACATGTGATTCTTACTCCATGGTGTAAACTGAAAAAAATAGCGCACTCATTCATATGCTGGTTTCGCGACAACATTGTGAAGTCATGCTCAGAGCAACAGAAATCGGTTTAACTTGAGTTTTACGATGCAGAACGGATACAATTTTTTATCTAAATACATATCCTTCTGGAGCTTTAACTCGTTCAAAATACGAATGCGTGTAAACGACATAAATAATTAAATCCATTACACAAATAATACAAAACGAAATTTTTTAAAGAAATTATTAGTGGTGGTGAAAAATGATACGAGTTAATGATTATGAAGAAAAGCTTTAGTAAGAAGAGCTTTCAAAAAAGTCATGCACATAATAAAAACTCGCAATTTTAGGAAACTTGCAAACGCCGAGTTCCGCGTTTCATTCTCTTTCAGTTCTGATCATTTATTAAGAAGGGTTTTATCCTTTCGGTGTATTCAAGAGATAGAGATTATTCTACTTTACTAGGTAAATTTAACTGAATGACACCACATCATCTTGTTGGGAGGGAAACCCAGGCTCTGGTAGACTTTTACCCTACATACAAGTTTAAAACGTGCTGTTTTAATCGATTGACATCATCATTGATATTTTGTAGCATTTCCTGTGGGAGGCAATGTGGTTGATAAAGATAGTTTGATAATGTCACCCGAGCACTTGTTGACGCAGTTCGATGACTCGGCTTTTATGCTCATACGGCATAAAATTTAATGTTTTGCAAACTCTGACAACGAGGAAAAAAAATATGGTTTAACGTATGTCTTGGCAGCTATTGCGTCACGTTTATAAATTTTTTCTCCCCTAAAACATACTGCCGCAACAGAAGAAAGTTTGATTTTTCTTTACATAACGATTTAAGTCTCTGACCTATTTCAGTTTGAAGGTAAATTTTTGTTACCTAATACAATCAGGTTATATCAGAAGAACTGGAGGTGTAAACGTATTTCCCTATGGACATCATTCAATGCAAAATATATCAATATGCCGACCCCTAAGGAAATGGGTTTTGAGTAACAAAGATGACTTATTATGATAAAAAACCGTGCACTACGGTATCAAATTAAAATCGACAATTTCAAGGAGGAGAATGACTAGTTTCCTCACAACAAACTATTTTAACCTCCGATTTAAGAACAATATAAACTGTCGGGTAACTTTCCCTTTGATAAAAAGTTTTCTTGTCAAAAACCGACAGAGGTCAAAAAAAAAAAATTGAAAGAGGATAAGCGGGCTAACATATGTCGTACACGTACGCTAAGTTCTTAGGGGCATGCGTGTCCTTCGTTTTAGTCAAAGTACTGCATATCGCTAATATATTAAAAGAAATGTATTGGAAAATTTAGTAACTGCTCTTACAGCGAACTTTCCAAATATCATTTTTTAGTTTTATTTCTCAACATATACACTGCGCTCGTGATCGCGAGAGAAAACAGCGGAACAAACAGCAAAGAATATGATTTCATGATATGACTTGCTTTAAAATGAACCATGCCGAGCGTCAATCCTAAATTCACATTTATTTAACTCACTTTCAATGATCAAACTGTTTTAAACCTGATCACTCCACCCAATGAATAGTTTAACAAATGTCAAAAAGTCATTTCTTGATTGCCTTGATTCGGCGGTTCTGTCTGCTATCAGCCCTGATGATTTAGGTTCTCGGAGAGTTTAAGTTTAAAGATACTTGCTTTACAGATTGAAAACACCTTAAACACTATCCCAGGATTTATCAAAAAGAAAATTCTCCCGACGGTATGAATACATTTTCAAACAGATATATGATGAGTAATAAGATAAATACCAGTTGGGGGATATTGTTTGACGACAACAAAATTCTCAGAGCGAAAAATTATGACAAATTATTGCAAAAAATGCAGGGAAATTGTATATCGATGTTGCGCGTGAAAGTGTTAAGGAAACCACTGTACTTAAATCTTTATATTTCTTTTAAAGTATTCAAGATAATATAATATTAAAAATAAGGAGCTCGAGGTAAAATTGGAAAGGAACGAGGATGGCTAAGCAGACTGGTGTGTGAACTGCAAGAAATCAGTTTAAAAATTATGGGTAAAGTTGGGTAAGATCTAGATTTCCAAACCTATTTTTTGGTCTAGTGATATTGCTTTGAGCAATATACAATAATCACAACTTATAAAACAGTGGTAAATGAAGTACTGATACTCTCTTGTGTCTCAGGACGAATCTTGTTCACGAGCGTAAAAAGTCGTTTTTCCTTCGCTGCATTCGATCTTCTTGTGCCGAGCGTTGATTTTTCATTTGCAGCCATGGATACACTTCTCGATATTTCCCATCTTTGCCTTTTTGTCTCTAAGGCGGCTCGGATTTCTTTACTTCGCACAACATGAAACAGGAAGATGAACAAACCCTGTCAATGGCAAGAAAAACATTACTAAGGTTAGAAACGCATGCGCCTGTCTGTTGTTTAGTTCAAGGAATCGAGGAACCTTAGCCGGGTTTTTAAGCTGTGCTCCGCATTGTCTCTCACAAGTCACTCTCAACCCTACACTGGAATGCACCTAGGGGTTAATGCGATGAAGTAGGCACTTCACACTAGAGGAGTATCGATACTCAAAGCCGCGCTCAGGCTAAGGAAAACGCGATATTAGCTTCGGTAGCGTGGAGCAATTTCCTCGATAGGTCTAAATTAAGTGCTGCTGCTACTATATTTAGTCATCAAGAGTAACACCACAAGTCTGTCGAAGAAAATAGTTCTGTAATCCTGTGGATGTAATTTTGCTCAAGGAACTCGACTTTTATCGACAGGTCAGGGTTTGCAGTCTCGGGGGATCGTTTTCTGTGCACTGCCATTAATAAGAACCTTTACTCCTGTCAACTCGTCACTTCTAAACACTTAAATTACTCCGGTTTCTTCCTAATCCTTCACGAAACCTCTTAAAAAATTATATTGAAGATACTCGTGACCGACACCTCTTAGCCATAATCCTGCCTATCGAGAAATTGACGGCTGAAACGCTTACAATTTCTAGTCTTGGTGACAATGCCTTACACATGCTGGACATTTGACTCACTTGTAAAGAGTTAAAGATAGTAAACAAATATTGGAAGACCAGCCCAGCGTCTGTGACGGTCAGAATCCCGAAAATCCATGTGAGGCCGAGCAATGGGAATAGAACGACACAGGCCTTTAGACTTTTCCTGTAAGCAAAACAAGGATCGAATTGTGTCAATCGAAATAAACAACAACAGCAGCTAATACCTGATATCAATTATGTGATAAGTTGAAAGATATATGATTTTTTACTGGTTCTTCCTTACGATCTGTTAAGGACAAACAACTCTTTCCTTTTTTGATCATACAAAACAAATATATTTTATGTCGGGGTGCCGGGTCTGTAAAATAACAGATTGTAAAAAAACTGTTGTAAGAACACCTGTTGCACATCCGGCTGCGCCTCGTGTGCCAATGTTTTTGTTCTTACCACTTTTAGACTTCATCTGTGAATTATTACTGAACAAGCACACGGCATCGTGGGATATATTTGTTAATTCGGCAAGTCCAACACCGAAAGGTAACAAAGTAAATTTCAAAAAAACAAGCCACATCTTATAAAACAAGTGCCTTAAAACGATTTTATTGTTTATTGATATCAAACAATAGATACCACTGAAAACATACGATAAAAAGCTAAAAGAGAAAATGTAAATGTATGCTTCGGCCAACACACACAAGCACACTGAAAACTTGAAAGAGTACACGATGATACTACACAAAACTCTGCTAGAGCGAGTTGTACCTGCATGAATGAGTCTCTGAGACCCCAGATACGTCCTTTAGCCTCGTGATCTCCACTATGATCCGTATTAGGAGGACTAAGTTTATCTTAAAAAAAAAACATTTCAAAGAGAGACAATGTCAGTTTCCGTATATTACTGATTTCGATTTTTTTGTTTATCACTGGTTTCGAGTGTAAGGGCTAACGGTCAAACGTCAGCTTTAGATTCCCTTGATGGTGGCCATACACTTTATAAACTAAGTTGATGAAATAAAATACTTGCAATAACCCCCACGTCACTGACGCGGCACCACAGATTCTCTAGAAACTTACCTCTTTTACTTTATTGTAGTGGGTACATGTGCTTAAAGAAAAAAAGATGGTGTGGAAGCTACGTAGCACGCACTGGGTTCCTCTTTTGACTCTGCGGGTTTTTAATCTAGTAAAACCCTAGTTTGTGGCCATTCAAATAAATCCATCATGGCGTTCATCATTTGAATGAGACGATCAGAAGATCAAGGTTCAACCTTTTACTGTTAATGAATGAATTCTAATAGACACAGTGCATATTTTACTTACCAAACATGCAAGAAGTACCGATCCAACAAAAGCCCACATGAAACCAGAAGAAAATGCAAACCAACAGCTGCAAAATACACGAAAGATTCGATTGAACGTAAAAACACTTCGATCTTTCTTCGTCCAGTTATTTTGTTGTGATCTTAGGCACGACACAGGATCTCTCTCTTTCCAGAAGCATTAATAGTATAGACACTCCTAATCCCTACATGCTACCCAGAGAAACTAAGCTAAGCACTTGCACTATTAAGGTTCATGCAATACAGTCACGCTTACAACCTTACCAACGCATGTAAATTGTGAGTAAAACAAAAGGATACATGAACACAGAAACAACTACAATAGTTACGACATCAACATGCAGAAGAGGCTTAACTACGTCAACAGATCATTTTGTACTACTCACACGTCATCACGCATACTGTTATCCGTGCTTCCATCGAGGATAACAGTTATACCAAGTGCACTAGCTACCACCAACGTTGGAACACCTTCGGAGAAAAAAAAAATAGGATACAGCCTGGTGTTTGTTTCAGGCTAAACATTACAGATATCTGAATCATATAATCATGAGTTCATGCTATTAGACAAAAGATAATACTCAAAAGTGTACTTCACCGTTTTGAATAACCTCATCACAACCTTGTTGCAATTTCGAGCGGAATCTTCATTTGGGGAAAATCCTGGGAATATGTACAATGACCTATGAATAGAGGTTTTCCTAACAGGAACAGGGATTATAGGATTATCCCACCAATGCCAGATAAAAAGATTATTTCAGGGTTGTATCCTTGAATTGAGGTGACCTCTGCACGGAGATGTCCAGGAAGAGAGGTTTTAATCCCAAAATACGAGAAAAGATATGAACCAGGTTGATTTTATTGTTTTTATTTGGTCATATTTAGTGTTCAAGACTGATTTCACGCGACGAGAAATCGTCCAATCTAATTCTTCGAAAGAGTTCATCAGAACGAAGTCTCGTCAGTGATCGAAAGAGATTCTTTTACCCCAATGGGGGGGGCATAGAAGAACTTTGTACTTGTAGTAACATTAGTGTTTGAGACGGATTTCAGAGGAGAAGAAAACGTTCAACCGAAAGAGGTCACTAAAAAGAAGTCTCTTCTTTGATATAATGAGATTCTTTTTACCCCAAGCGAGGGCATAGAAGATCTTTGTACTTGTGTCAACATTGAAGACTTTGACAACTTTTAAATAGAGCATGACTCCTTCCGTAACCATCCAAGCGAAAGCAACAAGGTAGAAGTAATTTATTGTTATCGCGACAATCGCGCACAACGTCTAGAGGGAAAATAAAAAAAAGTAATTTAATATAGAGCGGCAAATCAAATCAAAACAAAACGGCCTGAAGCTCGAGGAACCACGAGTGATCAAGTCGCTAGATTCCGTTTTGCATATAATTAATTGAGCGAATGGCGGGACTCTGCTGGTTGACTAACTCTGTCAGCTACACTGCACCTCATCAAGTTTGCGTATACGTTTGCATTAGGTTTTCATACCAACGTTACCTTCATTTGAGTGGCTTGGATACCAGCCATAAAAACTAACTGGGCGATAACCAGGCACATTACCAAATTCAACCGGATATGGGACTGAGAGGATTTCAGATTCCTTGGAAGTAAGCAGAATCATCTGGTGTTAGCATAATTGGACCATAAAGGTAAATTTGAATCTTTGCAGAGTTCCACACAGTGTTGATAAGTAAACTAACTTTATACATAGAGAAGAAGCAAGGTGAAATACACGATAACGCATACAAGAAATGGAAGCTATTTGCACTTACATAAGAACTAAATAGACCAAAATGGTGATAGTCTCGCCAATCAAAGACAGTGAAAGTCCAATGTAGGTCACCAACGTTAGTGCAAATTTGTGATCGTCAGAGATCTAGATGAGAGAATGAAAATTATGTACTCCTTAACTTCGTTAAATCAGAGGTAAGCATGCTTTACAGGACTCCAAAACCTCTCAACCCTTTAACTCCCAGAGGTGTTGAACATGAAAATTGTCCTTACAATGTGCATGCATTGTCCCGCAAAAACTTAATGAGAGTACTCAAACTCATCAGGTAAAAGTTGTTATTTGGATCTAACACCAAATTCGCGAAACCAATTGACGAGAAAATGTGTAGCACTTAGAGGGGGAAATAAACTATTAGATCTTGGGAATAAAGAGATAAATATGAACTGAACGAATGCACTTTGCAATTTTTTTTTATTTGGCTATATGTGGTGGTTGTGGTTGCGGTTTTCGTTGTTGTGTTCTTCTCTTCTTCTCTTGATCCCGTTACGCCAGGAAGAGAAAACCGCATCCTCTGCATTTTTGTAAGAAGCTAAGTTAAACCATATGCTGAAAAATTTGAGAAAAGAAAGTTGAAAGGCCAAACCTTTGTCTCACCCACTTCCATTAAGACAGCGAAATTCGTCAGATGATTACAACTGCAGGTAGTCCGCTCTTTGGTTTCCTGAACCAGTTTACAACCCTTTTGGGACCAAGCACCGTCAAACTTTGTGCTAAAGGATAATGATAATATCAATGATATCAATAATAATAAAATATAATAACGATGATAATAATAGTAATAGTAATAGCATAAACAATAATAACATCAATAAATAGATCCCATGTTGTCGTGCATGTGCTCAGTAATAGATCATAGATGACGTCAACACGTAGTACGAACAAGAAAGTGGCACATTAGTCTTAACGCTGTTAGGGGTGACGTCATCTATGCGTCTGTTCCCTAATAGACCCCACATAAGAACCATTCAAATTATGTACATAAATTACCTTATCACATACACAAAAATAACCATGGTGGCAATGGCAATGGTAATAATATTAAAAGTAACAACGATAATAGAGTTGACGATGATGAAATACTTTACTAGACGATATTTTTTGTTTCCTCTATAGTGGCTAATGGTTAGTTGACTGATGTATCTATGTTTAATCGATTTTAATTCCTTTCTTGATGCTGGGGCCTTTTTTAGAGAGTATCATTCAATGATTGTAGTTCGTCATCTAAACTAAGCCTTCATACCTTATCGAAAAATTCCAAAATACACAGCTCGTCTGCGTGGCTGTTAAGTTATCCTGAGGAAAATTCGCATATATAACACTTTAAGGATGCCTTATCTACTTGTATTAATACATGAAATATTAAACAATGTTGCAAGATAATTCACCTTATCGCGAGAAAATTCTTCAAACATTTACCTTGGTGTTAGTAAGGTTAATTACGACGTCCTCTTCAAAGTTGCCTCGAACCTCTGGTTTTACTGTACATGATATGATCCGAGTGCGTATGGTGGACTTCTTTCTAAAGTGAGAGAAAAAGTAGCTTCCAGTCTCTTTTAATGAAACGTTTGACCCATTTATAAGAACCTTTAAATTTGACTCACTCACGCGGATTTTCGAAGGGCAAAAGGAAAAACGAAAAACGAAAAAAAAACCTGTTGACACACGCATACAAACCTGTTATTGACATTATTTGCTCCTTCAGGCATTAAGTCGGCGGCGTTTTTGTACAACGCACAGACAACGTATCGGTCTAAGGTAAAGAGAAATATTGCGATAGATTGCCATAAACGATACAACTGTCATCGTCTAAGTTAAAAGATGCATGACTGGAGAGTTAAAGCCAAACAGTAGGGCAAAAGGACTTCTTGTCAAGTGTCAGTGAAGTCGCTATTTATGATTTTGGTTGAGATATATCATGTAGAGGTCATGATGCGTGTGCTTAAAGAATGACTAAGGATGAGATGTAAATCGTAGAAATGTAAATGTGCAGTGTATGGAAATGTTTCGTACATGTTGGGCTTCAATTCTCATTAAGAAAAAAGAGTATACATTTACTAAGCAAATCGAAAAATACATTTACATTACAAAAAAATGTGAATACAAGATATTTTTTTTATACCTTGATTAAACATGCTAGCAGAAAGCGTAATGGCTCCCTTCTCTTCTTGAATGAAGCTCTCGTTAAAAGTATTAGCATGGGACGGGAATACGACACCACTTTTGTGATCAGCAGAAACTCTCATCACTGACATACCTTCAGTAAGAATAGTAAACAAAGAAACAAATAAATAACAAAGGTAAGAGACATCAAATCATTTTCGAGCTTCGGTCGTAATCTTGGCAGATAAGTGATAGCAGCCAGTCAACCATGCCCAGTAAAGAAACAAACATGAAATCAAGACCACTGGTGTCCGAAAAGATTAAAACACAAACAAACAAACAAGGAAACAAACAGAAATAGCAACTACAATTTGTAAAATAGTAACGAAAAGAGCGATACCTAATTCTTTCTGCTCAATAGAAATTTCTCTCTCAGAACCATTTTGGGGCGTCAAGTGAAGACTAGCATAATTCATAGCAAAGACTTCCAGTTTCTCAAAGCTAACAAGAATATTGACGTTGCTGTCTGCAGTGCTTGCCTTTCTAACAAGCGTAGAGGTGAGATTTACAGCATTCTGCAAGAAATAAAAATAGGAAAAGGCAAAGTTTACTGTAAAAAGGCATTTATAATAACTACTATATTTTTGACAAATTTTTGTGAGTAAAATCCAGTATCAAGTATAGTATCCAGCGCCATTTTTCTTCATATTTGATGGGAATACCTAGGTCAAATTCATGCTGGTGGTTATCGGTCTTGACTGTCAGCTCGGTAGCCAACCGCTTTGCCTTTCAAATTCTAGGAAATGCCCCTTTTGATACGTACACCATGGAAGTAACAGGCCAACTCACGAGAAATGAAAGACAGTTTGAAATCATCAACCTCCCGTGAACCAATGTGCAAATTTACTATTGTATAAACGAAACATAGCTGTAGTTCGTAAGCTTAGTAAAGCAAATATGTATAATTCTACATCCATTTGTGAGCCTGTTTTCCATTCGTAAATTACCTCTAGAGACGAAGGCTCATTAGCGTTGAGCTGTTCTATTTCATTGGCATATTCCTCAACCTGCAATTTTAACAAATTGTATAATACTTTACTAGCTACTGTGGCGGCAAAAGAAGGTAAGAGGGGTATTTACAAGTCTTATTTTCTTTCGCGTGTAAACCAAATGCAATGGGAATGCCTCGAGTTTTCTTGGTAACTAGGCGGACAGAATTACACGAAGGTTTGACACTTTTTCCTCGATAAAGTGCTGATACCCTCGCATTTTGTCACTCATCGACACTAGCAGACTAATTTTGATAGGGAATGGGTAGAGGAGTCAACTAATAAAAAAATAGCAGCTTTACCAAACTTGGTGTGTGAGAAGCGGTAATAGCGGTGATAGTAGGGAGGGTCTTTGAAGGTGTAAGGGCCAAACTCGATGACAGCAGGTTCGTTGATGAGACAGATAAATATGTACTTTGCAGCAATGGTGTTAGAGAAACCGAACGTGATGAAACAGGTAATAACGCCGACATGGAAGTCAGAGGTAAAGAGGATCCAATTCTTGCCTTTGTATTTGTTGTCGTTGTCGGTATCGTCGTCGTTGTTGTTGGTTTTGCTGCTGTTGTGGTTTTTGGAACTGCTGTGGTTGCCGCTGCTGTCGATAATAATATGACAGACAACATTGACTTTGATGTCGCCTGTACATTGTTTGATGAGCTGAAGTGGTTATCAGTAAACAAATACACAATAAACAAATAAACATAGAAATAAACAACGATGTCAAAATTGCAGAAGTTCCGATAGCCTTTGTAGAGACTCAGTAATTCGACAATATTTCAGTAATCAAATTGTCATGCTTCTTCGAGATCTTACAAAATTATTGCTAAAATAAACCTTTATTAACCTTAATGTAGCCCATAGAGCTAATTCCACTTTTAATTAGCCTGATAGCATAATTGATAGCATAGTGTCAGGGAATTGGTGAACGGCTGTACGTCCATCTCTAAAGATGTACTTTCAGGTTTATAGAACCTATGTCGAGATCTCTGAAATTTTGTTTTGGTCTTGTTTTTGATTTTGCTTTTGGTCTTTTTGGGCGGTTGACCTAAAGGAGATTGTAAAATACAATTTAATGTGAGAGAAAACTACAAAAACAGCAAAACACAAACAGCAGACAAAAACAAAAATAACAAAGCAAAAACATGAAAAAAAAAAAAAAGCATAATACATAACCAAAAGAAAACAAAAGGAACACAAAAAAGACCGAAGACAACCAATAGAGGAAAAGATTAGAATGGCCGATTATAACTTTGTGAGCTTAATAACTCACTTGTTTCAACTGGATCCGCTGTTTCACCAACTTGACAAATATACTTTTTATGTGCTTCACAATCAGCTGCTACTAGTACATCTTCTGTACTAAGATACAAGCACCGTTTATCAGTGTCCGATTGTTGTTCAACTCTGTTGACAATTGTTTCAAAGGCTGTAGTTGCGGTCACTAAAGTTCCATCACCCCAAACAAAGTCACCTTTCGTTGTATCATATTTGATACCGATCCAGTATTCCTTTGGGTCTTGGTATTGTAAGAATGCAGTTCTTGCCTTTTGAAGTTCAGCTGAGCTTTTGATTTTGGCGAGGAATCCGCCACCATTTCTTTTACAATTCGTCACCGCATCAGACCAACGATGGAAGCTGTTTTTACCTGTATACGAAGCTGTACCATTTGCTTTTTGTAGTTCTAAGGAATTTGAAAAAGAAATTGCGCTTTCTGAGCTTGGATCAAATTAAAACTAAGTTATTTATATTAAAGATCCTGTTTAAATACTCTAAAAAATGCGCAGGATAATTTTCAAGTTAATCAGTAACTTGAAAATCATCGTACCTATTCTTCAGAGTATTTAAACAGGCGGGCACAATACCAGGTTATGATAACCTCTGTGGTATTGTTCTTTTGTTCTAGCCATTCTTAACTACAAGGTTCTAGAGACTTCTACACAATAAATGGAGGCTAGCACATTCCCTGATGAAGGCTGTGTACCCGGCAACGTTAACACATTAAAATTAAATGTTGTGTTACGTTAGAGCCTCTGAAAAGAGCGTCTCTGGTTAAGTGCAAATAGCTTGCTAAATAAAGGTGAATTCCAAAGTTGCTTTGTTTACAGAAAATATGGCGCAGAATTCTTTTAAAAGGAAGTTGTGGACGGCCCTAATTGCTTTAACCTCATCTGGTGAAAAACTGTGATGACTCCCTCGAATTTTCGTCTCTCAGACTTTTCATTTCTATTGTCCATAAGGGATTTAGACGTAAGCAGGCTGAGTTAAAGTCAGACGGAAATTTTTTTCTAGAGGAATATTAAGTTGCCGGTTGTAAGGGAAAGAATTAACAAGCAAAGGTCGTCAACGAAAAGACGAATATCATTCATCGATTATAAGGAAACAGAAAGTACTCGTCCTGTATGGCTAGACTCTCTACTATTACATTATACGCCTGCCGCTACACCATGCACTTATAGCTGGTTAGTACTACACCAGGAAATCCATGATAGGTGAATCCAAATAAAAGATGTAGCCATGCAGTTCGGATGAAAGTTGCTTTTCATATTTTCCGTTTGAGAAATTTAAGTTTAAACATCAAGAATCAGGTCTGAATTGTTTAAAAACAATTTCTCGATTTACTTAAATTGTACACTAAGGGAATGTGATTAATGTGAGTGATAGAAATGTACACGTACATACCAGCAAGAAACAACATAGAAGTTAACATTAATTGAAAGCTCATGATCTCTCTTCGTGCAAAGGCAGCTGCCACTCTGTGTTAAGACTGAGCTGTTTCGTGGATCGGTGAAGATTAGTAACGGGACAGAACTTCATGCGAGGTACAGCACGACACCATTAGTTTTCTCTGGTCCGGGTCCAAATAGTGGAGATAGTTGTCTGCAAAACATTGTTGGTTAATTATTTACTGTTGACACAAAGATTGTTATTAATAGAGAAGCGGCAGTCTGAAGAAGGGGTAATTGTCAAGCAAATTAATTTACATACGTAAAATTAGCGTGTTTCGTTTCAACTCTAACGATGACTTCTAATTAGGTGGTCGAAGATTCCGTTACTTTTGCCGAAAGAAACGAATATTCTGACGAGGGGCTCACGCTCGAAACGTCAGCTTTAGAAACTGTTTAGGGCGGACAATTTACGTTATCAACTCACTTTATAAAACCAAATTATCTACAAAAGATGTGACCTAGTTTGTAAGTTTTGAAAGAAGTCCCCCGTCCACCCTCAGGCAGCTTTCGGCAATATCTAAAATACACTTAAGTCTGCATATGCATATAGTCATCTTAACATCAGCGTATCTGCATTGTAAAATGACCCACTAGTCAGGTTTTAAAAGTATTTTCAAGCTATTTATTAGGAAAGCTATCATTTTAAACTGAAGTATCGTGGCAATTTTCAACACTATTATCCAAGCCTGTACTCCTACTGTCAGAAATGAGGAAAAAGAGAAAGAAACCCAGTCAATCCGAAATAAATAAATAATAACATAAAAGAAAATTAAAGAACGGTATGTCTAACACTACAGCACCTTGTAAAACTCTCCTTGTCACGTTGATTTCCATCAAATAAATTTTTGGTTAAATCAAAGTGGTCTCTACCGGCTCTATTTTGCGTTTTTTTTTTTTTTCTGAAAAAATGATTTAGTTGCAAAATTGAGTGTTTTAAAATTTAAATTGCACTGCTTAAAATAACTTCATTTAGTACTTACTGTTAATAAGACAACAAAATGATTATTCAAGCTTCTGCAAAACTTGGGTACGTCATAAACCTTCCCATAAAAGTTGGATTGTCGAGCAAAATGCCAATATAATTTTCTAGGTAAAAGAAAAATGTCAATTTGCCAAGAAAAAAATATATTAATAATTGAGATTAGTGCTACACGCAACCACCACCGAACATTGTACAAAAACAATAATGTTCATCGTACGAGATTTACGAGGCACAGTAATGAGCCAGAAAGTAAGAGATTTGAATCTTCTTACACAGTAGATAAAGCTCCAGATTGTAGCCTAATCCACATATCTTTTAATTAGAAATACTATCATGGTTTGTTAATGGCAAAATGAATGCACTTCCCAGAAGTGACTTCTCAATTCATTTGCATGTTTAATCTGAAAAGATAAACGAAATTCTCAAGACTAGCACAGAAAAAAAAGAGAGAGAGAGAGAGAGAGAAACATACTCAGCTACTGTTACAATTGCCATTTCACACAACTCATTTTTTTTCCTTACGATTATAACTTTTCTGATGCATGATGTCCGAAACACTTTGAACATGTTTATTTTGTTTTGTTGTTCACTAATCCTGCTTATAATCATTAGGTTCTGTAAAACAATGTATGGATAATTTGAATTAAACAAACATTTTTTTTTTTTTTTTTTTTTTTCGGGTCGGGGTTGTTTTTGTGTAAAGATACTGAAATCTAAACATTACTTTCCCTTCTTCTCCAACAATCAAGCTTCGGAAAATTTTTTTGATTGTTATCAACTTCTAGATCTAGTTTTTTCAACTTTAACAAATTAAACTGAAAATCTTAAACTAAAGAACTGTGCCACAGTTGTATTTTCTCTGCTTTCACACATAATTAAAATTCAGAGGCACTCTTCACGAAAAGATAAACAGTTCTACATGAAAGTAGCGACTGGAAGTGTATATTGTGTGCCCGTGATGGCTCACCCTTGAATATCATTGTTTTGGACTTAAGTCCAAATTTTAGATCCTTGAAGTGGTCTCTCCAGCAATCTGTAGTAATTTTAAACTTTTGTAGTTTCCAACTCTCAAAATCGCACGAAATCAAAAATCTCTAAGTTATCGTCCCCAAGCTAAGTTATGGATTCACTGGAGTTTCCTACGGAATCGCACCGGTGGAGATAGTGTCTTACTTAGAGACAGATAAGTTGTTTAAAGAAAATAAAAAATTGTAGTCAATTTGAATATAATGCATCCGTAGGCCGACAGAAAAATAAATTGTCTTTATAACCCTGAAAGATTCCGTCCTGCGCGTCATCTTCATCAGTCATTCGTCAAGAACTACGACCTTGGTAATTTCGAAAGTGGATCAGTATCACTTAGCTGATAGCGACAGAATATAATAAGTTAAGTTTGTGTAGGATAATATATGATATAAATAAAGTCAAAAGTAAAGCAAGAGACTCTGAAATTCTAAGACATAGGAGATGTGGGCTGTGATTGCAAGCTCAGAGGCCAAAGTTTTAATTGAAATTGCACAAAAACGAATTTCACGTGTACAGATTATTACCCAACCGCCCCCTCCCCCTGCCTTTTTTCCCCTTATTTTCGCAAGCGCATCCCAAAATTACCTTCAGTCTCTCCAAACGATGTCGGTTTGGTAAACGCTGGTACCGTTAGCTTGTAATAACGTCCTCTTAATTCTTAAATTTCGGGCAGAAATTTGATCTGCGCACGAAAAGAAAGCATGTTTAATTTATTAAGGACAGGTGTTTTAGTTAGTGATTACTTTTCAGTGTTTGTCAATCAACTAAGAGAGGCCTGAATGGGATTTAGAAGAACTGGAAATGGTGAAATTCTTGCAATTAACGCTCTAATTTCTTTTCCATCAAAAATCCACTCTGAACGGGTCTCGTCGGTTGGAGAACTTAGAGATATCAGTTAGCTGTTGTCCTTGGAATTGGATAAGGCTGGATAGTAGGGGACTAATGTCCCACCTCCAGGATGGTCCCTAGTTTTAAAGTTATGCATTTCAAACTGAATTTGTCAATTATGCTATTGACAGTTATCTCCTTAGAAACAGAGCACTCTTTCTTTCACATGCTCATGACAGAGACAGCTACTTTCCGCGAAAAAGCTCAAGACAAGGATGTTTACGAAAATTGCCACACAAAAACATTTTTTTTTTCTGACGCAAAAATTCGCTCTTCGTCTGTGACAATTCAAGTTTGTTATCAGGCTAATGGCTCCTTAGAGTCCTGAGATAGTTGAAAGACGTAAGCAGGACTGCCGTGGAGAACTTTTTGTACGACGGATAGTTGCGGGAATAATTGTTGAATTCTGACAAAGATTAAAATTCCAAGAGGCTTGAAAAAAAATTTATGCATGTGTTTTCTCAGATGGATTATGAACTTTCAGCAAATTTACATTTAGGGATTTCGCAACCAGATTGACCAAGACTGTGGAAAGAGAGAGCAGTTTCTGATTTTAATCAGTATGATGGAAAAGAAAGACAGGTCATCTTTTCATCTTCGATGTGTACTTCAGTTCTTAGGCGACGGTCTTTTCGTAAACAAATATGAGAATTATGATTATAGTCATTTTGTTGAGATAAAGGACTCATTTTAATCCAAAACTGCATTGCATGACTAGTAATTTTGTTCCAGCAGTGTTATATTGAGATCCCAGTGAGAAGACAGTTTCTAAATAAAACAATTTTTAAAATACTTTTGGAATGACAGAAAATTAAGTACTCTAGAGGTAAGAATCCTCGCAAATTGGCAGTTGCCGCATAAGAAACAATATGCAGCAGATAATTTGCGTTAAAGAAGCTTTTCTTCTCAAACAATTTTCTTTTAAAAAGAATTATTTGGATGATGTAAGCATCTGTTTATTTGAATTCCATTAGGTTTTGGCGAAGCTAGAAAGTATTGAATTCTCCAATCACTTCTGCGGCCATAAAAGCAAGAGAAAATGTATAAAAATTGACTTATTACCCAGGGTTCCAGTCCACATTTTCAAAACAAAATATCAGTCGAACCTATAGGTGATAGAACGTTTTTTTTTCGTGGGAGAAGTCAATTTTGATTATTAATTCTTGGAATATACAAGCACGAGCCTCGTTAAGTTTTCATGAAGATTAACAACTTCGATGCCTGAATTATGCTGTTTCTGATAAAAATGTTTTACAAGCAGCACCCTTGGTGTGCAAAGAATGGATCTACTCATCAAGGTAGTTATCTCAGCCAAATTCCGTTTAAAACCTTTCTTTTTTTTTTTTTTTGTGAACATCTGCAAATTTTCCTCCGCTTTTCTTCCTTATTTCAGAAACAGCTCAGACAAATTAATGTTTACCCAGCTTTGCAAGTGTGAAACAACTCATCTCCTTTGTCGACTTCCGAAAATTGCTTTTTGAGTGAGATTCATTTTTTCAATGTTATTCCACAACAAATCATACTCGATTGGGCAGTGTACAAAATGTTTACTGCAATCCAGTTAATGTGAGTTTCACTGTTAAATTTAAACGACTGAGCTAGAAAACTACTGGAAAAAGTTCATCTCTTTTTGGCACCTCTGCCAGCTAGTCAGCGATAATTAGTACTTGGCACAATGAACAAATTTTGTCTCCAATAGGTGGTTATTTAGTCTTCAGCAGTTATTATGATTACAAAGTGGTTCATGTCCTATCCGTTTTCAAAAGTAAACACAGATGCAGTCAGTCAGGGTGTTATAATTGCTTCCTTTGAATGTATTTTCTCCAATTGGAATAGCGGTAAAATTAAAAGCGTGAAATATTGATCAATTAAAACGAGAACGAAAAATCATTTTAATTACACATCCTTGAAAGTGCCATATCTTTTGAAACTGAAATAAAAATTTAAATCGTTTCAATGGAAATAACTTCTTTCTAGCCTACTTATCACCATTTCAGTAATCAAAGAGCAGAATCGAGATCAAAGATTTAATAATGAATATGGTCATCCTTGAAAGTGCTATATCTTTTAGAACTCAAATAGAATTCAAATCGTTTCGATGAAAATCAGTTTCTTTCCAGCCTAACAATCATCATCCTAGTACCCAGATTAGAAGATCATGCACAAAGATTCATTACTGAGTACAGCCTTTAAAAAATGAAATGATCTCCGGTTGACTTTTCAATCTAATTCACAGTGAATTTCGTTTATTCATACCCAGTTCATTACACAACCTGTGTCAAATTTAATTCGTAAAGCTCGTCTTTAAAAGCTACAATCGACAAAATATCTTTCTGAACCATCAATGCCACAACCGGCTTCGAAAATCAAACCAAATAATTGAAACATAAGCGAAACAGGCCATAATCTGCGATATTAAAATAGTGGATTGTAATATTGGCGCAGTGGTTACCTAGCTTACCTGCAAGATTGCTGAACTTCTTTTCGTCTGTCTTTTCGACATTCGCTGGGTCAAAAGTTCATGAGATGTCCTCTTAGCCTTCCTGTGAATACAAGCAGGTTCTGGCAGCGCAACGCCCGTTTTCATAAACTTTGTTTGAAAAAGCCTGATTTTCTTGAAAATGTTATGAAGCTGTGCACTGACATTGTTAACTAAATGTGTGACTTAATTATAATTTTTTTCACGTCGTTTGAGTTCCTATTGATTCACTGTCAACGGAATGCTTGTGATTGGTCAAACTAAGTCTATACTAATTAGCAAAGGTAGGTTTTGGTTAATAGGCTATCTACTACATAAGTTCTTATGATACCTTTTGTAATTCTTTAGGTGTTTCAAAAATCTTTTTGGTGACTGGTGTTGTTCAGACAGTACGTAGAAGTTGGAATTGAGGAAATAAGGATCACTTATTCTTAGAAAGAAATTGAGGAAATGAGGTTCAGTCTCTTATTCTAGAAGGTAAGCCAATTTGGTAATTTTGTAACAAACTGAAAAGGAAAGAATTATACTAATTGACAGAATTTAGGTTCAGTCTCTTATTCTAAAAAAGTTAAAACCACTGAATATTGGTCAATTTTTGTCACAAACTGAAAAGGAAAAGAATTATACTCAACATTTGTCGAAGGTTATTTTCTATTCTTCATTTCATGAAAATGCAACTGATTTTGAGTTTGTAAAAAATCGTCCAATTCCACCGACCACTAATTTTTTACCAATGAAAATAAACTCACGCCTGAAGAAGCGTCATCATCTGTTTTTGCACAAATAACTCGAATTTAATAACGATGTTAAAAAACTGGGCACTCAATCAATCACTGGATGGCCCTACTACAAAAGCTTTTCCAGGTCACCGTACTTATCTCGCTGCCTAAGATTATTGTAAGAATAATTATTCTCGTGGAAAGTTAAAACCACTGAATATTCGAGGACCTGAGGGGAAATTATCGTCAGAGTCATGCGCAAAATGGGAAAGGTCTGAAATAAGTTTCCTGCTTTTTTAGTGACTGCCGATCTCAAGAAGCACAGTCTTGAAGGAATTAAGGAGGAACAAATGCATTGTCATCTGAAAGCCAGACAAAAGGAATGAGGTTGTCGTCTTACATCGAACTGAACGAACTGCTTGATCGAACTGATCAAGCGGTCACCTCGACTGTGATTAAAACATTCAAATGAAAATCTCATTCAAAGAATATAAAACGTCGTCTAAGAGAGCAATAGCTGTACAGCTTTGATCCACATACATGAATATCAGATGTAGAGTGGAATGAAACGAAATCAAAATAATCACATAGACCTATGAAAACAAAACAAAACAAAACAAAAAAGAAAATACAAGAGGAAGCTGATAGGAACTCGGAATGCAAGAGGTCGGGTCAAAACTGCCTAACGACTTGTCGATTCTTCCAAAGGAGGCCAACGCAGTACTGGATTTTTCTCACTCAATTATGATCGCTCTAAATGATTTTGTGACGTAGACCGATCTTCAATTGAGTGTCGAAAGCATTCCGGTGTTTGCTGGCTCTCCTTATTTAATATATGAATACAATAGTATTTGACTTGTGGTTGACAAAAGACGAAATGAAACTCGCATGTTAACTTTAATTTACTCTTTAACCCCTAATTTGACTGACATTTAAATTCTCCTCACATATCACCACTGAATCACACATCAATGTCATGAGGATATAGGAAATGATCACGAACTAAAGAAACTCTTGATTGTTCGACAAATTCTCCTTGTCAGCACCTTAGTAAATGCACAGAGAACAGTATGGAGATTATGAATACTGATGTTAGGGTTAAAGTAATTGGATTACGTAAAGAAATGGGGCTTGAACTTAAACTCGCGTGTGTGCTAAAGCGAAGTTACTTGTCCAAATATCAAGAATTGGGAATTTTTTTTAAAAACCCTTTTCTGGCTCCTTTACAGTAAATATTAATATGAACAGTGTGTGCTAAAGTGAAGTTACTTGTCTAAATATCAAGAATAGGGCATTTTTTTTTTCTTTTGGCTCTTTGCCCTTTGTGTAAATTTTGTTACTTCAGGATGAAGTAAAGTTTAAAGTGGATGTTTCTCGCACCTTTACTCTTACAGGGTAGCCATTTTTGCTGTCCTGCATTTGAACGCGATCATCTATTCTGTGTTGTCTGCAATGTAGAACGCGGCGAAACTCTACCTTGAAAGCCTCGTTTGTGCCTGCATAAATGAATGGATTCACTGTACTCGAAAAAAACAGCAAAAAGGTGCACACAAGTTGCACATTTCGTGGCACTACGCTTGCGGTAAAACGTTGCGTCATAGCGATGATCCAAAATGGGATCCAGCATAATCCAAAAGCTAGGACGACAACTGCTAAAGACTTCGTAATTTTAATCTCTCTAATACTCAAGTGACCGTCTTGTCCAACTCTTTGGAATGAGGTTATTACGTTCATGTTGTGTTGTTTAATTGTCTCAAATACATTGTAGTAACAGAAAATTGCTAGGGTGAAGGGGAGAACGAGAAACAGTGATACCACGATACAGTAATGTGTAATTTTAGCAGCTTCAGTTGGGTGAATGATAGTACACACAGCGTAACCAGGAATAAAGCCATATGCAGTCCAACCGGCCATCCGGGGAATCGCAACATACCCTGCAACGAACATCCATACCGCAACAACGTAAAGCTTCGAAAGGAATGGTGTGAAAATGTGGGAATAATGACTTGACTTGACAATTCGAATGTATCTGTTAACAGCCGCCAGGCCCATGGTCGTGGGAGAGACATACACAGAAAAAAGGGTGAAAAACGCATGCAAATTGCACATAATTTCCCCATAGGGCCATTTCCCAGTAATCAGGACGCCAACTGCTAACGACATTACTACGATGGAATTCAGAAGATCGCTGACTGCTAATGCAAAGACATACACGTTGGTCGTTGTACGAAGAGTTGGGTTTCTGTAAATCGAAATGCATATCAGCAAGTTGCCCGTCGAACACAGAATGGCCATGGTTACCAAAATCGCTGGCTCGATAATTACAAGTGCCAGAGGACGCTGTTCTATGGCTGGGTACATCATTAAAGTAAAGCTATCAGACGAAGAGTGGTTTTTGCGCTGGTCTTCACAGCTCGCAAATACTCTGAGTTTCGTTGGCGACGATATCTTCAACGAGACTTAAACACCTGCAGATTTTGCATATTTTTGGATAGGACTAGGACTAGTACAGAATTAAAAGGGTGAATGATACTACCTGCTGAGAGTTCATTATATTTGAAAGGTTTGCCAGCACATTTCACGAAAATCGTTCACTCTTGACAACGACAAAGACAGCAGGAACGACAATGCTATCGCAGTTGTCTTCCAGTCATTAGCATTCGTTCAGATTTATTCGACACATCAACTGTTATGTTAATCAGAACCGTGTCCAGGTTAGTTAAACAAAGACCCCTACTCCACTTTCTTTATGTTCGTAAATTGTAATGTGTCCGTGTGGATTAATTCGTCTCACTATATGATCATTAAAATACTTATTTTTTCTTTGCAGGATGTCGATTCTTCTGCGGTTGCCTCAAACGCAAAGATTTTGGTAATATCTTTAATCAAATGAAACACGAAACGCCAGTATAAACCGAACCTTACGCAGAGTATACGATGGTTTGATCAAAGAGATACATGCCTGGTTTTGACGGCTACTTGCCGTTCTTGATTAATTAATCTTTTAGCAGCGGACGAACAGTCCATTTCGAGCGAAAAAAAGATACTAGACAACAAAGATGATTTGAATCAACAAACACTTCAGGAAATTAGCACTTTGAGCGATAGGATATGTGTTTATTGAAAAATGTTTTGAGAACACTGCAGCGTAAGCTTCCAAACATATGTTTAAAACTGCTTGTAAATGCAATAGAAATGAAAAAGCGTCGTCAATAGAATATATTTACAGGGATAGGCTTTAAAATTATAATAGGACGCTAATAAGATGTTGCGGTAACATTGGCAAATGTATCTCTCGCTAGCATTACCGTACCTAGCGGAAAAAAAAATGTCGACTTGCTTTCCGAAGTACACCTGACACACAAGCTCTGTTTTTCCCTCTTTGACGAACGAAAAAAAAAAGTTTAACCATTTACAATATTATTTAAAATTTGTAATTATCTACTGTTTTATTTTTAATTGGCCACCATCAAGATGTTCTAAAGCTGATGTTTTAAGCTTAGTATCCCGCCTTCGTCAGAGCCATGATATACTCCCCACCGTCGCGGAAACTTAATATATATTTCCCTCAATATTATTCGTTTGGTGTACACCTGGAGGTTCAGGGGATTTTTCGTCGAACATTTGAATGACAATACAAAAAGAGAAATAAAAAATTACGAGTTACGCCACACAGGAAATAAACAAAAGAACTATTTTTTGTTCTCCGCGCATATTTCGTTCAAGATCGAGGTATTGTCAGTTTTGAAACTGACTTAATTCGACTTAAAAATATTCCATTTTATTACTAGCTTGAAATATAAAATAAGATGAACGCTGCTCGCAGTTAGCAACAGGTAGTCGATGCAAGCAGTGGTATAACGCCTTAGAGAATATTTAACCTCAATATAGCAAAACTACAGCTGCAATACAAAGTATAAAATACATTAGAATAACCGACAAGTGTCTTAAATGTAGAAGGTCTTTATAAAAGAATAGCTATTAATTACCATCGATTACAAGAAGGAAGAGGAAAAAATTACGTGCCACTAACTATACACCTTTACGAGAAAAGAAACTAGGTCTTTATAAAAAGGAAGATAATATAATCAAATGATTATTTTGCTAACAAAAATTTTAAATCAAATAAAAAGGCGAACGAGAAATCAAATTACTTAACTAAACGATAATAACTCTGGGTCCGTAAAGTTACCGGTACTTTCGAGAAACGAGCACTTGGCCTGCTCGTCTGAGTGTGAGTAGAACTGGGTGGAACTGGGGAGGACTGATGTCAGTGGTAGCGACTTCCGTTTTGACAAACTGAGCGGAAGTCATCATTGGTGTCAAGACTCGGATGATGAGAAGACTCGATTACCAAAAGACCAGAGGTCCGATGGTCGAATATAAGCTGGTGGGTGTTTCGAAACTTCAAAAGATTTTTTTTTCCTTCAGGAACAAGCAAAATTCATTATTATTATGTTTAGCAAAAGGTGCCTACGTCGTTAGCTGAGACCGAGCAGATGTTACTCGAACCTAGAAATTCAGGCATGCGCAGCTCTTAAGCCTTCACCCAACCAGCTGCAGTTCATAAATAAATGTTCCAAAATATACATTTAGAGGAGAATTTGTGTTGTGCGTAGGTGGGCAGGATATTGACGAACTTGATTTAATCATGTTTTCTAATTCAAAAGTTTTGAGTATTTGTATGTCAAACGAAAGACCGCAATGGGGAATTTGAAAAGATGTATAATTGAGTCAGAGCTCGAGGGATAATGATACATATTCGAATCTTTCGAGATCTAAACTTTCTTAGTTTGTAGACGCTGGCAATTGATTGCCTGCTTGCTTAAATTCCATGCTCACTCTAATTAGTTTGACTTGTTAGTCGGGGGAAATGTTGCTTAGAAATTGACTTTCACAATCTCTCACGATCTATCAATTAACCATGGTAGAAAGTTGCTTAGAGAAGGTCGTCTAAAGGAAAATAAATGAAATGATTGAAATGATGTGAATCTTATTCTGGAAATGAGAATTTTAGAAATATTTTTTTTATAATATTTTCCCCATCATCAAAAAAATCATTTAATATACAATTTCAGTGACAAGATAACAGAAAGACTGTTAATTGGAAAATTTATTCATTCAATAAAAGACAAATCTGAGAATGACGAGCATAAAAATAACTAGCTTCAAAGCAAGCCTCAGGATAATGAGACACAAAATTCATAATTTTTGCAAGGATATGACGGCCTTAAATTAAACCTTTTGTTTTAGTTAAGAGCATATTAAGAGCACTTCTTATGTTTCCTTCCAATGAGAAAAAACATGCGCCGGTAAATCATATGTACCAGGAGAACTTTTCCCACGATTTCACACGAAATTCAACATTCTACGCCAGTAAACGAGCTTGAATCAAACGTTGTTCCTGCTTACTCATTATTAGCGATTATTGAATTTATTGCTAAATAAAAATTTTTAACGGTATCTCTCTCCTTCTGTTGCCTAATGGCAATTACAACCCTTAACTGCAGCGTAAGCGTCGCCGATGACTTTGCGAACGGCGACTCGCTTCTCTCCATGCCGCCAAAAATAAACAGCAAAGTTCAAAACTGAGTTTAACATCATTATTACTTCAATAAAACGCCAAACTATGCCATGAAGTACTGGGTCGACAACAGTCGATTTAAGGACGAAGTAGTAGCCCATGGCTGGTGCAAAACATACGATAAACGTTCCTACTAATACGCCGAATGTTTTTGTAACTTTTCTCTCGTACGCTCGTCTTCTTTCTTCTTCCGGGTTCGGGGCTGGTCCTACAACGACACATCTAAGACGACGAATACGAAAAGTAATCCTAACACAAGTAAATAGTACAATTGTACTGCTGAAAACTATCGACGCGATTACTAGCGCCACATAATCAATCGTTCCTGTGAAAACACATACGCTTAAAAACACGCGAAACAGCGCGTAGGTACCAAAGGCAATGACGATACGCTTTTTGGTCACCAATTGCAAATACCTTACACCCATAAGAATCGCTATGTAGCGATCGATAGAGATGACAGCGATGTTCTGTAAAGTGCTATCGGCTACTAAGGTCACTATACCAGTGACGATATGTTCTAGGGAACAAGTTCTCAACGGACAGGCCAGGAAGAATATTGCCTCTGAAATGATCAGCGGTTGCATCACGACACCATTAAAGAGACCCACTGATGCCAAACTTAGCAGGCACATGTTCAGAGGAGTTTGAAGAGCCGGCGTCTTAGCGTAAGCTGCGATCCAGAGAGCGTTGCCCATGACAGACGCCACAGAAAGACAACTGGTTAGAATCACGACCAGTATAAGGAGCGGCAAGTAGAGTAAGCTCGGTTCAGAACACGCTGTTAAACTCGGATGCAAAGGCCAGGTACACAGCGGCTCGCTGACGTTCGAAACCAACATTTTTATATAAATCGCGATTAAAACACGTACGGAGCTTTATCTCGGAGTAATTTTGTTCTTATACAAGTAACCACAAATCGACCAGGTCCCTCGGGTTCGAGAGACTATCTATGAGATGCTTCGTTTATTTGTGAGAGATTCCAGTTGCTATGTAACTGAGCAGGTCCTTGAAATGTTGTTTTGGATATTGAATGCTGTATCGAGAAAGCAAAAAAAAATTATATATGTATATATACATATAAACTGCTGTCTACGGTTTCGGTTGAAAAGCGAAGGAACTGAAAAAAAGATAATCCTGTATAAAATTGGTAATTACTCTTTCCTATTACTTATTCTCGTTAAAATTTTAGGTTTCGGTTTCCAAACGGACCAGGAAAAGGTTTTCATGTGCAATTGCGTTTAAATTGTCAAAAATGACTCGGAAGAAACTCTCTTTTCGAAACGCAAATGAAAAACAATATTTGTGCGAAATAAGTTTCAACAATAGTATTACCTGGAAATATCACTCTTCAGAGTTCATGTAGTGATCAGCTTTCTCAAAAACACCAAGAATAGAGTTGCTCAGTGTTCGTCCAATTCCTGGCCGAGTACAGCAAGAGACAGAACGCCAAAAAATTTTTAGAAGGAAACAATCCACCTACAGAGGACACCTAATATGTTTCTGAGGGAAGGCATATTCTGTTTTATTCAAATTTTGTTTCGTGCAAAACCGGATCCCTGCAAAAGAGGCCTTTGTGTCCTTTTCTAAACTTTCACCTGTGCTGAATACATACATGAAAACTTTTAAAATCGAACTTAAATGTTTTCGACACCTCGGTAAGTCGCTCAAAGATCTCAAGTGCGGCGCGCTGAGCTCGGCAAATTTCCGAATTTTAATCAGTCGGGATTATAGACAGAGGCTTTTCTCGTCAAAAAACGCTATATTTCGCGGCTCCAAATCTTTAAAGTTGTGTTGTTCATTTGCGCGCAGATCTACATTTGCCTCCGTAATAACAAACCCACATCCGATCATCTCAATCTCTTTCATGTCCAGCAACTCTTGGTCGCCAAGTAATTAGCATAACTCCTACGACTGATTCTTTGCCCGAAATAAACACAGACTTCAGCGTATCGATCACAAAAGGTGCCGTTGATATTATTCTTCAATGCCGCACTAGCGTTCTGTTCTAAAAGCCATACATTAAACTAAAGACAACATGAAATAAAAATTCCAAATAATTACTTTAATAAGTAAATCAGGTCTGTATTAATGTTAAAATTATTAGGCCACTTCCGAGTTCTTGCGGTTCTGGTGCCGAAATTACGGCGTGAGAACTAAGTGAGGCTAAGTGCGAAGTCGCTATCATCGGTTTAAATAATAAGTATCATGGTGCGTGAAAATGAGCAAAAATTTTCTCGAAATTAAATGTAGGAGATTGAAAAATTATTCGAGGGAGAGAAGCATTCAGTTAAGTGATCGTTTTGCAAATTACAGTAATCCTTCGCAACGAATCTGCAAGAAAAGAATTAAACGGTTTTAATGAAAATGGAGCTATGCAATTGAGCAATAGCGTAGCTTCATTTTTTGCATATAAACCCACACACAACCAACAATTCCTCCAATCACTCTGACGAAGGACTAATGCACGATTTACGTTTTCAACTAAGTTGTTAACACTAACTGGCTTGTCAAACAACAGCTTAAGATGAAATGGAGTGCAATCACACACGAAGCCGAAAAAAACTAGTTCGAACGAAAACTTTTACTTTTTGTGTGCAGCACAAAAGGAGCAGAACTCTCCTGATACAATTGAACGTAAGTCTACAGACTCATTGACATTCCAGCAAACCACTTGATTCCAATCGCCATGATCAAACACATCCATCTCCATTAGTTCAACACTGTTGCTTCCAGCAGATTCCGAGTCTTTCTTGAAAAGAGAGCAGTTTAGATACTTCAGGATAGAGAACGTTTTCGGAAACACAACACAGTCATCTTGCTTTCCTTCAGGCTGAACTGAAATGCCAAACTTACTCATTCGCATGAAAGTCTTGAAATCCTCTCTTTCCATAATATGCCAAATCAACAAAAAATTGTTATAAACGCCACTTTTAGAACCTTTCTCTCGGTCTGCCAGTAACTCCATCACGGAGACTTGGTGTGTACCATCCTTTTGGAGTATTTTAAGACTCTCAATTGCTTTGATTTGAGACAAGATGTGCTGACTTCCCTCATCAGTATCTCTTACCATGAGAAGAAGTTCAATAAGGGTAAAAACCTGATCTTCAATAGCCTCCGGTTGCTTGAAAATCGGTTCACTCGAAGCTTTACGAGAGTTAAACAATTTCGACCGAGGGAACAGGGCTGGTTCGGCAGATCGCGGGTGCACAGAGTAGTTCATAGAAACTTGTAGAGGGTGCTCCATCGGTGGGTCAGAACTATTTTTTTTATTTTTCAAAGTTTCCAAATCTTGCCTGATTAAATGAAGGATCTTTAGGGTCTTTTGGCCAAGTTGGTGCAGCTTCCATTTCTCCTCACTTTCCATCAAAACTTTTAAGAACAAGGTCTTCAGCGTGTAGGTTGTAATGACTGCTTTATATTCCATCGTGTACATGTCCAGTTGAGATTCAAGGAAAGTTTGAATGAGATACTTCAAAACACGATAGCAGCGTTTTTCGACCGAGTCAAGTGGAAGAGAGCTTAGCTTTGATAATTCCCATGGGGACTCTGATCTTCGTGAGCACGAAATCGTATTAATCGACCAGAAATCAAATAGTAGTTGCAGAGGTTCAGAGTTGGGCGTACTATGGGAAATCTGGATGGCCAAACAAATGTCAACTGACACAAACCTTTCTGAACCATCAGCATCAGTAAACTTGAGGATTTGGAGGTATGTTCTGCCAGATGGGTATTTCAATCGGGCGACATGTTGCCACTGGGGGAATTTCTTAACCTGTGACAGCAATGATCGATGAATCGCCGCAGACACCATGGCGGAGATTTCATCTCTCCAAGGACTTTTGCCATCTTTAAAAATAAGTTGATCTCTCCTCCTTTGTTCGTTTTCCTCTTGATCGCACCAATCAGGGCAAAGAATGTCTTCCATAAAACAGAGCTCTTTCATGCTCAAAATAAGCTTCGTCGATTGAATGTTAATGTCATAATCATCCGCACAAAAGGCTTTACCATTTTTCCATACCAATTGTTCTTGTAACGCAGGTAAAATAAAAACGTAGTCAAATTCATCTGCTTGTCCAATCTTAGTACCCTCGACCATACTGCCTCCCTGTTGGACAACTGCGTTGTGAAACAAACAGTACTTACCAGAAAGGTCCAGTAACGTATCTTGTATGATCTGGTTCAGCTCTTCTTGGATAATTTGAGCGTTTTCACCGTCTGGAAAATTTGCTTTTGTGTCAGCGAGCTCCGTTAAGAACAAGTCAAGTTGGTTTGGGCAAGCAATGGTTGCTGAGTCTTCACAATACACTTTTGAAGTCATTCCGCATTCAATCATGAGATCTAAAATAAATTAAGAACAATAGCGTTGCCCCTCTATCTTTTATAATTAGTTTAAAACACTCGACCTTACACCTAAAAACCGTAAGAAAAGTGAAATGCCTCATCCCCTTGTCAAAAATCATAATAAACAAACCAAATAAACACAACCTAAGCGACAAAAACAAACAATCCGAAGACATATTCATTCAACACACTTAACAAAGGGTTATATCCGGTAACTACGGTAAAAAAAAAAAAAAAGAAAGGGAAATATAGAAAAACAAATCCTTTATGTAATTTCCTTGTTTCCTCGAAATTAGTTTTCTATCTTCCAGTCCTTGTCTCCTAATTGTGGAACGATTAGAGTACTTTGCAAATAGAGAATCCATACAAGTCAGAAATACCTCTTTTCGTTTTTGAAACCCAGTTTGAAATAGAGAATTCCATACAAAAACGAACTGTCACTATCGACTTGTCCCCACGACAGTTGGAGCGACTTTTTGCCGAGTGAATTCGATAATTAAAAGAACTTCGAACGATTCAAATTTGAAAATGGCTCATATTTGTTTCTTATTTTTCGTCTTCTTGATCTCTGTCAACGAATTTAAAGTTTAACGACTATTTCTAGAGGTCTTTTGATGCCTGCAGACGACAATTTATTCCATGCAACAGCTGAGGATTCTTCCCCGGAAAGCCAAGCTACGAATGATATATTTCAAAAAGTTTTTGCAGATTGATTCTTAAGATATCTGTCTAATGTACCTCGTTAACTCGAGCTGTTTCCTTTCAGTAGCTTGAAACCGAAAATCATATCTCAAGTCCGTTCGACGACATCGACCGTCGAAACTTACTGCTGCGCGGTGTTACTTCGCCTCATTTCGCCACAATAGACTTCATAGCTAACCACTAATCACCGGAATTTTCGCCTTTATGTCGCTTCATTCAAAAGCGATCGCATGTTTTCGCTTGAAGCTCACACCTCAAATTATTAGAATCTTCCCTTTCGTCAGTACTTCCGTCCTGCGCTGAGCGAGTCGCTGCACTCTAGCTCGGCTCCAAGCTCCCGCAAACACCGTCACGAACGAAATGTCACGCAACACTTCATCTTCCAATGGCGGGAATAATTTAATGGCGACCCCATCGGTGAGCTTGAGGTTTTTGCCTCGTCCTCTGCGAAGAGCTTTGCTTGATTTTCAAAAAGATGGTGTCCGGTTTGGTATTAGAAAACAAGGAAGGTAAAAAAGTAAAGAATTTGATGAAAACCTTATGCATTTTTTAAAATTATTCAATATTATTGTGTGTGCTGAACTGATTTGAATACGAAGAGCTTTTATATCAATGTTTTTTTAGCATACCCTGAAACTGATTTTGATTTGTGTTTCTTTCTCTCCTTGTGCGAAATCCGTGGTTATACACATCACAGATGTTTGATAGGAGACGAGGTTTGTTTGAATATTATTTCTTCAAATGATCAATGATTGGTTTAACCGTTCCCTTCTTGCAAGCAATCATTTTTATGGCAGACAGTAAGGAGAATTACTGATGAGATCTTGGGATTGAAAGGTTTAATTGATTTAAAGCCATAACTGTGAATAATTGTCATTATATTGTGCAGATGGGACTTGGCAAAACCCTTCAAGCAATCAGCATTGCATATTATTACAAAGATACCTGGCCACTGTTGATTGTGGTGCCATCCTCTGTCAAGTTCTCCTGGATTGACGAGATCGAAAAATGGCTGCCTGAAGTTGAACCACATGATTTGAATCTTATTAGATCAGGCTGCGATGTAAGGTTTGTCAGCAATGAATTTTTTGTCTGGCAAGAAATGTCCGAGCTGGATCAAGATGTTTATTAGGTGACTTATCCAGCTTCTACAGTTTTGATCATGATTAACAGGACAAGGAGAAATTCTGCACAAAAACTTCAGGGTTATCATTAGGAAATGTAACAGAAAATATACTGGGTGTATGATCTGAACTGCGTAGGCAGCTTAATTGAATAAACCTTTTAGCAGACAGATGGCATGGTGAAAGAAACACAAACTAGCTTCTAGTAGGGTCCAGTGCATGCTCTCTGGAAAAAAAAAAAACTGAAATTTGTAACTCTCAGAGACATGATTTGCAGCATTCTGATGCATCTTCAAGTGCCTTTTGTAGCTACATGTATGTATCACTTTTAGAATTAGTTGAAAAATTCTTTTTTCTGTCTTTAATCACAATTTACAACTAAGCCAATTCAAAATGGTCTGACAGCTGGTGGGTTTCTGCCACCTACCACCTATTTCCTTCTTTTGACAACCATTAATCATTTTACCAAAATGAATTTAAAAAAAAAAACATCCACATAACTAACTCACCAAAATAAAGCAAGAAAACAAACAAGACTAAAACCTCTGTGAAAGCAAAAAAAACCTTTCTGAAAGGTCCATCCCATAGCAGAGTAAAAACCTTTTTAAAATATAACATTTACATACAGCACTTGTTGATTTATTTTTCAGTAACCTTGGGAAGGCCATGGTTCATATTGTAGGTTATGGTCTGCTGAGCTTAGCAACCTCCAAATTGTTACTTGAAGCTCTGGAAAACCACAAGTTAAATATTGTCATATTAGATGAATCACATTACTTAAAGAACAGAAAATCAGCACGTACAAAACATCTGCTTCAAATCTGCAAGAAAGCCAAGCATGCCATTCTGTTGAGTGGAACACCATCACTTGCTAGACCAAGGGAGGTTTGTGAGATATGCTTTCATTTGTTTCATGGACTGTTTTTGTCTCGAGAAAATTGAATTGACATTTTCACTTTTTCTTTCTAGCTCTTTCCTCAGCTGGACATTATCTGTCCAGGTAGGTTTGGTTCTTTCAGTCGTTTCGTTCAGAGGTACTGCAATGCACGTGATGTATTTTTCAGAGGAAAGAGGAGCTATGACACAAGGTATATATGGGTGCACTGTATATATTTCTTGTAAACTTTTGTATTTATCTTTTTTATTTGATGTTTGACTGATTCATTGACTGCTTTATTGATTCATCAATATGAATGTAATGCATCAGTATTTTTTAAATTCTTATCTTTATGTAACTGGTATACATTAGGATTGATCAACAATTGAATAATACTTTTCTCTTTACAGTGGTGCTTCAAATCTTGATGAGTTGTATCATCTCCTGAAAACTCATGTCATGATAAGAAGGCTTAAGAAAGAGGTTGGTGTACTGTACAGTTGTATGTACTGCATGATAATTAAAAAAAGATAATGATAATGATATTAACGATAATTTAATAATATTAATATTAATGATGATATTTTAAATTTCTATTTTGCAAATTAACTCTTTAACTCTTAGATCAAATCTGTAATTCTCCTTATTGTCAACCATACAATTTATATAATGTTAGTTCAGAGAATTTAGTATTGGATCATCTAATTATCCCCAAATTGATATTTTTCTTTATTCTCATCACTTGTCTGCTCGATATTTTATTGATATTGTAAGGAGAAATTCTCTCTTGGTCACTCTTGGGAGTTAAAGGGTTAAAATGTTGATATGATTAAACATGCTTTACAATCATAAACCACCTTAATGATCAAAATCCATGAAGTGAAAATACATCCTCTTTCCAAAAAAAATAGTATAGAAAAAAAGATTACAAAAATATCATATGGAAAATGCCTATCCTTGATCAAAAGTTTTCAAAATTAAATGCGTCTTTAAAGTAATAGATCTAAAAGTGTTTTAAGTGACTGCATTTTGATTTTAAGGGGCAACTTACTTCAAAGTCAAGGTGCAGTGGATGTAAAAGATCTATTCCCAGCCTTTTTTTCAGTCTGTTACTTAGTTACATAAGAGATATGCCAGCATTTGATACATTCTGAATAACTTGACTAAATTAGATTGTGAAAAATTTCTTCCTTTTTTCATATAGGTTTTGACTCAGTTACCACCAAAGAGAAGACAAAAAGTTTATTTTGACATCTCAGAGTCCAACAGTAAATACAACACAGTGAGTCAGGATACAGATAACAGCTATGACTGTGCTTTTGTTAACTTCTGGAAGCGATTCAGATAATCTGTTGTCTTCTCATACTTAAAGCTGTAATTAAAAATCTTCCCTTGAGTACTCCTGATGAGATGAATGCGTATTATCACCACTTAATCTTTTCACTCTGGAAATTATTGCAGATGTAATCATTTTTAAGTGCTGTACATTTCCTTGTAGTTAATGCCATACCTTGCACAAAGCTGATGCCAACTTATTAATTTCTTATCATCTATTTTCTCTACAATGCAGTGAATGTTGAAATCGTGGTGATTTTTTTCTGATTGGCTTCCTGCCTCCTATGTATATTCCATACAAATGAGTCTGGAATGACAGCAAGAAGGTTCCAATGAAATTTCCCATGCTCTTGTCTTGTTATAGGCCAGTTAAGTATGTTTATGTGAGCTTGTGTTCTACCAAATGTTTAGGAATTGAAGCAGATCATGAAAGACTTCAGGAAATGTTCTGCTATTATTAATGGGGCAGTTGCAGATGATCTGTCAATTAAGTCACCTCTGACAGAAATCAGACGCCTATCAACACTTGTATATCACTATACTGGGCTTGTCAAGGTGAGAAGATTCCAGAGTTTGGCTACACTCCACTTCTGTTTGACTCATTACTTAACCCTTTGACTCTCAAGATTTCTTTAGCAATTCTCACTGTCTGCCATACCATTCCCATGATGTTAGTGTGGAGAATTTAGTATTGGATCAACTTATAATACCCCAATTGATATTTTTCTTTATTCTAATCACTTGTCTACTTGACATTGTATTGATATTGTGAGGAGAAATTCTATCTTGGTCACTCATGGTAGTCAAAGTGTATGTAATGCTTTAAAATAATAGAGAGTGTCTGTCAAGTAATAGCTAGAGGTGTGCTAATTTGATGAAGCTTTTTAATTTTTTTTTCTTTTTTTTTTTTTCAATGATATTTTATATGGGGCTTTCTTCTCTGCTATAGTCTGGTTCATAGTAACTTGGTCTGGTCACATGACACCAGACCAGCCTGATCACTGGAAAGTTGTACCTTCCCTAGTCTCTAATTGGGGTCGGCTGGTAGGCTTTGATGTAATTTGCCTCTTGAATTCCTCTGAACTACTCCTCAGTAATATTTACGATCTCCTAAACTCAACGACGTCATTTTCTTAACGACTTTGTCAAAAATGTTTACGAACAATGCTTCTGCCATTGACTCAGCGACGCGCTACGTCATTAAACGAACCTAACGAAGTCATTAAAACGAACTTCAGTTTGAATATTGGACATACATCGCCTGAATCCTGCTTCATTCTCAATACCTGATACGCCTAATTTTTTCCCTAAGATTGGTCCAGTTCTGAAGTACATTGAAGACTTGGCCCAGGGAATGGATGGCAAATTCATTGTGTTCTTCCGTCATCGTCTTGTACGTCAAGCCATCGAGGCAAAGTTGGTGACCTTGAAACTCAAATACATTTGCATTGCGGGTGATGTACCCTCCGGAATCAGAGGGGTAAGGATCTCTGTATGCTCTTTTAATTGCTCTGCATGTGTGCACGTCTGATAAAGGGCCGGGTGTATTAGGGAGGAAATCGAGGAGACTATTCAATGTTACTGTTTTCGTGTAACTTGACCCTTTTAGTCTCCTTGCAACTTGTTTTTTTTTTTTTCAAGTCATGAATTCTCCACCCGTTGGACTTGTCCACTTCTGTGCTATTAACTTCAACAGCCAGTATTAAATTCGATGAAGTTCCCACTTTGAATATTAAATCTTGTTTATCTGCAACTTAGAGATGTAAGGTCTGTGTTTTGAAATTGTTTTTGTTGTTGTTGAGGGTAATGATCTGTATACTTGCTTTAGGAGTTGGTTAATTCATTTCAAACTGATCCACAAGTACGCGTTGCGGCCCTTTCCATTGAAGCAGCGTCTTTTGTGAGTATCAAAATGGATACAATTTTTTTCTGATTAGTATTATTGGACTCGTATAATCAATAAGCCTAGATAATCAAATTTTCCAGGCCTACAAAGGCACGGAATTCTGCAGGGGTCATTAAAATATATGCACCATGACTGGAAGTTGTTTTTTAGTAGATTGACACAACAAAAAATAGATTTTCCGTCAGATAATTGCAAACAAGTTCCAAAGGGGGCGAAGCCTGTGTTATCCAGCCTTTGCTTGGGTAACAATCTCCTTTGTATAATTTATTCATCTATTTGTCTGTCCGCCTTTGTTATCATGGTTTTCCATTATTTTTTAAAATTTTCTTCGTCAGGGACTCACTCTCACTGCAGCCCATCATGTAGTGTTCGCGGAGCTTCATCACACTCCAGGTGTTATTATACAGGCTGAAGACAGAGCACACAGGATAGGGCAGACACTACCGGTTAACATTCATTACTTGATTGCCAAAGGGACTGTGGATGAGACGCTATGGTCCCTTATTAGACGCAAGGTATAGTTGTGGTAGTTTTCGTGGTATGTAGGAGAGACATAATTGTTCCTTATGTACATTTTGCACTGCATTCAGAAGAAATTTTTCCATTGCATGCACTTGATCAAGGTGACTTCTGCTCCAGGGATGCGTTGTTTAAAGAACGATTCAGTTGACCGACGGTTCGCCAACAATTCTTTTAGTTAGCTTTGTAGCTTTGCAGACAGTTTAAATTGGTTATATTTTTTCCTCCAGTTGTGTCACGTTAAGGTAAAACCTCTCCAAACATAAGTCCTGATTAAAAACTTTATTCTAAGAAAAATAATAGACAGGTAAAGGTTTTAATCCTGTATCATCGCTAACCGCCTTCGAACAACCGGGCCCAGAGGATTGCACGCTTTGATTCTCTGCGATCTGATTGAAAGAAAAATAATTCCATCATTTCAAACAACACCTATCCAAGGAGAACCTAAAATCGATCACAGCTCTGTCATTCGTGTTTCCCCTCCCTTTGCAGGTCTACGTTACTACTACCACATTGGATGGGAAATGTAAAGATCTTGAGACAGAGAATGCAGATGAAGATCTAGGTCGGAAATTGTCAGCATGTGCTGCTTGGATCCAAGACCAGGAAGAAGGTGCTGAGGACCTGGAGGATTTCGTAAATGAGCAAGTAAGTCAAGCTTAGCGATTAAGAATTCAATTAACAATAGAGATTGGCTCAGGGGACATTTAGTGTTACTTCAAGTTTTCTTTTGGTCCTTTTGGTTCAAATGCACTGTTTTGAAAACAAGATTAAATATTTCATTAAATCAACCTTTTTTTTCCTGCTGTTGCTGGAACTTGCTACAAGACCTTTCTATCTTTGCAGCTTTCAGCAAAAACAACTGGTAAGGATCAAGGGCAAAGAGATCTTCGTTCTTTTTTTGTTGCAACACCAGTTTCTTCAAAGTCGAACTCCTTTGAAAACAGGGCTAGTAGTCACAATACGACGGTCCATAGAAACAAAAGTGCAAAAATGGGTGCGGCCAGGAAAACTTCAGATGATCCGATACAAGTGCTTGAGAGTGAAGAGGAGGATTTATCGACTTTGGATGATCTGAAGGATGATGCCCTTATTTGGGAAGGTGCATATTCTATATTGTACTTAACTCTTTAACTCCCGTGAGTGACCAAGACAGAATTTCTCCTTACTATATGTATGCAATATCGTGCTGACAAGTGATGAGAATAAAGAAAAATATCAATTTTAGGCCAAGGATTACTAATTGATCCAGTATCAAATTCTCCAAACTAACATGGTGAGAATCACTTGGCAGACAGTAAGGAGAATTACTAAAGAGATCTTGGGAGTTAAAGGGTTAATGTTGTGTTGTATTTATGTTGGAAGCGAGGAAATATCAGACGCCTCTTTTTTTTGATGGTTTTTTTAAGGTCTCTGAAATTAGGTTGCCTTCTAATAGTTTTTCATTTTTCATTAGCACCCGATATTGTGCAAATCTCTAAAGAAACGCCACTCAAGAAAAACGGTAAACCTTTCAGAGAAAGTCTAGAAAACCGCGAAAATCTTAAAACTGACCCTAAACCTCACGAAGAAGCACTAAAGGAGGAGGACTGTCCACTTAAGCCAAAAACAGTAAAATTGAAGAAAATGAAAAATGGCAAGCTATTGTTTGCGGAGGGCAAAACCACCACAAGACAAAGTCAACAAGAAGCCAACTGCAAAAGTCTTATAGAATTTGTTGGAAGTGATCCTGAAACGGAATCACAGACGTTACGAGGCTATCTTGATAATGGAGATGGACCTGAAATTTTAAACGTAGAAGATGAATGCAATTTTGGAGGGAAGAGCGATTTCTTGGGTGGAAGTTCGAAGCCGAAAGACCGGGAATTTTTAACGTATTTACAAGAGGCTGATATAGAGTGTGTAGAAGTGGTCTGTAAAAGGACATCGAGATTGCTAGAGGACCATCAAGATAGCTTTAATGATTGTACTACGGAAAGAATGGAACAAAAAATAGGAAGTGCAGTTAACGATTCACGATATCCGTCTTGTCAAGATTTCGAGGGAGGATCTTTTTCAAAAGATATCGGTGGGATTGAAATGTCAGACTCACCCAGAAGAACAACTGCGATAATCGATAAAATTGGAAAGTTACAAAGTAAGCAAGGAACGGAATCGTGCACAAAGTCCTGTGGTCTTTCTTCTGATGACGCTGGCAATAAAAGTGACAAAGATTCTGCTAACATAGGAACAAAGATGCCTTCATGCTGTCATCAAGGAAGGAAAAGTGACCAAAACGTTTCCTCCCATTTCAACATTGTTTCTCTAGACGATAACGGGACTGTAGATGAATATGTTTTATGTGAAAGGAGTAACAGTCAAGGATATGGAACGAAAGCGAACCAACCTTTAAAAGAGAGTACTAGAAGTACTAGAGACAAAGTTTTCAATCCTCCAAAGTATTCATCACAAGTTCTTGAAAATAGGGAATGTTTGCCGGTTAAAGAGGATGGAAATATTAGCGTCACTGCAGTGCCTTATGATGACAATTCAACAGATGATTTCCAAGATGACAGCTTTAAAAATACTCAGGTCGCCCCTGTACCGGTCACACAGAAGCCCACTAAAAAGCGGAATGCTGCTAACAAACCGAAACAGAAGACAGAAAATCGAGAGGCAAAGAGAGGTAACAGGTGGAAGCAACCACCTACCGATTGGCATTGTAGTGCTTGCACTTTTATAAATGATGGGCAGCTTTTGGAATGTTCCATCTGCTTCACACCTCGTGCAAAAATTAACGAGGCCATGAGCACTGTCGACGATAATCCTCTGAGCATCAAAAGTATCAGTGGACAAGGTCGCGATGACGTATATATTTCAGATAAAATGGACCTATATGGAACGGGTGTAGACTGTATGGATACCAGTTCTGCTTGTGTGAATTCTGGCAAGATCAGTGGAACCGTGAAACATGAGTCATCACAAATTTCCTTTGGCTTTGCCCAAATGACGTCTCCTAAAAGCACTGGGCAAACTGTAGAACCACATGCTACAGGAAAGGCTATTGTCCATAACTTGTCGAGTGAGTCGATGATAACACCACCGTGTGATTCAAAGAGTGACATTAAATCTACTATTCGTAAAGCTAAATCAACTGATAATGATAGTGTGTATAGTCAAGTTGCTGAGTCCGGCTTGCCTCCTTGGTCGTGTGCGGCTTGCACCTTCTTGAACTTGTCAGAAATGATTGAATGTTCAATGTGTCTGACTCCAAAACGGCGAAGCCGGAGGGTGAATGCAAAAAAGAGTCTACTCACAGTGGAAACAGAGAAGGAGGCCAATGCGAGCAAGATCGCTTTGAGCGACAGGCGACGCTGGAAGAGGGCTAAGAATGCAGAAGACCAGAATCCACGGGAAATGGATGAAGGCTTGACAGCTGAACCATTGGGACTATCTCGTGAAACACAAAGTAGTAGTCACACGCAGTATGGCCATGAAGTCTTGAGAGAAGAGATTTCTGAAGAGGTCAAGTCGAACCCTCGAAAGCGACTTAGACTTGATGAGGTCGAAGGAGAAAATGGTATCTGTGATGTTTCATACGATTTAGACGTTTTGTGCAGTGACAGCACCATTAAGTGTTCCTATGCATTGTCCTCCTCTGCAGCTCCATACGAGCTGATGGCCGCCACACCGCCTGATGGTAAAGGCATAGATGTAGTTAGTCCAGTCGATTCTGTTCTTTCCTCAGATCAAGAGGAACTACAACTTAGAACCGACCACGGCGCAAGGTGCTGCAAGATTGGCAATAATGATTTGGAAATGGACTGTGAACAACTTGACGTTTCAGATCATTTGGTGACTAAACAGTGTAGTGGAGTTTCTTCGACGGTATCCTCCGAAGGGAATGTTGGTGGCCATTTGCCATCCTCCAAAAATTCGGATATTGACGAAGTTATGGAGGACCTTGAAGAGCTGAAAGCTGCAGCAGAAAAATTTTTTAGTTCAGAATGGGAAGACGAGGAGCGGTGGTGGGAAGAAGAGAGTTCTTTTGAAATAAGCTCTTCCGCTTCTAGTAGTGAAACAGCCTCAAGTAGTCCGACAGTTACAAGCCCAGGATTTACAAAGTGCTCCGATTTTTGTTCTGTCACGGAGCTTAAGAAGAAGCTAGAGACAGATGCTAAGCAACTAAATGAAACCCAGCCCAAGGCTGCGCAAAAACCCCAATATGCTAAAGGTAACCCTGAAAATACTGAAGCTGCGCCATTAGCAAATGAATATAATTCAAGGCCTGAGTTGGATCCAGTAATAGAAGAGGAGGAAGAAGATGAAAAAGACGCTCCCCCTGAGGCGATGAAGTTGAAATTCTGTTTAAGCCTTTACACAGAACGGTTATATTTGTACACTCAGGTGAGTCATTTACTGGTTTGTTTTTCCTTCTCACCCTCCTTGTAACTAATGCAATGTCAGGATAATTATTCAAAGGAGCCCTATGGGAAAATTACATCCAGCCGGAAAGACAATACGAGTGTGATTAGTAAAACAGATTTTCTTCTGTGCTTAAGGGTGACTCAAAATATGATAATCATAAGATACGGTAGCGCATTTGTATTCTGTAGGATGGGAGCGCTGGCGTTTTTGTAGGAAGACTGCAAAAACATAAACAAACACACACACTTAACTGGAGCATCAACAATAAGAAAGTAGATTTTGTGCATCGTGATCATTGCGGTGTTTGGTTTTCTGCATAGGATGATCTTCCACTTGGAATTAATTTCTGCATGTCTGATGTTAAGAACTGCAACATGGAAGATTTACCAGCCATTCTTCATCATGATGAAAATTTAAGGCAGGTTGAAAGATTCCTTGAAAAATGGAGAAGGTAATTAAGGCCTTACGCGTTATTACGAGGTTACTTTGGTCAATTGTAGTTTAATTGCTTCATTTTAGCTTTGTTATGGTAACTGAATCAGACTGGATCATACTTATACATACTTAAACATACATACATACCGATTTGATCTCGGTAAAGGGAATTGCAATATGAACGTTCTAGCAGGCTTAGTATGAGTTTGTGAAAATCGTCTAAGTTGAGTCAAGCTTCCATTTGTGGTATCACAAAATACAACGCACTTTTTCCTTGGTTTTCATTTAGGATGGGAGAGGGGAAGAAGCGAATACTCCGAAAATCAGGACTTGTGTTTGATGATCCTCTGGAAGCTTATGAGTGTGCAAGAAAGGTAACCGTTGGCTTGTTTTCATGAAATCGTTACACATTTACACACACGCTTAAAATTTTTGTTCCTAGTTTACTTTGATAAAGGGGGTATATTTAGCGACTGGAAGCGTTTCCATGATCGGGACTTAATACACCCAACAACGCACGGGAAAAGACTCATAGGGGTTGGAAGGTGAACGATTGTATCCTCAAAAGGAAGACGCCTTTTGGCCGTCTTTAGTGGGTACAATGTCGTTGTTGTTGTGGTTGTTGTTGCTGGTGTTTGTGGTAATGGTTGTGCTGCTGTTTCTATTGCCATTACTCAGACATCCTTTGAAATTACTGATAATTTTTTAAACCTTAGGCAAGGCTCCTCTTGTAGGAAGAAGTTCTTAATTTAATTCTTCCCCGTTATGATGATCGCATCTCTTCACAATAAAAAGAACAACGTTTTGTTTCGGTTCAGTTGAAGTATTTTACATTTGGTTTTGTCAGGGTTTGTCAAGGGCATGCAGCTATGTTCGACACCCTTCAAAGGTAAAGGTCATATATTTTTTTAATTTCTTTCCCTTATTTTGTTGATGTTGATTTTGGTATTGTTGTCGATGGTATTAGAATTGCTGCTGATTCAGTTAAAATAATTTTAAAAAAGTATGATATATTACAGTTCACAAGGCAACCGGGTGGACAATCAGATATGGTTTGATGCTTCTCTGGTTTAAAGATTTGATAAATGTAACCGAGAAGTTTCAATTCATAGACCCAACGTTTCCACACTCCTGTCTAGTGCCTTCATCAGGGGTGATCTAATCGCTGATGAAGGTACTGGACAGGAGTGTCGAAACGTTGGGTCTATGAGTTGTAACTTCTCGGCTGCATTCATTAAATCTTTAAACCAGAATAGCATCAAACCATTTCCAAAAACCATTGTCTGATTATTTCTTTGTCCCTTCCTCTTCCTTTACTTGTTATCTTGCAGGAAACTCAGATTCTGGCTGCCCATAATACCGCGGAAGAAGTAGGAGGAAAAGTTCGGGTAGTTAAGAAACCCAAAATTGTACAAAACAAAATAGAGAGGAAAACTGATCATGCCAAGAGCAAAGCAGGTGGTGCAGAAGAAGGAGAGAGCGTGGAACTTAACAGCAACACGCAAATGTATGCCTCAAACACAATCTGCGAGGATAAGATCTATCACCAGGCTGTGACGACTGATGGGGTACCACTATGCTTGTTCTGTAAGGGCCCTGTGGAGTTCGCAAAGAGAGTGCGGTGCTCAGATTGGGATGCAAGATTTTGTTCGCACGACTGCAAACAGGAATATCAGGTAATTGACAGCTTTTAAGGAACCTATTTCTGCGTTTTGCGCCAGTATTTGTTGGTTTAGTTGAACATCGATGAAGGGGTTAGCAAGAAAGAGAAAATGAGGGGAAAGACAGGAATGACCGAAGAGTATTTTCCAAGTCGTTTTCACCGTGAATTGTTATTCAAGAATTACATTTTCTCTTCCCTCTCGGAATGGATTTGATTGATAAGTTAATTACCTCGTAATTCCCTATGATATTGCTGTTAATCCAATTAACTATCAAGTACAGTATTCATGCTGCAGGCCACAATCCGCGACAAAATTTGTCGACATATGAAATTCACGTAGCCACCATCAAGGATGGCTTAGAAGTAAAATACAAGTTGGACTGTGTTTCGCTATAACTCCCCTTCCCCCAATTCAATATTTTGCAATCACAGATAACAAAATACAACATTGCTCAGGTGGAATCTCAATTATAATGTGTTTAATTTATTTTCGCTGGTTGAAATGTTAAAAAAATAATTAAAATAGAGTTGTTTTTAATCTAGGTTCGTGTTAGCGGTACGGCGGCAAGGAGAGCTTTGTTTGAGGCAGAACGAGGAATTTGTCAGCTGTGTTCAATGGACGCCCATAACTTGTACCAAAATGTTGTCGCGTTATCTGTCAGAGATAGGCCGGCATTCTTGGCTCAGACTCATTACTCGACTTTGCCAAATCAAAAGTTGATGAAAATGATAATGGAGCCAAAGGAGGGAATGGTAAGCTGGATGTTCAAAAACACCTTGCTGTTTTAAATGTCTACATGGCCCAATTTACCATTTTTTTTTTTTTTTTTGTCGATTTTTGATTGTATTGTTCAAAACAATATTCGTTATCAATGCGCATTAAGGGCTGGAGACAAAAAAGTAACTTGCGGAGAGAGCCCTCTCCCTCACTCCTCATTAGTAATCAAACCAAACTAGTTCGGTTGTCACGCGTTGCTGCCACGCGCGACCGTCACGCTCGACTATTGTGCCCTCATGTTGAATCAGTCAAGTAAGACTAAACCCTTCATCTGGTTTTTTTTGTTTTGTTTTTGTTTTTTTGTTTTTTTTTCCCATGATTACTCTAGTTCTGGGAAGCGGACCACATCACACCTGTGTCAGAGGGAGGCGGAGAATGTGGATTAGATAATCTGAGGACCTTGTGCGTTATATGCCACAGGAAGGCCACTAGCGAATTAAACAAAAGACTGAAACAACGAAGGATACTAGAGCAGGTTGCTGGATGTGCTGATATTTCGACGTTCTTTCGTCCACTTAACTGAGAGGGATATCATATATTTGTAAGTCAGATGGCAAAGTGTTAGAGAGATGAATGGCCAGGGTATGTCTTACATAATGAACAGGGCCTATAGTATTACATCTGTTCTTTGTTTTGACCTTTAAATAACTGTTTTCCTTGTTATAATTATTATTTTTCCTTATGTCTAGGAAACTAGGTATGTCTTTTTTATGTTTTTCGGTGTTTGAGTCTGAATTGAGATTCAACAAAATAAGTTTTTTACAACTTATGTAATTTGCGTTGCGTTACGTTTTAGTCCAAATTTCATGCTTTTAAATGAGGGTAAATAACCACAAGATCATCAATGAAAAATACATTTTCGTTGAGACTCAACAAAATAAGTTTTTTACAACTTATGTAATTTGCGTCGCGTTACGTTTGGTTCAAATTTCATGCTTTCAAATAAGGGTGAATAACCACAAGATAATCAATGAAAAATACATTTTCGTCTTTTTTTGAAAGGTTTGTTATCATTTTTAGCTCGAAATAGGAAAATTATTATTTTTATTAATCTATTAAAGAAAACGGTTTCCACAAGTTACAAAATTACAAAAATTAACAGAAATTAAAGTGGCTGTGATAACCACAAAATAATCAGTGTCTAAAACATTGTTCATGTTTTGTATCATTTAAATTTTTGTCATCATTTTTGGCACGAAATTGTAAAGTGATATATTTTTATTTAATTACTAAAAAAAACGGTTTTCACGAAGTAATATTGAATAATGTTTTTACAAAATTAACATAAATTAGAGTTGCTGTTATAACCACAAAATTATCAGTTTCTAAAACAATTTTCTTGTTTTTGGCACGAAATTGAAAAGTGATATATATTTTATTTAATTATTACAGAAAACGGTTTTCACGAAATAATATTGAATGGTGGTTTTCAAAATTTATCAGAAATTGGAGTGGCTGTGAAAATTAGTTTAATAATCTGACACAAATTTACCCACCTGTTAGGGATAATATGATGGGGAGCGATTTATAATAAAGGAAAATAACTGAAATTGTTTTCAACTGAGATGTACTAATACATTTATTTAGTATTTGTATTTAGTTATAGTTGGCTTGCTTTTAATTAAAGTCATTTTTTACTACGTATGAGTAATCCTTGCGGAAGTGATTTCTGGTTTAAATCAACGACTCTCTAAAATATTAGTACAATTTTCATCATATTTCTTGCGATAATCGTAAATTGCACATGGTACTTAACTATTTTCACAGCGTCTGAGGCTATTCGTGTACTGCTCCAACCCATTTAATAATTTTCGTGAACTTTTGTTCAATATGTGCAATCAATTGTATTTTTTTCCGGTAAACTGCAAAATGTAATCGTGAAGTGGTTGACTATTTTTGCATGATAGCAGACCGGTTGTCTTATTATCCTCTACAAAACTCCTAATTGACCCTATTTGGATTTACTAACTACAACGACACGGACTCAGCTACCGCAAGGGTGATCCCTTTCCATCAATGTTTTATTTTAGGTACCTATTTTTACATCCCCGATCAAGCGTTACTCTCTTTTAACGTACTTGTTAAACACAAACGATGAAATTTCGACGGCAAGGAAGCACTTAAATTATAGCATGATTTATTATTCTAACTTTTTTTTGTCACATCAAGAATTGTAACGCAACTCTTCATTGCGCGTGACACAGGAACAACAATGGTCTACTACATATAAGATATGCTTCTACCGAACATCGGTCGGATTGTAGGTCCAGGTATCGAATGTCGGAAAGAGGTCTCCTTTAGCTTGTCAGTGTTTCCTTCCAGCCCATCGAGCAAACTTTCGCTCTTGATACGTTGGATTGTAGCTCTCAGATGAATGAACTGCCTTGTGAGATACTTGTCCTGATGCCGCATATCAGCCTGTTAAGACACAGAAGAGTGTAGATTAGTCTCACGAGCCTACAGTTAAGCGAACACGACCACGAACCCAGTGGCTCTTCTGGCGGAACTCATCCGGTTTCTGTAGCATCAGGCAACCGGGACTGTTGCTTTCCCCCCCCCCCTCCCCTGGATGGGGTGATACTGGCCCTTGGCAGGTTCCCCCAACATGTACAGTTCAGCACTTGCCATTAGTATTCCTTGGTAGGAAGAGGCACCGGAATATCAAAGTGTCATGCCCAAGAATACAGTACAACTATGTGATCGGGCCTGCAACACGGACCTTTCCATCCACGGCTTCCCTGCTTGGGTTATGCTCAGTGTATTCATACAGAAGCTGCAATAGTTCAAAAGAATTGTTGCTGAGCGAAACAATTTGTGCATTGCCTTTACAAAAATTGTTTGGGCGAACTTCCGAAATGCATTCTTAAAGTTTGCAATCTTTCGATTTTCCATCGCGCTTCTGCTCGGTAATTACGCGAACTTTCCCTTTTTGTTGAAACAGTAGGCACTTCGATGTTTCTCTTTATTCAGGTGATGTGACACCTCTCTCGATATTAGCTTATTTTTGTCATATACTAATTACGAAAAACCATCGATGTGATCAGGCCTGGAACACGGACCTTTCCATCTCCGACATCCCTGCTTGGGTTATGCTCAGTATATTCATACAGAAGCTGCTATAGCTCAAAAGAATTGTTCTTCAGCGAAACAATTTGTACACTGTCGTTTAAAAAAAATAATTGGGCGAACTTCCGAAATGCATTCTTAAAGTTTGGAGTCTTTCGATTTTCCATTGCGCTTCTGCTCGGTATTTGCGCGAACTTTTTTTTTTGTTGAAACAGTAGACACCTCGATATTTCTCTCTATTCCGGTGAAGTGACACCTCTCTCGATATTAGCTTGTTTTCGTCAAAAACTAATTACGAAGAAGCATCAGATGTCATTTTCAATTTTTCTTACATTGTACCGTAATAATGGACATCCAAGTTATACTGTCTATACTCATCTCAGCTCTAGCCCCATTTTAAGTGCGAAATTTCCCAAATCCAGTACGTTTTCATGCCGCACTTACCACTAACTAGACGAAGTGAGATTGAGCGACACATCGTTGAACTGAAGGTCAATTAGTTTTGAGTACACAAGATACTTTGTTGATAGTGTGTTTTATTAAGGAGGTATTCCGAAAGCATTTAATTAGCTGTGTTTGATTCGCTAAAAGGATCAAGTGATTACGTTACTAAGCTTGTCAGCTCTTGTGATGAATCATATTGTGTCTAACCTGTATTTCTATAAATAGGATGTTATGGCTGCGAATAACATAACTCTGTTGTTAATTTACACAATTGGAGTCTGCCGATATTGCACTATTGTTCTTTCTGTTTCTACAGACAGAGAGTATTGTGCATTATTATTGACCAATGATAGTGTTCTTCGCCAAAAAAAAAATGAAATGAAATTAAAAAAAAAGAAAGTATGACGACTTGTCTTTTATTTTATCTCTATATTTAAAATATTTTAAAATTTATTTTGTTCCTCTTTGTGCACTTTGTATTTGTTTCGTTGACTTTTTGATCATGTAATTCGTCGCGGGTATTGGTATTACATTATCATCCGTGCAGTTCCATCTTTTTCTAGGCAGGTGGAGACTTTTAAAACAGAAATTATTAGACCATATGGCGAGGAGATAGATTCTAGATCTTTATATGGTGAAGATCTATGTTAAGGCCTTATCTGTGACTATTATTATCCCAAGTATGTCACGCGTCGAAAACGATAAAGACTTTTGCGACATTGTAATCAAAAATGCAGAAACATAAACAGCCCCTCGAAGGAAAAATAAAAATGTTACAGGTTTCGACCTGTCCGCTGCAAGAATACACGGGTTCTAGCTAAAAAGTCTCTTAGTTCGAGAATATTTAGTTATCTCAAAGAAATGCCGCAGTAATTTTTTCCTTGACGTTCCGAAATCCGCTAAACTGAATATATTTCCAACACAATTTTCGGTATCTTTTGACATTTTTTTTTACCTACCAATTCCTTTCGTATCCACAAAATCGCTGCTTCTAGGCGGGCCTCTCTTTCCTCGCTTGTCCCTTCGGAATCAATAACAGGGACTGAATCCGCTTTGGGGATTTCTATCTCTACTTCATTCGCCGATCCCGATTTCAAAATATTCCATGTGCACACTTTCATATACGGAAAAGAATGGCGTTTAGCAAGCTGAAGCCGTTCATCATCCATCTCTGAGTATTTCACCAAAAAAGTGTCCTCCGCTAAAAATCGATGAATTTCGAAATTTTGTCGTAGAGAACTGAGTATTTTGCGTAGAGTTGTCAAGTAAAGAGAAAGATTAAGTCCATAAGAGGCTTTGAGCGAGCACGTTCTTCACGCCGCTATTGTTTATAGTCAAGACACTGGTGGTTTATATTTGCATATGGAAAGCAAAACATACCAGGCGAGAGGTACTTTGCTTGACATCTGTCGCCAGATTTTAATCTTTCCATTACCCAAAAAGGAGGCGATAGTGTTCATGGACGGTCTGAATTACGAATAAATACAACACGAAAAAACCTGAGAAAGAAATAGAATTAGTTACTCGTAGATAATCAGTCAAAACTCACAGAAACCGAATTCACATGCTTTGAAAATAATTTGTTTTTAACAGTGAAGTACAATACAATGTAGTTACTTCGTATCACCTGTCTTACACAGATTGAAAACTTGAAAACGAGGGCAGTTTTGAACTGCTTTCCATATAGACCTGATAAACTCGTGCATTTGTTGATTTTGGGAGGCCCATTGAATTTTCCATTTCTTTATTGATAAAGTTCCAGCAGAAAAAAATATCCTCCGAAATTCGATCTGAATGAAAAGCAGCACTCCGCTCATTCACATCAAAATTCCGTCGAGCCTTGTTAAGTTGGCAGATTTGATTCATAGCGTTATGAAAATGCTCCCATTCTACTTCACTTGTAGTGTAGAACTACTTGAGTTTTATTTTTTTTCTTAGTCTCCTAGGGTACATTCAAGTTCTTGAATGAATGCTGTCCTCTTAAGTTTGTTTTTGATTTTTGTTTGTTTGAGTGTTTTGGTTGGGTATTTTTGTTACGTTGGTTTGTTTATTTGTTGTAAGTTTTGCTGCTTGAAACTTTTTCTTGTTACCCAGTCTACTCTGTCCACGGATGTCCCCCGACGTTCTCTCACCTAGCGGCCGCTGAGCCATCTCTTTCCCTTGTGACGGTTTGCCCTCTGTCGAAATTTTATTCAGGTTTGCACCTTAGCCAATCTAATATTCGCCCTCTTTTCTCTCTTTCTCTCGCACTTATGCGCTCTCTCTCTTTCTGGCACTCTTTCTCTTTCTTTCACTTCTGAGAGATTCCTCCAGTCACGTCATAAAAATGACAAAAATAATACAATCATCACTCAGTCTCTTAACTAAAGTGATTAATTTAATGGTTGCCGTAGTGATCAAAATCGAAAAAATTTATAGCCACTTTAAGAACCCAATAATTATGGTAACCACGAAATTATGTCGTCTTAAAATAGCAGGAACCAAAACGGTAATTAGCATATAATACTGTGTAGGAAACCACGGCTTCTGTTCTTCGCTCGGCCATGGTGCTTTCGTTGTTGTGTACATGTCAGCTAATATGCCATAGCGTCTAAATTTTCTTTCCAAAAACTACAAAAATGAATGGTTCGGTTGATTATACCAACGCAAACAAGACTACCGATATTCGTCGAGTCTCAACTTTTGGCCTTACGACTTTCCTTATCACAGCAATTTTTCTTCTACCGGTTGGTGTTATTGGGAACCTAATGGTCATTGTAGTCGTAAGAAAGAGGCGATATCTTCAAACCAAGACGAACTTCTTACTTGCAAATTTGGCGGCGTGTGACTTGGTGGCAAATATTCTTGGTTACACATGGGGAGTAGCGTCCGCTTTTCCCATTCCAAACATGACCCTGGGTGTTATAATTTGCAAGATTAACTCAATTTATCCTGCTGCATCTGGGTGTTCTGCCTTTATACTGACTATTATCGCTCTGGAACGCTATAGCGCTATCGTGAAACCACTGAACACTCGCTTCAAGTTAAAAAAACGGACCCTTCGCTATTTTATCTTGGCTATTTGGATTTTTGTCCTAGCTGCTGTGATTCCTTTAGTGTACTTCGCTGACTACAATGTTGGTTCGACTTACCGCTGTGGTAGAACTTGGGGTACAACTGCCAAAGCCACATTCTGGACAACTGGGTTTATAATTTTTGTTGTGGTCCCTCTTATAGTTATGTTGTTCTGTTATGTTCAAATAATACGCGCGCTGTATTTCGGGACAAGGATTGTGCCGATGAATATCCCAGCTGAAGTTGATGCAAGGGAAAAGAAACGAGTAATACAACTATCCATTATAGTGACTGTCGTGTTCATTGTTACCTACTTACCGTTTGCAATTGTTAAAGAACTTGAGATGCGTATTTCTTTATCGAACAGAGTGAGAGCTTTTTCACTCCTATCTGTACTTCTCTCTTCTATCTTAAATCCATTTATTTATGCTTTCCAAAGCTCTAACTACCGCAGGGCCTTTAAAGAGATTATATGTTTAATACAGAGATAGTTGCCTGAAATTTCAAAGACTCAGTGAAATGTTATTTACTGAAATTTCCAAAATTTATCTAGATCTTTGTATAAGTATTAAGACAAAAATATTAATGAAATTATGGATGAGATACAAGATAATTAAAAGCCATACGCTTAAGTAAGTATACCTCTTCACATGCAAAAAATGAAAAAAAAAATCGAAGGGAAAAACCGATTTCAATTATTTTAATAACTTTTTATGGTTTATTATTTTAGTGAATTTAGTATATTTTACAAATTTTATTCGACTGTGGTTAGATAGGTAATAAACCCGTTCAGAACTCTAAAGCCAATATCTTCATGTCGTGACTCGGCAACAAGCAAAATGTTGCCCACTTCCTACTCGCGTAATATTGTTAAGTGCAAAGAAAGAAGAATATTGGCGCTATACAAGGACGTCAAGAATATCTACTGAGCAGTTATTTATTTCCAAAGTCAAGTCAAGTAAAATAATGAAAAGGAAATCGATAAATTATCGTGAAATCGTCTGTCTCACGATATAAGGTCATTTCCGATTGCGACGACAGTCATACTATGACGTTTTCGTGGGGCGATGTACGTTTGATAGTGAGTCTATATCGTCAGAAAACTTACATACTTTGATTTATTATTATAACCACAACGAGCGACTAGAATGATCACCACTCGACGACGATTGTTTTGCTATTGCTTCAGTTAATCCTCGGTGCTGACAAGTAGAATGTTGGGCTCATTCTGACACAGTGGGGAATAAAGTTAGATGTTTCAGGTGGATTTTGAAGACTGCAGAATGTGACGCTAACTTCAAAGGTGGCTAACTGTGGGGGCAGCCACTTAATCAAGACCTAAAAATAAGAAAAAGAACAAAAACAAAAGGGTTCATGCATGGCCAAGTTTCTTTTCGTAACCAATACACATTATCACAGCCGAGTTAACCTCCCTAAAACGGACTTCGAAGGTTCATAGCGAAGTTCCTGTATTGAAGAGATGTTCATGTTATAGAGGTCACGACCACGATAACCTCACGCCGTCGTTTTTTCAGTGATCATATATATATTTTTTTTTTTCGTACAGGATTTATGCTGTATTTGTATTGGCTCTCTGTCTATCTCATATTTTTATTGTTATTATTATTATTATTATTATTGATTTTCTCTATGTTTCCGTACGTCTGTTCATCCATCAAATATCTTTCGTGCAACTGGTCTAAATGCATTACGTGATCGAATATTTCCCATTTAAAGATGGGAAATATCCGGTGATATTCCCAAATTTTCAAATTTTCGTTCACTACGATAAAAGTCTTCGTTCAAAATTTGATTCAAGATGAGAGAGTGGTTTGCTTTTGCCACAGAAGAAAGGACATATTTGTTTGTTCATGAATTCGTACCATAAATTCAAAACGGACGTGTGAGCATCCCACGCTAGCTTGAAGGTTGATAAACACAGCATCGTCCATTTTGCAAGAAAATATTTACCTACATTTGTCCTTGAACATTATCTATTTCATAAAGCACACGGTTTTTTGCTCGAGCTTCGCACTTGGTTCGGAACAGTTAATGGTCGCGGACAAAATTCCGAGCATACCTTTGGACCAAAAGGAGGCTCAATTAGATCACAGATGACGCCAAAATGTGGTTAGAACAAAAAAGAGGCACACGAGGCGCAGCAGAATGTCGCTGATGATCTATTACTGTACAGACCCACGGCAACTTTGAATCTATTTGTTTTATATGATTAAAACGCAAAATGTTGTTAATGGTGACGTCACCCCTTCGCCTGTCCTCCAATAGACCATAAGCAAGACCCAATCAAGATGCTTTTATAACTCAGCTTATCTTATGAAATCAAACTGATTATCTGACTAAACAGGGATTCATGGCTTCTGCAGGATTGTAGTATTAAAGGCGTTCAACCATGCGACCAAACCCCACCCCCCCTCCCCTCTGCCAACGAAATGTTGACATTTTAAAATTTTTGCGTTCAGTGGAAAATGCCCTTGCATTGCTTCGCTGGTACAGGCTTCTAGCTTCGCATTTCGTGCCTCGCACGCCTCGAAAGGTGCGCTTCTTCGACCGCGCGTGCCGCAAATAGAAGGGTTCGCTTGTCAACTGCTATCGCAGATAGGGTTTCACCAGACTCGCAGCGTGATCGCATGCATCCACGGTCAGTCAACGCGATTTAACAGGACAGACAATCATATTTAACTCCTCTGCTCCCTATGCAAACTAACGATTTGCCTCGATCAGAACAGAATCAGGGCCGTCTCAATTTAAATCTTTCGCCCTCGAGCCTCTTTTGGACTAAGAAAACACCTTTTCTGAGGTAAATATAAGTTTAAACTTTGACAATTCCCCGTCAAAGCACAGCTGCGTGCAAAGAATCCAGCGGCAAATTTGCTGTATTACAATCATGTCTAATCTGTACTTAATGTGAAACGTTTCCGGACCGGTAGTGAAACTTTAGAGTTTTTTCTTCGGTGAAAATCGCTTTGTTATTGTTATTTTAAGTATAAGCCTCACTCAGCCGAAATGTTTCGCTGTTTTCTTAAGCTACCTGAAATTATTGACCGAGTATACGATATCTGTTCACCAGAAATTCCGTAGATTCAATCGACTTCTGCTATGTTTGTATGAAAAAAAAATCAGTGTACTCAATAATTGATATGAGGCCAGAAATCTCTTAGCGATCATTTGCCTTTCAAAACATCCTAATCACATAATCCCAGGCCATGAAGATATAGGTAATTCAGTGTTCTTACTTGGATTTTTGAGCTAACAGGGAAAGTTACACCTACACCTTTTTAAGATGCTTTGAGCTCCTTAAATCGGAATGAAACAAAATGTAGCAGGGAATGCGTCTCGTGAGCATTTTCCCAACATGCTAATAGGCCAAAATACCTTGGTTTTCGGCGAAAACGCCAATTCAAACGTTCAGATGCGTTGAATTTTGTCGTGTTTGCATTACAGTTGTGCTCACCGCGATTCTGAAAGGAAAAAAACCCAGACGGTGTTAACTGAATTAGGCCAGAATCTCTTGTTACCACCTGGGCCCATTTCCCCTCTTCCACCCCTCCCTTCCCTCCCTCCCTCCCTCCCCTCCCTCCCTTCCCTTTAACCGTGCGTATCTGAAACTGTTATATTGTGGGGATGACGTTACTTTGTAGAAAGGAACAACCGAATAGACACGTGAGGGTAAAATGACTCATCATTGTACAGTTGTGATAGGCGATGAGTGCGTGGTGACGACATTTCCTCCTTTTCTGAGTACTTGGCATCGCATCTCTCGTCACACGGAACTCCCGTGAAACCCGCACGAGATCATCGATGATACATCGACTGGCACATGTCAATCAATTAGCGCGACAGTTCCAAAACAAGTTTTGCAGGAAATTTATTGATGATCACAAACAGGAATTTTTACACAATATTGAATTTTTAGCAGCATTAGTATCCTAGATTCCGATTTTCAAACACGTTTACGCTTTGCACTTGCGAATAAATAATACGTAACTTTTAGTCCCAGACTAGGTTCTCCACATGTCTTAGACCCGATGTAAATGCATGATTACGTTACGCTACCAAATATTCTATGCCTACGCACGGTGAATTTAAAGCCAAACCAACATGGCAAAACCTTGAGAAAATTTTTCTAGATCTTTGAATATTTCGTGGAAATGCAGCCCTTTACAAGTCTAATTATAAGTCAGCGAAAGAACGATTATGCCATCGTGGTTTGTCCTATGTTTTGTCACTTAAGACAATGGGAGCTCCTTTCGCCATAATTTCAGGTTCCATTTAAACGATCGATCATGTAACATTTGTCAATATATAGTAACACCTCACATCGAAGAAAACCGTTGTCTTCCTCTATGTCCTAATCGAGATGCCTCTTTGGCTTGCTGCCCTGCACCATTCTGCTTGCGTAGATCTTCCAACGTATCAAACGAAAAACTGTTCGGCCGTAAAAAGTTGTCTTCGCCTCCTCTGTATACCTCGTTACAATAATTCTGGGTCAGGGATCTTGCGAGCCCTGTAAGATATTTCATGCTTTCCATTACGGCTTTGATGTGCGAACGGAAGCATCCCTCAGCCGACGTGGGCTTCCCGGTCGTCAATTCTTCCTTGATATCTAGAAGCATGTGATAAGTTCCGAATAGCCCTGAATCTTCCAACTCTTTTCCAGGCTTGACCAAAGAATTATCAGTCGATGTCGGGCATTGGCACTTTCCAGATGGAAGCTCGTTCTCCTCTGGGATGTCCACGAGTCGATGGGGCACCAATACTGTGTTATTCATCTCATCAATCGCTTTGAAGAACTCGTTTAGGATATCGGGTAGATTTTCACGGCTTGCCATTTTACAGACTCGAGAACTGCGCGATGGATGTTCAAAACAACTATGTTTTCTTTTGAATGACGTTGACGTGACCTTGCTAACTTTGTATGAAGTTACCCCAAACAACACTAGTTTCAGCTATCACCGGCACACTTGCCAAATCGGCGGCCAATTGTAACAGAGTATTTACACCAGGAATACTGCGACCTTCGCTGTCTCGAGTTACATTAGAGCCCTCTTCTTTAACATAGCATTTCTCTTTACCAGTTTGAGTCTCAATCATTGCTCTGGTTGGGAGAATTTGAATGAAACTCGATATGGATCTCCGTGAGTGTTGTCCATTGTCTAGTTGTCTCGCGTCGCACTTATAATGGCTATAGTTCAAAGCGAACTAAAACTACATGCTGGACTCTGGTAGTCCCATCGTCTGTCATCATAGATTTACATGTACTCATTATGGTCAAAACGAACGCTTTCCCATTCATGATTTCAACTATGTTCAGTTTTTAGCTGGGTAATCTTTGATCTCGCAACCTAATCGTAATATATCTCAGTATGTGTCATGGTTTTATAACCCCCGCGCAACAATCCTTTGGCTCAGTACACAAGAATGAAACATGCAACGGTCGAGGTTTCCTTGTTTGATTTGTTTAATGTACAAC